TTCCCATTCATGATTTCCAACAACTGGTATTCAGAGGCAACGCCGTCTCTTGACAGTGGATATGCTTTGGGCTTTGCTCATCAGAGAGGCTCCACAGACACCATCCATTCTCAAAGCACGCCGAGATTATGCCTAGCAGGCTAAAGGGTCTCGGTTGTGTTTTTAGAAATTATTTTTATTTTCAGCAAACCTGTGTATCCCTGGTTCATGGCACTGGGGCAGTTAGGTGTCTCTTTGGGAAGTTCCACACATATAGGGCTGGCAAAGCCAGGGCTTTTTTTCAGTGGGAACTTACCGGAACTCAGTTCCAGCCCCTCTCAGGTGGGTGCCATTGCAGGGAGGTGTTCGTGGTGAGTTCCGGAACCTCTTTTTCTAGAAAAATAGCACTGGGAAAAGCACTTCCTTCTCCTGCCCCCATCAAGTGACAGACAGTGGGGAGAAAAAGCATCAACTGCTAGTGGGACTGGGAGAGAAATATGTGCTTCATAATAATAATAATAATAATAATAATAATAATAATAATAATAATAATTTATTATTTATACCCCGTCCATCTGGCTGGGTTTCCCCAGCCACTCTGGGCAGCTTCCAACAGAATATTAAAATACAATAGTCTATTAAACATTAAAAGCTTCCCTAAACAGGGCTGCCTTCAGATGTCTTCTAAAAGTTTGATAGTTATTTTTCTCTTTGACATCTGGGGGGAGGGCGTTCCACAGGGCGGGTGCCACTACCGAGAAGGCCCTCTGCCTGGTTCCCTGTAACTTGGCTTCTTGTAGCGAGGGAACCACCAGAAGGCCCTCGGCGCTGGACCTCAGTGTCCAGGCAGAATGATGAGGGTGGAGACGTTCCTTCAGGTATACTGGACTGAGGCTGTTTAGGGCTTTAAAGCACCAAACATTGGGCTGATGGAAAGGGGGGAAAGGAGCCTGGTAAAAGCCATGCACAACAAGAGAGGGAAGGAAGGAGAAAGATGATGTACTCCATGCCGGTAAGTACCACTACAAAAATAACTGAAGCAGCAGCAGCAACAGCAGCAACTTCAATCTTTAGTCAAAGCGTTTTGTCCCAGAATCCGTAAGAACTCTGGGAAACGGGCAAGTACTACGCCATATCTTGATTGAGTTATCACAGCCTATCCCTCTGGCCAACTGCTTCAAAACCAATTGTCATGTGGAACAGGTGGTCCCTTGTTGGGATAACTTCCTTGTTCTGTGGATCAGGCCAATGGTATCGTCAAGCAAGTGTTGTTTGTCCAGATACGGTACATATAATAAAGATCTGTCCCAATTACCAAGACTTTGCTCCACACTTTAGAAAAGACGACCACTTGTAAATTCCTCTTCACTACATTCCCTCACTGTTCCCAGCACGCTTGATATCATCTGGGTGAGCAGATGGGCTTTATGGTTCATTTCAAACTGTTCAGTCAGTCAACCAGCACAAATTGCATTAATTCCCTCACAGTTTGAGAACAAAGAGCCAAATATTCTGTGAACGGCACACTGTAGGTGGGAATCAGAGATTCCCTGCCATTAATTCAAAGCTGTTTTAAACAAACACACACCTATATCTATATCTATGATCACCAGGGCATCACAGAAATATTATCTACCACAGGAGTGATATTTTTTTTAAAGACTAAGTGCCACATTCCCTCTTGGGCAGCCCTATGGGAGCTGCAATGGATGTGACTCTTAAGATTATATTCTAGCCATGCAATAAAGTCAGGTTTCTAGACAGACAGACAGAGACAAGGGTGGGGGAGAAAGTTGATTCAGTTCACTTTTAAAGATGAGCCAAAACCACCCTTTCTGAAACAATGTGCAACGCCACCCTTTCAAATTCATACTTCTTCAAGTTTTGCAATGCATTTCTTCAAACACATAATATATATACCAGGGCAAAGTGCACATAAAAGTGCATATGTTTGTGGAACTATCTTACAAAAATGGACATTTTATTTGTTTGAGGTTTGTTTTTGTGTCTCTCTCCCTGCCCCAATGTTTTAATAATTGGCACACTTTGAATGAAGTACATCTTAGGCCATAAGAATGATTGCATTTGATTACAGCATAGCGCAACAGGAAGCCGTTCTGAATGTCAATGTTGGCATTGTGATCTAGGAGAATTTTGACACAGCTGGACCTTTCGCGGATAATAGCCAGTTGAAGTGGTGTAGTACCTTTGTCACTGAGTGGATCAACCTCAGCCTTGAATTCCAGCAGGAGACAGACAAACGAGTCTCTGCCGTAGTGAGCAGCCACATGCAGAGGAGTCCAGCCATCAAAACTGCTTGCAAAAATGCTATTAGTCAACACTGTATGTATACAAAAAAGTGTTTGTTAGTAAAATGTGCACTAAAAGGCTGGTGGATTTTCATGGGGATCACAAAATCAAAAATTGTGGAAATGTTGAGAAGTGAAATTAAGATTAAAAAAATAAAATAGAAAGTTGGAGAACTGAAATCGACAGATATGTCTGTTACTTATCCAGGCAAGCAAGAGACATTACCATGGGGAGGTGTGTGTGTCACAAGAAGTGTGCCAGTCCAGGGCCGAAAGGAGTGGCCCCTGGCCCTGAGGCTCCCCCCATGCCTGATCTACCAAGACTGTGTGTGCAAAAAAGAAGTGATTACATCAGCCTTTCCAAACTGTCCTTGTAGTGCCTAATTGTTTTCAAGCCTAACAGACCCCAAACTTCTTGGGGGCGGGGTGGGGAAATAATGAGATGAGGTTCCTGACTAGCTGCCACAGTGGGGAAATTCCCAGTGGATGAGAGATACTGGATAGCCCATGGAAACAGACAGTATGGCAGCGTAAGAGTGTTCTCATGGGCAATTTGGGTGCAAATGACTATTCAGCCACCCTGGGAACCTTAAATACTTGTTTTTTTTACCATTTCAAATTTGTTGTCTTATTATCTGAGAAGCATTTCACTTATCACACAGCTGAGGAATATCCCGCTTGCTCAGATCTGAATGCCATATATATTCCCTTGGGTGCCATCTGGGCCAACACTCGCTAATTTGTCTCCTTTGCTGTAGAGTTGACTATTCAAAGAAAGGAGCATTAATATAGGCCAGGGATGGGGAACCTGTAGCCCTCCAGATGTAGCGGGACTTCATCTCCCATCATCCCTGATCACCGGCTATCCTGGCTAGGGCTGATGACAGCTGTGGTCCAGCAATACCTGGAGAGTCACAGGTTCCCCAATGCTGGCACAAATCACGCTCCTTCCTCTGAATGGCTGTCTTACATTGTCATTGCTTAACGCTTCACAAACATTTAATTCCAATAATGTGTGCTCTCATTCCAGGGATGAGGGATAATTTCTTGGTGGTTTCCCATTAAGTGTTTTGGACCACAATTTATCTGGCTTTCAACAACCAAGAAATTAGCACACAGCCCTTAACGCTGAAAGCTTTTTACATAGGGCATCATCAGCGCTCTAAGAGGAGACAGTTAATATGGTATTACTTAGCTTAATAGGCTCTCAGGAAACAGAGTAAGGTCAAATCAGCTAAGTCAAAGGGGCAGTCCCATTCCAGCTCAAGCAGAACAGTGGCATGAGAAGATACAGGGAAGAGGGATTAGCCTTTTGACATTTTATATGCAGGGATCTCTCTGAGAGTAAAATGGCTCTAGGCCAGATCTACTCCTCTGCAACTATAAAATGGTATCTGAGACCTGTTTGGGGCGCCAATTTACAGCCAACAGTAATGTATTTTGTGTGGTGGGGATCCAGACCTAAGCAGCGCCGGTTGCCAGCACAATACAAATGACAGTGTGTGAGCAAGGCAAATGAATTTGCTCTGCTCACACAATATGTCAGTCAAACAGTATCACAGAACCCAGCTCAAAGGCCGCCCACTCCTCTGACATGGGCCCATCACTTGGGTGATGTAGTGGTTATGTAGCTACCATTTCTCAAGTTTTCATTTTAAAACCAAAAGTTATGATCTTTTCAAAAAATAAAATTTAAAATCAGCCGTCGTGAACAGGGTGACTTCAATGACATCCCTGTTGTTGCCAAGAAACTACAAAGCAACATGCTTTATCTTTCCATTGCTCCCTATCTTTGTGATCCTGCTTTAGGTTGCTCAGACACTCATCTCTAATAAATACATCCTGAAGAGAGGGACAGGAGACCTTTAATCTTAATTTAGCAGCTTGCTTTTCTGTCTCTAACCATGAGTCAGCCTGGGAACCATGTAGAATTTTAGAAATAAAGTAAGTTAGCCTCTCAGTACAAAAACAGGAACATTCCTGTTAAAGGTAACTTTTTCTAAGAAACCAGAGCCAGTGTGGTGTAGTGGTTAAGAGCGGTAGTCTTGTAATCTGGGGAACTGGGTTCGCGTCTCCGCTCCTCCACATGCAGCCAGTCACACTTCTTTGAAGTCTCTCAGCCCCACTCACCTCACAAGAGTGTTTGTTGTGGGGGAGGAAGGGAAAGGAGAATGTTAGCTGCTTTGAGACTCCTGAAAGGGAATGAAAGGTGGGATGTTAAATCCAAACTCCTCCTCCTCCTCCTCCTCGTCGTCGTCGTCGTCGTCTTAGGTGCAGAGATTCCAAATGACCAGAAGAGACTATTTATGTATGTGACTATAGCTGCCCAGACTTTGTTAGGTCAGAGATGGGAAAGAAAGTACAGCCTCTACCAAGGATGAATGACAGATAAAACTGATGGACCACACTGAAATGGCAAAACTGACCAGAAGAATTAGGAACCAGGAAGAATAAATACTTGTAGTTGAAAGTTGAATTATGGTCTGTTTAAAGATTTGATAAAATTGGAGTAATAGAAGAGAAGCAGGAAAACAATGTTGGCATAAGGATCCACAAAAGGGGAGGAGGAAAGTCAAAGGGGATTTACTGATTATATTTTAATTGTTTTCTTTGTTGTTGCTTGTAAACCTGAAAATGCCAAAATAAACTCTTACACACACTCTCTCTCTGTAAAGGAACATTCCTATATCAATGCTGGCTAATTCAGGGATTGAAATGGAATTGCCTCTTTATTGGTGTTTAGTTCCTGAACTAGAGGAATTAGAAACAGTTAATCAGCTTAAAACTAAAATAGACAGCAATGCAATGGCGGAGACTAGTGAACCACAGCTCTATAGGCCTATTTTGACATTTAAAGGACACAATCACTATACAAAGATTTTAAAAAGTTTGACAATTTTTTTTTAATAAATGCAATGGCAAAACACAAATAGACCATAATATTTTTTTTAACAAGACATTTCTCACATGTTTGATGTTTATAGTTATCCAAAGGGTTAGTGACTGACTGGCTGTGTTTTTCTGGGCACCACAGTGTTCTGGTCAGCATCTAGCTTTACTGAAGGTCACATCAAGGAACAGGTGGAGAATGATGGACCAGACCCTAAAGAACAGCTGGCAACCACTGGCCACTGTAGGGCTAAAGGGTGCTTGCTAGAGGGGTGGACTGGAGCCAGGGTCTGCTAGCTGCTGATCCCTACTGTAGCTGTATTGTATTAGACAGTGTATTCAAACCAGTTAAAAGCAAATGTGGGGGGAAAAACTCTCAGCACCCTTAACTACAGTTCCCAGGATTATTTTGGGGGGGAGGGAGCCATAACTGCTCGTGTGGTATAATCACATTTTAAATGCATGGTGTGGATGCGGTCTTTCTTTTTCTAACATTTGTTCTGGAAGAAGCACAAGGCCAAAATAATAGGCTGAACAGGTCAAGGAGTCCATTCTAAATCTCAGTCCACCACTTATTTCACTCTGTTTCTCCAGTGACGAAAAGGTGCACATTTTTGGAAGACTGAAGCATTTGGGCCGCCCGGTCGATACCCACCACCGCAGCCACCTTTTGAGCATCATATTTTGAGTAAAGCACTGTGCAAGTCAAGGTGGCCTCTTCCTCGCTGCCTGCCAGCTTCATCATATTGCAGACCTCACTGTAGAAATGGGGATAGGTGGGCAGTTCGTAAAAAATAAGGTTCCGGATGCCTCTAATTGAGTACCTGAATAAAGCAAACAAACAAGAGGGCTCAAAATGATTAAGATGCAACCGGGCAGCACAGAAATTCCTTTTTGAAACTTTAACCCTTTATAGATGAAACAGAATACAGCCCCTTTTTAATTTAACGGACCCCTGGGATTTCAACAAGGGAAATGGGACTTCCTGAACCCACCCCCTGGCAGTGAAGCAGGATTAAAAGTTGAATTATGCAGAGAGGTGGAATAGATTCTGTAGACTGCTAGCCACCAAAAAACAGGGTCTCTGGATACCAGAAACCTTCCTGCAGCTATTTGTTGAACCTCCTCCCTCCCCACCTTATTTCTTTATGTTTTGCATTTGTTGGACGCCCTATATCATAAAGTTATCTGGTCGACTTTCAGTGAATAAGTAAAAAACAATGCAATGCAAAACAAACTATCAAACTGATATCTACATAAATGCAAACAAAAGCAAACCCCCATTAAAATACAGATATAAATGCTGAGAGGCCCAGCCTTCAAAATTTAAAAGGTTTGGGTGAATCAAAAGGGCTTCAGTTGGTGCCCCAAAGATCACAAAGGTGGCATCATTTTTATAAGGAAGCCCCGTGGATTCCTATTAAAAAATCACTCCTCTAGTGGACCAGCAAAGTAACATCCCCTAGGTCCCTTCTCCTCTTGACAAACTGGATCATCTCTATCCACCTTTGTTCTTACCACTTAATTCAGACTTCTGGAACAAGGGAAACTTCCTCATACCAAGTCAGGCCTTTGATCCATCTAGCTCAGCACTGTCTACACAAGGGGTTGCCAACCTGGTCCCTATCGCCCATTAGTGGGCGTTTCAGGGTTCTAGGTGGGTGGTAGGGGGTTCTACGGGGGTTCTACGGCACAAGTTGAATCCTTCTTCCATCAAGCACTGGTTCCAGTGGAAGAAGAATCCTTCTTCCATCAAGCACTGGTTGGGGGTAAGGAAATTTTACCATCAAGAAAGATACATTAGTGGGCGGTAGTTATAAAAAGGCTGACTACCCCTGGTCTACACTGATTAAGAGCAGCTCTCAGGGATTTCAGACAGAGGTCTCTTCCAGCCAAATCTGGAGCTGTCAGGCATTAAACTCAAAGCACATTCTCAACCAGTGAGCTATGGCCCTTCCTTGTTATTAAATAAATACGTATTTATTTAAATACGTTTTAAATACGTTTGGTTCAAATGGAAGTATACATAACATCACATACTGATCAGCTGGCAATGATTTTCATGACACATTTTACCTTTCTATGGGAGAAATATGAGCCCAAGAAACATCAGTTATTAACACATTTAGAAATCAAACCAGAAGTGTATTGTCTTTTAGCCTATATTTATGATCTGCGGAGCAGCATCTACATTGATGGTGCTGCATAGGTGATGAAAATAATACACATTTAAGAAATCTTCCAGTGCTGTGTGAAAAATTCCACATTTAATCCTAATTACGACACATTATTCATTTTTGGGGGGAGCAAGTATAACTCATGCACCCTCTTCTATTAAAGACTTGGACTTTAGCGACCACCCCAGCCTACCTTTTATAAAAGTGGAAACGCTCCGTAAAAATCAGAAATTGCTTCACTCCCTTTAGGAAGAATTGTCTCGCTCTGGAAATGCCAGATTTACTGGTGTATTCACAGATGTGCACAAAACTCAACTCCTCCTTCTTGAAGTAGTTCCGAAGGCGCACGTAATCAAAATATGACGGGACGTAGATGAGTGTGTGCGACATGACGGCATCGCGATACTCGGGCAACACTTTCTCAATGAAAAAATGAAACCTGCTTAAGGAAACAGAAACACGTTATTCTGCTCCAAAAATAAAAAAATTCCCAGCATCTTACTTAAAGCAAATGTAGAATATATATCACACACAAACACTCTCTTAACGTTGTAAATACACGTCTTACTCAACATATTGCAAAAGGGACCATTTTGAAGGAGCCTAGTTCCAATTTATTTCCTACATAAGCAGAATAAGGGAAAGACGTCGCCCCCTTCTCACTTGGGAGAGGTTTTATTAATGCTGATTAATACAAAAGGAGGGTCTCCCCCTTAGCTGCTATGCACAAATGTGTCTTTATGACTATTTTTTACATGCACCACAGGCTATCTTATTCTTGATCGTATTTTCTAGCGAAAAAAATAAAAATTCTTATTAAAAACATCGTAAATGCATATAAAAATGATTTATACACAGATCACTAGAGTCTTCATAGTAAAAACACTGCAGACAGACCACTAACTGCATCTAACATTGTGTGGAGTCTCCGCATTTTTACTATTATTCATATCCCACTTTTCCTTCAAGGACCGCAGGGTGACATATATGGTTTCTCCTGTCCCATTTATCTATGCAACATCCCTGTGAGGTTGGTTAGGCGGAGAGATGGTGATGGGTCAAAGGACACCCCACGATATTTTGGAGACTGAGTGGGCACTTGGCTCTCAAACTTTCTGGGTGAGCTCTAGTGGGAACCTGGGGAATTTCCACTATGGCAGTGATTATGTTGCTCAAGTGATGGGAGATGCAGTCCAAAGCACTTGGGAGGGCATCAGACTGGGGAGGGCTGTTGCAGCTGCAACGCAGAGCACTTAACCACAAGGAAACGTTTAGGAGTCCTCCACAAGGCAAGTGTCTAATGCCCAAGGAAAATAATTGGGACCGGCAACAGAGTGTTTCAGTGCAGAGTTGTTCAGGGTTGCCATCTTCCAGAGTTCCATCCTCTGGTTTTCTATTCTCTCCTGGTATGCCCCGCGGAGGACCTTAAGGTCCATAAATAGCAACACCCTAGTGGTCCCAGGTCCTAAGGAAGTCAGATTAGCCTCAACCAGAGCCAGGGCCTTTTCAACACTGGCTCTGGCCTGGTGGAACGCCCTGTCTCATGAGACCAGGGCCCTGCAGGATCTGATTTCTTTCCGCAGGGCCTGTAAGACAGAGTTGTTCCGCCTGGCCTTTGGCTTGGAACCAGCCTGATCCCCTTCCCCTCTTTCCTTTTCCTTCTGTGATGGAATCCCCTATTTGGGGACTTCCCTGGCTTTTTTCTGGCCCACGTAGGACCAGTCTGGATAGTTGGCCTTGGTAAAGATTTGATGTTTTCATCCCCAAAAAGTTTTTGATTTGAGTTTCTACTGAAATGAGGCTGCATTTTAATGCTGTATTTTAATCTTGTTTTTAAGTTGTATTTTAATCCATTGTTTTTATATCTGGTGTTAGCCGCACTGAGCCCGGTCTTGGCTGGGGAGGGCGGGGTATAAATAATAAAAATTATTATTATTATTATTATTATTATTATTATTATTATCTCCCCAGAGTCCTGGTAGGTAGCAATCTTTGCCTACAGAGTGTGCCCAGTCCTCATTGTGCTGTTTCTGGGGTCTGCCTGCTAGGCTTCCCTGCCTGCCCCCTGGCTAAAGATTCACTGCACTTTGGCAAGGCTTGAGGTCCCCTGCTGACACCTCCTCCTTGTCTGCAGATGGTGCCGTTTTGCCTGCATAAAGATCAGTGCTAGGAGAAGGAGTTTGCTATTAGTATATAGGATTGAGGTTTCTATAGCACCGCAGGAGGTTAGCCGAAGATTCTGGTGTGCATAATGTTGCCATTCAGCAGGCTGTGTTGGTTTCCTTGGATTTTAAAAATTTATTCCCCTGCCCATTGCCTGCACACACACACACACACACACACACACACTCTTTCCACAATGCTACACTCTACTGAGCACCAAATCTGAACCTAATGTCAGAAGAGCACAGCTGAAACGACCACATTACCTGGCATCTATTGCAGAAATGGAATTTTCTGCTTCCAGCTTGCGAAAAACATGAGGAAGCTGTACTACAACGTGGCTTATAGAGCCCTTCAGAGGTATGTTCCTTACCGCTACCTGCAAGAAGCAAACACAACAGGCAAATGAAGGCAATGTTAGAACAGACAGGTTACATCTGAGATCAACTCTCATGGAAAGGCTAAGAGTTGGCTTACCGGCTTGGAACAGTTTGGTTCTTCATTCCCTCTATAACCAGCACTCAGGCATGAGTGCCATTTGCTTATGTAACCCAAACGCTCCCTCTGCCCAAGGTTTGCAAATATATAAACAATATTTTCCTTGCTCAGGGGACTAAGAGACGCAAAACAGCCTAATGAGGACTGAGGGTGCTTCGCATACCCAGAACACTGGCTGCCTCTTGGGGTGGAAAAATGGAAAACTACACAGGAGGGGGAAACAGAATGGAACATCCTATTGAGAAAGGGGACACTGAACTGGAGCTGCAACATGTTCCAACCAAAAAATTTACAAAGAGTGGGAGTGCATAAAGGAATACATGGAAAGATTTGGTTTCGGAGCTTAAATTTAACATGCAATAGGTAAAATGCGCAAGGATACAAGACGATGTCATGACATATATGGAACAACAAATACAAACTTTTGTTAACACAACGAGAAAAAATATTAGGTTGAGAAGATCACACATGGGTGAAGGGAAGTAACGGGAACGGGGGGAGGGAGGTACAGGGCAGCATTTGGAAAATTGTTAATGATATATATGTGATTTAAGAGGTTAAGAACAAGGAGTTAAAAGAAGGAGATTAACATGAATGAAAAGCAAAGTCATGCTCTTGTTTGTATTATGGTTTATTTTGGTTGTAAAATCCTCTGGTGTAAAGAGTGTACAATTTTTTTAAAAAAATTAAAACTTAAAACTTAAAAAAATAAAAACAAACAACTGCAATTCCCAGGATTCACTGAAGGATGCCATTGCCCTTAAAGCAGAATAAAACCAATATAGAACTGGAACTGCGACATTTTATTGTACGTCCCCCTTGTCTACTTTAGAATCCTGTTCTCAACAGCAACGGACAGCCGGGTGCTCTTAGAAACAAGTAGGGCATGGCGATGACAGCTACCTTCATTATTTAGCTTTAGCAACTGGTAAGTTGCCTGTGAAAAAGGACTCTTCATTCAGCTGTCAAGGTTAGCAGTACTTAATAAGGCCATTTGTCTATCCTCCACAAACTGGCTTAATCCTTTTTTAAAAAACCCTCTAACTAGTGGCCATCAACTTGTCAAGGAGAGTGGTGAATTTGACAAGTAAATCAAGAATTGTGGGGAAAGGAGACACTTCCTTCTTCCTGTCATGAATCCAGTGCCAAAGAAACACTTCCTTTTACAGGAAAGTCTCCTGCACGCTATGCTTTCTCTTTGTACCTATAAATTACCATTTAAGGGAGGAAGAGAGACAGAGGGTACTCATCATAGGGTTGTGCTTGGCTCCAGGGATACTAGTTGCCAACCCTTATTTTACATGAACAAAGAAGATTTGTGTTGGTGCAAGGAAGATAGAAATAGGACATTACTGTTGAGGACGATGCCTGTCAAGGTTTATATCTTTAACGGGACAATGGGGGTGGTGGGATATTTTAACAAACAAGCTTCAATATCAGCTTGGCAGCAGGAGACAAATGTAATAACTGGAGGCAGCAATAATCTGAGGTCAGCTTGTCTTGAGACATTAAAACACATTAGGAATGGGAAGATTTATTATCTGTAAGTCCATAAGCACACACCCTCCCATTGCCCTTTGCTGCAAGGTCATGCTGGAAGGCCAATAAGCCTTCTTCACTTCTATACAAGGGCTACAGACACATGTGAACACTAACCTGCCCCCTGTAATTGAAGCAGTGCTTATTGAAGATGGAGTTGATCTGTGGATCCTGGAGGGCGCTGAACAGCAGCGTCTGCCGATAATACTTGGACCAGTTGTTCAGATTGAACATTCGCACCCGCGAGAAATCCACCCCATGAGACTCCAAAGGCAACAGGTTAATGTGGTTCATCAGGTGCTGTGAGCAGATTTTAAAAAGAAAAGGAAGATGTCCGTCAATCTGGATTGGTTTGCAGGAAGAGGAAAATCAAGGAAAGAGAACCCTGAAAAGTTTGTGCATTATACTAAAATGAGCCACGTGAATGCAAATCTGAACTATTAAACTCCTTTCCTGGCTGAAACTGAGCAGCGGATTTGGCTCACTGGTAGCGCACCAGTCTGAATACAGAAGGCCGTAGGTTCAATCCTTGGCATCTCCAGGGAGAGGAAAGTCATGCGTCTGAAAACTTGGGAGAGCCATTGCCAGCCAGTACAGAATTGTTGGTATACTGCCCTTCATCCAAAGACCACAGGGCAGTTCACAACATAAAAATACAACATGAGAACACAAAACAATCAAATCAATAACCCCCCCTCCCATGAGCACATTTTAAAGGCCATAGATTGTTTAATCAGCCAAAGACCTGGTTATAAAGAAACATTCTCGCCTGGTGCCGAGACAATACTGAGCTAGACAGACCAAAGGTCCGACTCAGTATTTGGCAGCTTCCTTATGTTCCTAACAGCTCTTTGGCTGTTGTTGCTAGGAGGCTTTTGTTGCCTCTCAAGCTCATTTCTGGAAAATCGTTCTGCAGCATCCAAGAGACTGTCAATGATCACTGCAGCAGCATGTGTTTAGTGAAACGAGGGTCATTCGACACCTGGCTTGCTCTAAGTGTTGTTTGAACCATCCAGTGTTAGAAACCATACAAAATGAAATCTTTTAATTGGTTCTAATGTTCTCAACTGGCCCACAGGAAATAATATGGTACAAGAAGAGATCACAGGAGCTGCTTAGGCTGCTTTTCATAGTTTCCATGTCTTTGCAACTGATTTGCCCTTAGAAAGAACTCCCCACTATTTTCTAGCATGACATCAGAAGAGCTGGCTGGATCAGGCCAGTGGCCCATTGAGTCCAGCATCCTGTTATCACAGTGCTCAACCAGATGTCCTGCTGGCAGGCTTCTCACAGACATCAGTACAGCTGAACTCTACCAATCTGAAATTCCCAGAAACCAGTACTCAGGGCATAATGCCTCTGAGAGTGGAAGTAGAGAATAGCCTTATCCTCCACAGATATGACTACAGTGGCACTTCGGGTTAAGAACTTAATTCGTTCTGGAGGTCAGTTCTTAACCTGAAACTGTTCTTAACCTGAAGCACCACTTTAGCTAATGGGGCCTCCCGCTGCCGCCACGTGATTTCTGTTCTCACCCTGAAGCAAAGTTCTTAACCTGAGGTACTATTTCTGGGTTAGCGGAGTCTGTAACCTGAAGTGTCTGTAACCCGAGGCACCACTGTAATCCTATTTTTAAAGCTGGTGGCCATTGCTACTTGTGGAAGCCTTGCCAGGAGAATTTCTAAGCAATGTGCTACTTCTAGAGGGAAGCCTTGCCTGTTGAAGGCAGTCCAAAAGGAGAATCGGCTTCGCTAAATTTTAAGAATGCATCCGCACTCAGAAACCCAGAACACATGTCTCCATCCCATGAGTTCAAATTAAACACCCGCGTTAAAATTTGCTGGCTGTTTACTGCATTACCTATCTTGTGAACCCTGTTCGTGAGGCATGATACATGAGTGAAAAGGGTAAGAAGGGGTAAGGAGATGCATTACCAAAACATGCTCCCAGTTCTGCATTAGGTAGATGTCGGCCTCATCGATGATAAGAATTTCTATGGACGAGAGGAAATCATAGTCTCTCTTGTTCTCTCCCTCAGCTCCAATAACAGTCCTCAGGCCAAGGGGAGATGCAATGATAATATCGGAGGAGTAAAAAGGCGCGTACAGCCGTATGCTCTTCTGAAGAACAGAAACGCCTGCCCAAACACAGACAGGCAAGTCAGTCACCAGTCAGTCATTTCAACAGTCATTATTTCACAGAATCCCAGAACGGTTGTGTATAGTTGTTCCTTTCTCTCTGAACCATCACAACCTTCGCACCTGATCACAATGGCTGTGTATGTATGGGTGAGTTGGGTGAGCATGCAAGTGTGCATAGAAACCTCTGAGTGGATGCAGCTACAAAAAGCAATGACCTACAAAAAGCAATGATCACATGTGTCACTCTGCCCAATTTTGTCTCTGAGAGCCAGTGTGGTGTAGTGGTTAAGAGTGGTGGACTCGTAATCTGGGGAACCAGGTTCGCGTCTCCGCTCCTCCACATGCAGTTGCTGGGTGACCTTGGGCTAGTCACACTTCTCTGAAGTCTCTCAGCCCCACTCACCTCACAGAGTGTTTGTTGTGGGGGAGGAAGGGAAAGGAGATTGTTGGTGACTTTGAGACTCCTTCGGGTAGTGATAAAGCGGGATATCAAATCCAAACTCTTCTTCTTCTTCTTCTTTGGTCCTACCCATTGCTAGCTAGGGTTGCCCATGAGGGAATGCTGCCCTTGGGATAGGCCCTAAGTCAGGGATGGGGAACATCCAGCCCATGAGCATATCTTGGCCTGCCAGGCCATCTTCCCCAAACCTATGACCATCCACCCATCAGCTGACATCACTGGTGACACCAGCTGACAGGCAGGGTTTAATCCTGCACTAGTTGCATGATCTTGTTCCCAGCAAAAAATGCACAGCCTAGGCAGCAGAACAAGATCAGCATGAGACTAAAGACTCGAAGGGGAAGGGTGAGGGAAACTCACAAAGGCTCCTCTCTCACTCCCATCAGAGTGAAAGGCATTTTGGCAGGTGGGCAGCCCTGCCCACTCGTCAAATTAAGTCTGCAAGGCAGATCCTGATAAAGACCTGGCACATGGAGTAAAAAATGTTCCCCATCCTAAATGGAGGCACAACCCATTTCCATGCAACCACCGCCATGGTGTAAAGCCCACTGGTGGGTCCAAATACATGGAACCAACGACATGAACTGGATAGTAGACCTTCCTCCAATTCCCTTGTTTGAATTGGGATCAGCTGCTTCCCTGATTCCAAACACACCTACAGGGTCAACATTAAGTGACAATGCAGCAACCAGTATCACAAAAATGAACACACGCCATGTTTGTCACTACGGTGAAGAGAACTTCTCTGCTTCTTTCAGCATGCCTAGTAAGTAGGTAAGACACATTCGTACAGGGAAGGGAAATCCTGAAGGGAGCCATTTGGCAACTGGACTTAATCAAAAGGAAACCATCAGCGGCAGTCATGACGCACTACTTGCATCTCTTGGCTGTATTATTAAGCAATATCTTTCATGAGACAATACCTTCAAGTAACATTAAGTTTTAAAGCAGCCCTCTCATAGCAAGAGTCCTAGACATCAAGCCACAGGGAAAGACTCTGCATAATGCACCAATAAACCAGCATGAAATTGCAATTTCTGGAAGAGTCTTGACGCTTTCTGTTTAGCCAACATTTGGACTCACTTCACCTGGGGAGAGTACAGCAGGGCTCAGCTGGAAGCCGCAGGCATTCTAGCTGCACAATCACCATTTTGCAGACGAACACAACATCTAGATCATTTACTGAATTTCTGCTTTCTCCAGTCCTCAAGGGCAACAAAGAAGAGTGACGGTTACAACACTGCCATCAGATTCGATTTCGGTTTTCTAGTTTCAGCGCAGTGCAGGGCTCGTTAGGGGTTCAACGACTCCAGAATAAGGGCTGCCTCCACCTATGCCTCCACAACAATTATTGCAGCTTCCACACCTTGGCATCCACAATGTTTATTGCACACCATTGCAGCTGGGGTGTGCTTGTGCTGGTGGTAGATTAGCAGGCTGCTTTGCTCTATGCTTACCGAAGTGTAGAGTTAGAAGGGACCTGGGAATTCACCTAGTCCAACACGCTGCTCAGTGAAGAATCTGCAATGCAGGGCGCACTCCTGATAAATGGCTGCCCAGCTTCTGTTTAAACACCTCCAGCAAAATAAAAGTCCACCACTGCCACACAAGGCAGTCTGTTCCATCCTCAGATAGCTCTTTTATCATCTGGCAGCTTCTCCGAATGTTTCTAAGTCCTGGCTTCAGCAGCAATGGAGAACCCGTCTTCTCCCTTTTCTGTGTGATCACTCTTCAGATATTTTAAGACTGCTGTCAACCCCTTCTGGAGAAGGAACTGGCAAACCACTCCAGTATTTTGCCAAGAAAACTCCATGGACATAAAAAAGGAGAAGCTTTGAGAAGAAAGTGAGAGTTTCCAAGGCATGCTCTGGTTCATGGGGTCATGGAGAGTCGAACATGACTAAGACGACTAAACAACAACAAAACCCCTTAATCTTCTCTCCTCCAGGCTTTACATGCCCAACTCTTTCAACTGTTCCTCATAGGTAATGGATTCCAGACCCTTCACTATCCTAGTTTCTCTCTTCCCTGGGCACTTTCCAGTTTGTAAGGAGAAGGCATGGCACAAATTATTATTAATATTATTAATATTTTTTATTATTAGAATTTGTATACCACCCTATACCCAGGGGTCTCATTTTAAAAGGGCATAGGATATCAATCAGATCAACCAAAGGCCTGGTTAAAAAGGAACGTTTTTGCCTGGTGCCTAAAGGTGTATAATAAAGGCGCCAGGCGAACTTCCCTGGGGAGAGCATTCCACAGACAGGGAGCCACTGCAGAGAAGGCCCGTTCTCATGTTGCCACCCTGCGGACCTCTCAAGGAGGAGGCACATAAAGGAGGACCTCGGAAGATGATCTCAAGGGTCTTCCAAAGATCACAGCACTGCCACAGAGGACCAATGGACAGATTTCCTGTTTTGCACAGAGCAACAACCAGCTGATTGAGAAGAGGGGGACACACTCTCTGTGACTCCTGAAATACCAGGGCACGGTCCAACTTTATGCAGGGTAAAGGCACAACTGGACCAAAAGCAGCACAAGACACAGCCGCATACTGCTTCTGTCCCAGCCAATTTCTCCATATTGAGCATGTCTTCCCATGGTTGTGCAAAGCGTTTTCTTGTGCGCTCCACATTAGTCCACGTCCACCTCTTCTTCACTTTTGAGGAGGAAGGACAAGTGATGCAGTTGCTAGGCAGTGGTAGGTGGCAGCGAGGAAATACACCAAGGCATCTACTTTTCAACGCTGCACAATGTGGTTGGGCCCGTAGCTGCTGGAGCTGTATATCCAGTACAGCTCTCAGTGCTGATGCTCAGTGAGATTCCGAATTGGCCTGCATCTCCCTACCATCTTTTGTTACCTTAAGTCAATCTTGCTGTAGAGAGACAAGGGAGATCAGAGCAGTTTAAAAGAAACAAAAAGGAGCAGGATATAAGGTCCTCCACTGAGCTGAGTTATGGCCGAATGAGACCACTGGCCCATCTCAGCCAGTACTGTCTACTCTGCTTGGCAGCAATGTCTCAAGCAGAGGAAGGAGAGCATGAAAGACAATTAAGTAGCAGCAGCTTCATCCATAATTCTGAAGCACCAATTGTTTTGAATCACATCCAACCCACACAATGTGGTCTAGCTTGTGCATTTGCCTCAATGTTACAAGCAGGGCCAAGCTTGAGCCCTTTGTTGTTGTTTTAAAAAAATGGTTCTGCAATCAAATTTTCCATGCAAACTGTTTGCAATGCAATGGAATTTTCCATGGAAAAAGAGTGTCCATTTCTGAAAATGCATTGTTCCTCAAAATTACGTAGTAACAAGATGAACAAATATGCTGGTAGTGAAACTGGGAAAGTTTAAAGGTTGCAATGTACGTTTTTCAGAGTACTATTCGTAAAAAAGCATAAATGCATGCACGCACATACAATATAATTGTACAGCTCTTTTGGCATGCTGAAATTAGCATGCTAACAGTTTTTGGTGTTGTCATTATAATGTCTTAAATATTTTCAGGTATTTCAATAATATCTGTAAGGCTTTGAATGAAACATCTAAGCTGCATTAATTGCACTTGACTATTTTTTCCCCACTAAGGAAATTGTTCCATACAAATAATTTTGGCAACTACAGAAAAATTAGAGATAGTTATTCAGTGTATAAAATTTACACTGCATGCTTTGTAAAACGTTATTACAGCATACTAACTAATCAGAAAGCAAACATGCTAAACCACATTTAAATCATTTTTGGGCACTGGAATTGTTTTCCCAGCAAACCCACATCACTGGCAACTGGTAAAAATATTGCAGGTGTGTGTGGGTGTGTATGGTTTGTGGAAGATTATAAACAGAGAGATCTAAAGCAAATGAGATAGCACAAAGTGCTAACCCCACTACTTTGTGTATCTTTCTCTTTTGAAATCCCTGTTTGCAGCACTACACATCAAACCACACCTGCAACTCCTGCATCTGATGAAATGGACTGTACTCCACAAAATATCATAATAAATTTGGTGCCAAGTGACTCTTCATTGTTTTTCCTATAAATGAAGCAGCCCTAAGGAGTCTAAATGGTAAGAGGGAGAATTACATTTAAAAACAAGACAGTGTTGGCTTTACCAAGGGGGGAAAAATCTACGCAAAAAATCGAATACTATTTTGGAGATTTGGTGGGCTTCCACTGGGCATTCAAAAAAACAACCCTAAACTTGTAAAACATGCTTAATGCTTTGAACTATTTTTTAGAACACAAAAGGACTGATCTTAAAATGTCAGTACCTAGCCTGAAGTGGTCATCAATGTTCCCAGCAAAGACAGCTTCATAATCTTCTGGCCTTTTCAGATTGGGCGGTTTCTCTTCTGGATCTGAGCCAAACTCCCCCTTGAACCGCTTTTTGTTACTAACATCAATTTTCTTTTGACTTGTCGATTCAAGGAGGCTGATGAAAATCTGCACCACACGTAAAGCAGATTCCCGGAAGGGCACCACTATCAACACCTATGCAGGGAAATGCAGAAGCAAATCTATTTTGAGCAAGAAATATTTTTCAAAAGAAGACACACAGAGAGTGAGATGCTATATTGTAGGTATTTAGGGCTAGCCATTAAAAAAATTATGTGCCCCTCATCTAGCTTTAGCTGACTGACTACTCCTTAAAATACGTATTTATTTGCAGAATTTATATCCTACCCAACCTATAACATAAATTTATCTTTGTACCCAGGGCAGCTAACAAAGTAGAAAGATAGAAAAAAATATTGTAATGAGAATAACTAGCACAACAAACTAAAACAGCAATTGTCTGTTCAAACAGTCCAGTGAAAATGAGAGCTGCTCAAAGTTGTGTTAAAATTTACCGTTCTAAGAAGCATGGGAAAACAGTAGAAAAAAATGACTGGTGCCTAAATCACAGTAATAAGGGCATTAGGTGGGTCTCCCTGTGGATGGCATTCCAAAGGTGAGGAGCCACCAATGAAATGGTGTTTTCTCCTCATTTGACACACAGACCAGTGGTGTTGGATTGGATAATGGTCTCAGATGATAATCTCAGTGAGCAGGCAGATTGCTGCTGGAGAAGGCAGTTCAGAAAATATCTGGGTCCATATATATGAATGAGAGAGTTCTAGATAACTATACAGAAATTAGGAGCATTCTCCATGGGATATATTGAACCATGTTTGTCATTCATTATCAAACTCCCTGTCCCTGGTATTTGAGCATTAAAATGAAGATCTAACAAACAAAGAAACAAAAAACATACCCAGTGTTATGATACAATAGTTAAACATCCCCAAGGAATAGATCCTGGAGATTCCAATAACGTTTTCTACTCAAGTCCAAAAAGAAAATTGGTCCATCATTTGAGACACAAGAGAAGCAAATATTGGGTGGAATCAATCGAAGTCTTATTGCATGATGATTATGGACTCATGGACAGTTGGCCAAGCATGGGCACCTTACAGTTTCCAAGTTGTAAGAGATTTAATCATTCCCCTACTGGTCAGGGATTCATAGGCTGATTTGAAGGGACACCTTTACTGTACAATGGCAGCTCTGTTTAGGGAATACCACATACACCAAGGCATGTTTTCCATGCAATGACGACAAATTAAGGAAATCCTTTCACCTTTGGTCTTGTGAGTCCTTGATCTCTGAAGCTATCATCGTCAGTCCCAGGTTTTTGGTCCCTTCGCTTGGCATTATTGCCAAGCACTTGGGCATTTGCCTTCAAGACGTGGTTCAGGGCATGCAGGCAGTAGACTTGACGGACTTCTTCCCCATTGCTTAAAGCAGTCCTCTCAGGGTAGAACAAGTCCTTGTATGAATTCATGATGCAGAAAAGCTCTTTCTGCAGCAAAGTAAATGGCTGATCTTTTGATTTCACCTGCGTGGAAAGGAATGGGCTGTTGACTTTAGGCCAAGCAGATCCTAAAGGCTTGCGAAGATGAAGCCGTTTCAAATCAACTTCTTTGTCTGGCTTAACCATTCCAAACTTCTCCAATTTTAAAGAAAACACTAACTGACCCAGTGCTGGCCACTAGAAAGGAGAAACAAACACAACATAAGGTTAAACACAACTCCTGTTAATAGTCTCAGATACGCTGTAAAATACCCTATTTCTCTTTTTTTACAGAGGATGAGCACAACACATTCAGAGATGAGTCAGCAAGTTTTGAACCAAATAAGGAATAGAAACCAACCACAGTGAATATGAAATAAATGTACGTTATTACCTTGACTTGGCTGGTAGATTTTGAACATGCAAGAATTTTATCTATTTGTTTTTCTTCCAGTTCTTCTTCGACATGACACTTAAATGGATCTGTGTGGAGAGATAAAAACAATGTTATGAAAACTAGACTCTGCTCTACACATTTTTAAAAGAAATCTGATCAGAAGGAGGAAATTGTTATCGCAATTATGAATTGTTAGAGGTCTGTCAGAGATCTCAAATGCTGCATCTAACAGTAAAAGAAGAAGAAGAAGAAGAAGAAGAAGAAGAAGAAGAAGAAGAAGAAGAAGAATGTAATCATAAAAGAATCTTGCATGACAAAGCAATTCTATAGTACAGAAAACAGCAGCATGGCTAAAGGGGAACTTCTGCCTCACCCCGATGTGGTAGGACTCCAGCTCCCATCTGCCTCAGTCAGTGCAGTCCACCTCTGTTCTACAATGAGCATACACATAAGCCTTGTCATTCCTCAAAAAAGGAACACCCATTCTCAAGAGGTTTGGCAAACCCAAGCAGGTTTTGGAAGGAATGGCAAGAGATTTTTTCTACCACCAGAGAACTGAACTTAGTGACAATAAAAAACAAATTAGCTATTAGTGTTCAAGTCTGATCTGCACAATTGATGACCTCTTAAGTTAAACGCAGCTCGCTATGTGTGGTTTGCCAGATGCAATGGCAAACTCTTCTTTGTGTAGTTTTAATCAGGCAGCACAAAGAGGAGGTTCATCTGACCTCAGGTGGAAGGCAACGGACGGGTTCTATGGCTCATCAGCTGCTCAGATCTGCTTTAAATCAATTTCTCAAGGTTCTTAGGCTACATTAAGGAATAATGTCCTCCCCTAAGCAGCAACCTATGAACCTATAACCAAGACCATCACAGTTACAATTATATAATACAATACAATAATATATATATTACATATAAAATATCAAGAATCCAGCAAGCAGTAACCAGGATTATTAAACCTTTTAAAACATAAAGACATAAAAATGACCAAAATTTCAATAAGCAATTGAAACAAGACTCTAAAAAACAGTAACAACCATAATAAAAATCCTCTTAATTTAAACAGGTACAGATGAGGCCAACCACACATTCCTTGGGAGTTCCATTGGACAGGGGCCACCACTGAAAAGGACCTGTTTCTAGTGTCTGCCAGTTTAATTGGCCTTAGTGGCATGCCAATGAACAGGGCCTCCAAATTCAACCACAGGGCTCAGACTGGTCCAAAGAGCTGAAGGCAGTCCTTCGAGATGTCAAGAAGCTTGTATGTAGGTACTCTCCCCCACCCAACAAACATTTAATATAAAGACCATGCATTTTACCTTTTGCAATATCTACAGAACCACTGCTTTCTTTCCCATCTGCAGAAGGATCACCGCACTCTTCTTCTATGAAATTGGTTTCCAGGCTAAACTCAGATTCGTGCTGCACGTCTGTGAATTCTTCAGTAGCTTCATGTTTCAGGTCGCTAGAAGCCTCTGGATCTCCAGGTTCCTCTTGGCTGTTTTTCTGCAGTGGTGCTTCTTGATCTATGCCAGATCAAAAAGAAGAAGAGTCGTAGGTTGTATTCGTATGAGAGCTGTGGTCTACAGAATTTGAGATGCACTGGATTACCTGATTCTGGGGGGTCAGGCGCATTGCTGTCATTGTCGTCGTCCTCCATTTCTCCCTCAACTTCTTCGTACTCATCATCACTGCCCACTTCTGAATCACCTTTGTTGCTTCCTCCTTCTGATTCATCTTCATCATCCTCACTGTCCGAATACGGAGCAGTTTTTAAGGTGGCCAGTAACTTGTGATATACTGAGGCTTGTTCAGAATCATTCTCTGTGTCACTTTCTGAGCTTGACTGTTCAGAATTTTCTGACTAGAAATGGAAAAAAAATAACGTATAATGCAAACATACTGATACAGAGTCTGATCACTGGATGCTGGGCCTAGTATTACCTTCTATACTATTCTATCCAAATCCAGCTTTTATATGTCAGCAACCCTCCAAAGTTCACAGGCTGAGGGGTTTCCTTCTTAACTGGTAATGCCAGTGATTAAACTTAGGATCTCATGCATGTAGACTGTCCTTCTACAACATGGTGCCCTCAAGATGGGCAACTCCTGGCCGTGTTCAGCTGTAGCCTGAAACATCTGGAAAGCAACAGGTTGGAGAAGACTGATGCGGACCACTTGTATCTCTTCCAATAGGGATTCAGGCCTCACCATGGGACTTAAACTGCTAATAAATATTTCAAGTTTTGTGTTAAGAAATCCAAGTTATGGGTGAGATCCAATGGCACGCCAGGGGCCCTGACAGTACTTCTCTTCTTCCCCTGCACCCCTATCTGCTCTAGAGTATCCCTCAACTCATTGGAGCAGATGTTTGGGGCTTCTGGGGAGCTGCAAGAAGGAGGGAAAGGAATTCCCATTTGCAACAGCAGAAATGTGTTGTGCAAGCGGGATGGGTTGGGGCAGGGATAGAGAATGAGCTGGAGCCAGAGGATGGGACTGCTGAAGTCCTACTCTGTTATTACTGCAAGCTTCTGCAAACCTTCCCCAGCTTTTTCAGATTTGCAAGCTTTTCTCTGAAGTCACAAGCGCTAGGACAGGAATGGGGAACCTGTGGCCTTTCAAATGTTGTTGGATGACAATCCCTACCATGCTCGACCACTGGCTGTGCTTGGCTGAGGGTGATGTGAGTGGAGTCCAACAAGATATGCTGAAGCCTAAATTCTGGGTGAAATACCAGGCGCTAAAGCAGACACATAAAACCATAGAATTGTGGAGTTGGAAGGGACCCTGAGGATCATCCAGCCTGAACCCCTGCAATACAATGCAGCTGTCCTATACAGGGATCGAACCTGCAACATTGCCACTATTAGCACCACACTGAGCTATCGAATTACACTGCAACCAGGGATGGAAACAGCAAAGGCAGCGAGGAGGGATGTGCTATAGAATTTGAACTAACTGTGTTAATACAATTAGTCAGTTTTCATGCATTAGCATTTCCCATTAATTTATCCATATAAAAAGAGGCATGCTTAAAAAAAGGTAGGGTCACTCTTACCAGTTCACAGATTTGAGTTGGTTTTTCTTTCCCAGAAACCCTAAAAGGAAACCATTTGAATTTAATTTATCTTTAGCGACTGATACATAGATTGAAAAAAAATTAAAAATAATCAAAATGGTGTGTAGCTTTTAATATTTGGAGAGTTTAGCACAAGAAGACATGAGAATTACTGCACATAGCTGCCCATCACAACTTATAATGTCCTGATTGGAACCAGAACAAGAGATTTCCAAAAGACAATAATATTTTAAGAGTTCCTTAGTGCTTGCATCACTCTACTGTGTGCAGCCTTTACACACCTGTGTGAACACCACCTGGGAGCTGGAAGGAGCTGAACTGCACCTTTCGAAAAAGAGGAAACTTTACAGAAAGCTGTGATCAAACCATCCCAAGTGAGTTGTCCTTTCTGTGCCCCAAATGGCTGAAGGAAAAAAAGCATCAGTCCCAGATTATTATTGCTGCTGCATCACCTAATACATTGTGAAGAATCTGGCATTGAATAATTGGAAAGGAGAGGAGCCCAGAGATACAGTTATACTGGGTACAAGCAATAGCTTTTAATAAGCATGTTTAGTCAGATGTAAGCCCCACTGAGCTCTATAGGGCTTAGTCCCTGGTAAGTGTGCATACAACGGCAGTCTAAAAGAGTTGTGGTGGATCGCACAACTCTTGCCCCAGTGCTCACTCCTGTCAAACTGTAGTGTTTGTGGGGTTTTGAAGCACTACAGAACCATGCAAAAACAGTGAACAGAGGCTGAGTGTGGGATAAGTGCGCACAGTATGAGGATCACAACCAGATGTCCATGGGAAGCCAGCAAGTGGTATCTGTTCACAACAGCACTCCTCTCCTGCAGTTCCCAGAGAGAAGAAACACAATGGTGCATCTGCAGCAGCACAACCGGACGCCTTCATCTGCCCCAACTGCAACAAAACTTATCTCTCCAGTACTAGTTTCTACAGCAGCAGCAGGCTCTGTAACCTTCCAACAGTTTGCTGTCACCCCCATAGGTGCATTCCTCCATTGTCTCCCAATACAGATGGATGCTGACTGGACTGCCTCTGACTGGGGAGGCAATATCCTCTGCATTCTGGGACAGATAACTAAAAACTTTCAGCTCTCTATCAGTTGTGAGAGATGAAGACACAGGAAGAAAGGAGGCAAAGGCCATTGAAAAATGAAAATGAAGACATATAGTCAGCTATGGATCACTGAAAATGCTGCAGGCGTGGGGAGAAGGGCATTTAGGACAGCCAAAATCCGCGGAGCAGTCTGCTTTAGCAATTCAGTCTATGTGAGGGATGGGGAAATTGTGGCTCTCCAGACGTTGTTAGACTCCAACTCCCATCATCCTTAGCCGGCAGGGCCAGTTACCAGGGTCGATGGGAGTCGTAGTCCGACAACACCAGGAGAGCGCCGACTCAGGGAAGGCTACTGTAGGGAAATCGTTGCAGGCAACAAACAGATCCTTCACCTTAGACGCTATTCAAACAAGCCCCGCTCACCGGTCGTAGAATGGGTGCTCCTCCCCGAAATCCTTGAGGTGCTTCTTCTGCTTCTTACTCAAGCTGCTGATCAGCTGCTGCTGCCGGCGAGCTTTCCTCTTCCCCATGTTGCCGAACTTCCTGCTCCGCTTCCCACGTGGATTTCCTCCCCTGTCGCTTTACGGCCCCCCAAGTCCGCCGCTTACGACAGTGGGCTGGGCTGGATCTGCTGTGGGTTCCTTGGCTCCTCCTGGAGGAGGAGTGGCTGGTACCTTGCCTGTAAGGGCTTATAGTTAGGGGTTTTTTTGCACCTTACGCAGAAGTTTCATGGGGTCCCAGTGAGCTTACTGGCAAGTAAATGTGTTTAGAATCGCAGCCCATATCGGTTATCCACCCCCAACCCCTGTTCGTTGAATGCTCTCTTTAATACACGTATTATTGAGACCGTTCTAGGGTTCGTTGAGCCTCGCTGGGGATTGTAACTCTGTGAGGGGGCGGACTACAGTGCCCAGAATCCTTTGCGGCAATCGCAGCCCTGCCGCTGACGCAACTTGGACGTAGAGAAGGCGGGGCCTAGCTACGGCAGCTGCTTCCCGAAACGAAGCTGTTCCCCGGGCTCCTCCTCCTGGTGGGGGGCGTGGCTTCGCGGCTCGCTCGCTCTCCTGAGACTTTGCCGAGGCGCCATTTTGAAAAGCGTTATGTTTGTGGGCTGAACCCGAGAGAGACGAGAGGAGGAGAGGCGGCTTTCTCCTCCCACCCCTTTCGGCGCGGCCGCGACGTTGTTTCTGTCAGCCGTTTGGCAAAGCGTCGAGCCGGGTAAGTCCTCCCTCGCTCCGCGGCTTCTGCTCCGTCCTCGTTTTCTCCTCCGCGCGCCTGGAGCATATACTGTATAACCGTCGCCTCGCTGGGTCAGGCATAAAAGGCCTGATCCTGCTGCGTCTTTTCCCTCAGGGGAACCGGCCAGAATTTTTGGACACTACTATAAAAATGCAGGATGGGCGTATAGACAACCACCTTATACCGTAAACCAACTGACCAACAAATATACAGTATCTGCATGCTTCTAGCTACCATCCCAAACAATCCAGGCCCTACGTTACAGCCGCATCTGTTCCAACTCTGCAGACAGAGACTCTCACCTAAGAGATCTACAGCAAACCTTTTTAGAACTAAAATATCCGCCTAATAAACAATAGATCACCAGAGCCAGACTGATGGGGGGGATTAGTTTGAAACATCAGTCAGAGGTTTACAGCAAGTTATACAAAAAAGGTCATATAATATAAAATACAGCAAAATATGTAACCTAATTTATTTAAAACCCTTTGGCCAGCTCTTCAGCTGAAAAAAGGCTTCCAGAGCAGCTTAGAAATGTCAGACTTTTAATTGAAAATAAATGGCACCCAAAAAAAAGGGATGCTGAGGGATGAGGAAACCGCAAACTTGTTCTTGGTTAGAGAATTCTTGTACTGACCACTGGAGTGGAAAATTTTAGGGTAACCAAAAGTGCCGACCTCTGCTAATAGGAACCCTGCAAGCCCATTTCTTCTGCTATATCCTTAACAACAAGAAATTTAAGTAATCTGTTTTAAACTTTGCTAAACAACAACAAAATACCTTTAAAGTGTCTTGAACAAAACATAAAGCTTTATTGTTTTAATGTATAATGAGTAAACTCCATTTTCCACCTTCCTACCCTCTTGTACTGCTACTGTTCTAGTCAGTTTCATAACACATGCAATCTTTGAGCAATACTTAATAGAACGCAAAGAATAATTTCTTAAAAGAGAGATGTGTGGTTCATGTTCCCCTCTTCTCTGATAGGGGTCTAGTGTTCTCTGATTCTGTGTTACCGATAGTAGTGCCTACACAGTACCTTTCCATGTGTTTACTGAGAGTGGTGGTGGAATTTTCCTGTTGGCTAATGTAAAGTGGCTCATGTCTCATTACGTCTTCCAAGCCTCAGGGTTGACCAGGCCAGTCACATCCACCTTTCTTGCATCTGAGGTCATGTATGATGTCAGATTTAGGAAAGTTCAAGTAGCAGATGTTGCGATGTTTGTGTTCCTGATTCCTTTACAAGGAAAAACCCGAGCCGTTTTGCTTGTCTGCACTGCAGTTGATTTCAAGCTGTGGCTGCAAGGGAAGATCTGATTGAATCTACAGATAGAATCACCTGACATCATACAATGTCCTCTGATTGATAGGTGGGCAGGGGTGCTCACCAATTAATGTGGCCTGTGGAGGGCTGGCCCTCTGGCTGGCTGGATCCAGTTCCCCACCCCTGCTGTTGGCCCAGCAGCCTTGCATTTGCCTATTTGTGACATCTTCGTTTTGAAACTGTATTCATAGTTGCATCGTATGGTACAAGGCACAGACTTGGGTAAGATTATCTAGAAGACTTGCTTTGATATTTCTCTTTGTATCAATAAGATGGTGTATAATTGTTGGTAACTATTTTTAACAGACTCTGCTGGAAACCTCCAAAATTACATTAGGGGAAATTTGATTCTTAAACTTTTATGTTGAAACATGACTTTATTTTCCCTTCCAGTATTTCTAATAGATGGAAGAAGGAGCTGAAGACCTAATGGATCAGCCTGAATCTGCTCCAGAAAACATACAAGTGACTGAAACAAAAAAAAGGTGAGACATAATTCCTAAGTTGCTGCTGTTGTTAAATGTCATATTTAAAAAATGAAAAATGTTTTATAAAAACTACAAAGGGTCTTATGGCGATATGGGATGGGGGGAGCAACTCCCATCTCTTGCGGGGGCGCAATTAGTGCCAGCACCGTCCGTTAAGAGTTTGGGTGTAATCTTCGACACCTCCCTTTCCATGGAGGCGCAGATTGCAGCTACAACAAAGGCGGCATTTTCCCATCTCCGCCAAGCTAAGCAGTTGGCTCCTTACCTCTCTTGCCCTGACCTAGCCACTGTGATCCACGCGACGGTCACCTCCAGACTGGATTATTGTAACTCGCTCTACGTGGGGCTGCCCTTGAGACTGACCCAGAAACTCCAGCGGGTGCAGAATGCTGCAGCGAGACTCCTTACGGGGTCTTCGCTGCGAGATCACATTCACCCGGTGCTATACCAGCTGCACTGGCTCCCAGTGGAGTACAGGATCAGGTTTAAGGTGCCCTATACGGCCTAGGACCCTCGTACCTACGGGACCGCCTCTCCTGGTATGCCACAGAGAAGTTAGGCTGGCCTCAACTAGAGCCAAGGCTTTTTCGGCCGTGGCTTCGATCTGGTGGAACACTCTGTCACAAGAGACCAGGGCCCTGTGGGACTTGACATCTTTCCGCAGGGCCTGCAAGACAGAGCTGTTCCACCAGACTCCCTCCCTCGGCAATCTTCGTGGAGCTCTGGCCCAATGGTTGCCAGTGGCTTGAATTAATTAATTTTATAATGAATGATTTTAGAGTGTTGTTTGTGCTGTACTTTTGTACTGTTTTATTGTTGTTAGCCGCCCTGAGCCCGGCTTCGGCTGGGGAGGGCGGGATATAAATAAAATTTATTATTATTATTATTATTATGGGTAGCATTGATCTAAGTTTTTCTTAGAGTAGTTCTAATAAAATCCATGGAAATAACTTGGTTGTGTTCATTAATTTCAGTGGGTCTACTCTGAATAAATTTGGTTGAATACCACCTTAACATATATGTATATTTTCATGTTCATCAGCTGCATTAAGTGTAATCCTGAGTTGCAAGTACATATGTACTGGGATTATAAACAGTCATCCCCCCCTGTCAACCTGGGTTTGTGTATATTTTTTCATATACATGTAATCTGAAACTAAGTGCCCTAGGTCATGTACTAACATAGTGGGTTGTATCCAACTAAATTTTACTTTGAGTATACCAGTAGAAATTAATTCACTGAAGTTAACTCTGACTATTACTGTCAGTGGATCTACTCTGAGCATGACTGGTACTAAGCACAATGCAGCATTGCCAGGTAAGATCAATTGATAAAAGATTTTGAGTGACATAGGGTTGCCATATTTTGAACTGAAAATCCGGAAAGAAAAGTTGTTGAGCTTTTTTCTTTTTGGGGAGGGTGGGGGGCAAATTTGTGAGCTGTTTTTGAGCTAGTTTTATGGAAAAACTGCACTGCCAACATGGGCTGCCATACTTCCAGATTTTCTGTATATTTGCAGTATTCCATATACAGTATGTTTGGGAAATTCCGGACATATGGCAACCCTAGGTTGACAGCCCATGAAACTCTGCTTCTGTGCATGGTTTAGGGAGGGAGAGCAGGCTCATGTGCCACAGCTATGGGGAAATCACAAATTCAGTGGGTTAAGACTTCTAGTATGGAAATGCAATTCTGCAAAGAACTTCATCCGTGTTGTTAGTTAGTTCTGTGTGGCCCACAGGTTATTTTTGACCCTTGCTAAAGGAGGATACAGCTTTCCATATGACACAAAATACCTGCAAGTTTGATGCAAATTTGTGTTCTCTTTTATGGGTGGGGCAGAGGGTCTAATCTACATACAGTGTGGACCTGCAAAATCCTGTTGGCACCTCTAGCCATAGTAATTGGACTGTGGTTCTTAGAACAAAAAAAAAAATGGTAAGAATTTCATATGTTCTCCTTCGTTATGCTCAGGGGCCCAAGAGGTCGGGGAAGAGGCCGAGGTGGCAGAGGCTATACTAGAGGGAAAATGCGAGGCAGATCACTGAATGGCTTTGGGCCAATAAGGTAATCTTTCATTTTTTTACCTATTATTTACTTATTGTATAATGTTGTACACATTAACTTCAGGGTGCAAACTTCCTAACTGGCAAAGCTTTAATACACAGTTGCAGTTCGAATTGTGATGGTTTTGCAGGCTTAAAGGGATGTGCATGCAGGTACGTTTCCCCTACTAAAATGAGTGTTGCACTTGCTTGCAGATGGTCACAGGCCCAACCTCCAGCATTTCCAAGTAGGGCTGGGAAAGGCTCCTTCTGAAACTCCGGAATGGGACTGCCATTCAGGGTGTAGCCAAAATGGGGTCATCCAGATGTCACTGGACCGTAGCCCCTCTTATTCCTGACCCTTGGTTATGGAATAAGGCAGCTTCATATGTTGAACTGTAACCAAGAATGTGGTTAGAACTTAATCATCAGCTTGTGTTCAGAAGATCAGCTAAGCCAAACCTTGACTTACCTCACACATGGCTTAGGAGCAAAAGGGACCGGAAAGGACCAAAATGGCTACAAGCTCTTTTCCAGGAGTCTGCACATTTGCAAACCTGGACTTTTGTCTCTTTATTAAGATTTGCTGAGTTGCTCATGCTTTTTTTTTTAATAAGATATTTATTAAGATTTTTTAAAATATTACAATAAAAAAGAAAGAAAAAACAAAAATACAAAATAAAAATGGTTAAAAACACACAGATTTTCCATTACTTATTTTCCTTTAGCTTGTTTCCCGGACCTCTTCATACCTCCCTTTTTTGTATTCCACTTCAATCTGTTGGTTCAGCAAATCCTTACCCTCTTTAATTATCCTAATCCTTGATCTTAAAAATAATAGCATTAGATTTTTACCTATTTATAACCCTTTTTCATATTCCCTTAAAGCATTACAGCTGGAAACCACTTAATTTCTATCCAACATCATTCTAACATTCATTAATTTTACAATATTTCTGTAGATAATCTTTGAATTTCTTCCACTCTTCTTCCACCGACTCTTCTCCCTGATCTCGGATTCTGCCAGTCATTTCTGCCAATTCCATATAGTCCATCAGCTTCATCTGCCATTCTTCCAAAGTGGGTAAATCTTGTGTCTTCCAATACTTTGCAATGAGTATTCTTGCTGCTGTTGTGGCGTACATAAAAAATGTTCTATCCTTCTTTGACACCAATTGGCTGACTATGCCCAGGAGAAAGGCCTCTGGTTTCTTCAAGAAGGTATATTTAAATACCTTTTTCAGTTCATTATATATCATTTCCCAGAAAGCCTTAATCCTTGGGCACGTCCACCAAAGGTGAAAGAATGTACCTTCGGTTTCTTTACATTTCCAACATTTATTATCGGGCAAATGATAGATTTTTGCAAGCTTGACTGGGGTCATGTACCACCTGTATATCATTTTCATAATATTCTCTCTTAGGGCATTACATGCCGTAAACTTCATACCTGTGGTCCATAACTGTTCCCAGTCAGCAAACATAATATTATGTCCAACATCTTGTGCCCATTTAATCATAGCAGATCTCACCGTTTCATCCTGAGTATTCCATTTCAACAGCAAGTTATACATTCTTTACAAATTCTTAGTTTTGGGTTCTAACAATTCTGTTTCTAGTTTTGCTTTTTCCACCTGGAAGCCAATTTTCTTATCCAAATTGTATGCCTCCATTATCTCATAATAATGAAGCCAATCTCGCACTTTGTTTTTTAATTTCTTGAAACTCTGCAATTTCAATTTGTCTCCTTCTTGTTCCAAAATTTCCCAATATTTCGGCCATTTGGCCTCCATATTGAGCCTTTTCAGAGCTTTCGCTTCCATCGGTGACAACCACCTTGGGGTTTTGTTTTCCAATAAATCCTTATATCTTATCCAAACATTAAACAGTGCTTTCCTGACAATATGATTTTTAAATGCTTTATGTGCTTTGACCTTATCATACCATAAATATGCATGCCATCCAAATACGTTATTAAAACCTTCTAAATCCAAAATGTCTGTATTTTCAAGAAGTAGCCATTCTTTCAACCAGCAAAAAGCTGCTGATTCATAGTAAAGTTTAAAGTCTGGCAGGGCAAATCCACCCCTTTCCTTTGCATCAGTTAATATCTTAAATTTTATTCTGGGCTTCTTGCCCTGCCAGACAAATCTAGAAATATCTCTCTGCCACTTCTTGAAACAGTCCATCTTGTCCACAATTTGCAATGTTTGAAACAAAAACAACATTCTAGGCAATACATTCATTTTTATCACAGCAATACGACCCAACAGTGAAAGCTTCAAATTTGACCAAATTTCTAAGTCTTTTTTTTCACTTCCGTCCAACATTTTTCATAATTATCTTTAAATAAGTTCCCATTTTTGGCTGTCATATTAATCCCCAGATATTTCACTTTCTTAACCACAGTCAAGCCTGTCTCATTCTGAAACCTCTCTCTTTCAATCGGTGTTAAATTTTTCTCTAAAACCTTAGTTTTTAACTTGTTCAATTTAAATCCTGCCACTTGACCAAATTCTTGAATCATGCTTTTAGATTGGTGTTGAAAAGTTCTTGTTTTTGTAGACGTGGAATGGGAAGAATGCGCCCATATTCAGATGTAAGAGGGCGAAGAGGAGGACGAGGCGGACCTCTCTTCTCGCCATCTCTGCCTCGGAGAGGAATGATGAGAGTGCCTTTTCTGCCACCCCCACCATGGTTAGTATTGAGGTTGACAGTGCAAATATATTTAAAAACAGTGACTGTAGTTTTGGGTTAGTTAGGGCTGTGCTTGGGGTTGATTCACCTAGCCATATGTTTTATATATGCAATTTGCATTAGTTGCAGAATTTGGGGCTTTCTGCAAGCAAATTTCACAAGACCCTGTTTTCTTGTCAAATTCCATAGAATTGGTTGTGTGAGGGTCCACAAAGGAAAAAAAAAGTTTCAAGAGCTGGAGATCAGTTTTGGGGATTTTCCACTGAGGAGATGACACTGCAATTGTTGGGGGTTTTTTTGGAATCTAAGTTATGCAACTGAAAGGTTGTATGTGACTCAATATCAGGAGTGCTTCTTTGGAAAGATTTGGGGTTGTAAAATATACCTCAAGATAGCTGATGCTAATCAGACAGTGAAAGTTTAGGACTGAGAGCTACTGAGTTAGATCAAGCACTCCTGTACATACAAGGAGAAATTACCTTCCCTAATATATGTATGTGTGTGTGTGTGTGTGTGTGTATATATATATATATATATATATCTCCCCCACACTCATCTGAAATTTGGAGAAAATCTTTTAAAACAGGCAACTATTCCTGGCAACTCTGAAAGCACAATTTTTAGATTAAAAAACATGTTTTATTATCAATATGATTGCTGTCCTGGGCTCCTTTGGGAAGAATGGCAGAATGTAAACTGAATGAATGAGCAAATTCTAATAAAAATCACCGTATTTTTCTATGTATAAGACTAGGTTTCCCCCCTAATAAATAATGTCCAAAATTGGGGGGAGGGGGGCGCGTCTTATACACGGGGGCCATCTCCCCCCATTTTCTTAAATAATGTCTTATACATTGGGGCGTCTTATAGACAGAGAAATACGGTATGTTTTTATTATTATTTGAAGAAAATGCCTGTCTGAAGCAGGGAAAACAAAACTAATAGTTACATGATATATAACTGGGTTAGTAGTCATATGATGATGGTCAGTTGGGTCTGTCTCTGCAGTTTTGAGCTTCCTCCCCCACCTCCCCCTCCCCCACCACCTGGACCAATGGGCTTCAGAGGAATACCTCCTCCTCCCCCCAGAGGCAGAGGGATGCCGCCATGGCCACGAGGCCGTTTCCCACCTCCAAGCAGGTAAGATTCCTTTCCCACTCCCTTTTTTAGCTCATTTTACTTTACACTTAAAGAATTTTATGTAACAGTGTTTAAAACTTAAGGAAGGTTCAGTATTCAGAACGAGGCATATCACGTAGAGACTTAAAAAATCGGAACTTATTGTTAGCATAATATTTAACCACACTGGAAGCTTTCTAAATATGCATGTTGGAAGCATACTCCCAAATTGTAATGTAGGGTTTTAAGTCTGTTGTTTTTAAAAAGTAACTCTTTTGAGAAGGGAAAAAACAACAATTATGATTTTATCCTTTTATACAGCTTTCCCAGTGGACCCGGTGCACCACCTCTTCCGCCACCTGGGCGGGGCCAGAGATGGCCTGGGCCGCCAGGTGGCAGATACTATTAAAGAGGCTTATTCTTTAAATTCAGTAACTGGGATACATCCTTTTTACCTTAAGACCATTTGAAATGGCTGGACTAAGAATTGCCTATAAAGCATTAAAGAAGGCAAAGAAAATAACAGAGTGCTTGATATTCCATATTTTTCCAGCAGCCCTTATGCACCAAGTTGGTAAAAGCCATATATTTTTTAAAAATATCCTAAAGACCTGTGACTCCTTGGACACTTTCAAGAATATCCTTTTGAAGCCTGTTGTTTGTGGACCTTGGCATCTGCACACTAAAAGTTAAAAGAAAGATATCTTAAGAATAGGTCAAGCTTTAACTTAATATTCACAATTAAGTTGTGTGCAGCTCTTTTTTTGGAAATACATCTTGATTTGTTTCAGTAACATGTATTTGTTTGTTCTAAATCTTGTGAACTCTGGTTTCAAATGCACTTACATGTGGTAACAATAAATTCATCAAGATGCTTCTTACTTCAAAGGGGCAATTATTCTGTATCATGTGGGGAAATATAAGCAATGCACAAAATGTAATGGATAAAAGAAACTGTGGATGTTAATTTAAGAAAAAGAAAAAAATTACAAATGAACAGAAGTTTATGGACTTTGTTTAAATTTTTAATTACTGTTTCTGTTACTCAGCTTGACCTTGGTGTTTAAATTTCTAGCATGTAATAACTACGTGTAGTACATGGCTAAGCATTTGACCTATTGTATAATTACAACTGGTGATGTTATCAAAAACATAAAATGAAAGGCTATATTAAAATCCGCAGTGTGCATATTGTTTTAAATGACAGATTTCTGTACATTACACAATCACTTTAGATTTGATTTTGTTGTGCACTAGAAAAACTTAACAAAAATGGAACATGTAAATCTTTTTTTGCTTGTTAAAATAACAGATAAAATTGTAAAATTCTGAAACAGTGCTGTTTAATGTCAAGGATGATCACAGTCAGTAAATTTACATTCATTAATACGGTCTGTGTTCTTCTGTGCTGAGGGCTGAATAGAAACTTTTTTTACCAGTCTGGTGCAGTTTGGGACTTTTTAACTTAAGCAGTTCCTACACTGGGTCCAAAGTCTACAAGCAAAGTTTTAAAAAAAATGAAGAAAAGCAATAAATTGAGGTATGAAAGCATATATAGATGTCTATATTCTACTCCTAACACTTGGCTTCCAGTTAATTGGTATCTTAACAAAATGTATTAACCTTAGCTTTGATAAAACAAAACAAAAACCCGACTTAGATTGATACTTGATCAGAACCTCAACGTTCCCAATAAATCACGAAAGCTAATATTTAGCCTTCACAACTTATTCTTTAAAAGTGAAAAAATTCAGCTGTGTATAACATATTAGAAAATACTTTATCCTATTCATTTGGTGAAATCATTATACTGCAACGATGCTTTGTTTTGACTTTGTGTTGGTTCATTATGTTGGTTTAAAAACACATCTAATGTTGCCCAATGGTGAAAGAATGATGCTGTTGTTATCTTCTGAAGGGTAACATAGTCACCCTTTGAGGCCAGTGGGAGATGGCATGCAGACCTTTGGGAGAGCTTTCATCAAGGCCTTGAGGTGAGACAGTATTTAAACATTTTCCCCACTCACTTTCTTTTTCTTTGAGTGAAGTGCACATTCATCCGAGTTTGATTCATGTCTGAAGTGGGGCACATACACAACACACAGTCTCGATTCTGTTTCACTCAGAACATTAGCGGCCAATATACAGAGTTACCTCCTAGTGGAACCCAGTCATACAAAAGGGATTCATCAGGTTCAGTTGGAGAAACTGAGTTGCCGAGCACATGGTGGTGGGTCAACCAGGCGTGTGTCCAATGAAGCTGGGCTTTATGCAGATCTTTACCGAAAAGGTTACTGTCAGAAATTACTAAGCAATACACAAATTCTGTTACTTGGAATAACATTTGAACATATAAAGCCATGTTTACACTGAATTGGAACATTCCTCTGTCTAGTCCAGGAGTGGGGAATGATCTAGCTACCAGGCTATATCCTTATCTCTGCAACACAGAGACACATAATAGATCCACTTTGTGAGGTGGGTGGGGTTGGCCATCTGTCAGTCACCTGACCTCATGATGTCAGATGACCCTTTTTTGGCTGTGTGGTTCAAGCACCATGCTTATTATTGGGGCTTGCAAAAGGTTGGCTGTGCACTGAGCTTTGCAGGCGTTTGCAAACCCACTTTTGGCACAGATGCATCTTTACCTAACCCACAGTTGAGACTGCATGTAGGGCAGGCTCGTGTGGCTTAGCCCAAAGGGCCTCATAGGTTTCCTGCTGATCCAGCCTAGTAATGTTCTTACTGACCATGGATCTCCTAAGATTTTCCCCAGCCTTGTTTTCTGAGATAGCTGTAACTTGGTGCTTCCAGAAATTGAAGCTGGCCTTCTGCTTGCAGATACCACTGAGTGTGGCCCATCTTGTTAAAGGAATCACATGCCCTTGATTTCCCCCTTAAACTGAACTAGTATTTGCTGTTCTTCATTCAATGTGTTTGAAAATGCAAGGAGAAAAGGATTAGTATGTTCAGTCTTCTATATTATTCTATACCAACTGCTGACAAGAGTAATGAACAAGCAAAGCTGCTTTGGTAATAGTAAATCAGTACTAGCCTGTACATTTAGTAGCAGGAATATATTGCTGAATTTTATCTGTTGATATGGAGAGAAATTGAACCCAAGCATAAGAGAGAACGCAAACACTTTTAGTGCTCTAGTACAGCAATTCACCTACATGATGGGCAGAGCAATCAAAAATGATAAGGGAGCATGGTATGGCATATCTACCCACGGACTGTCTCGCCAGAGTGGTGCATGCTCTAGTTATCTCCCGCTTGGACTACTGCAATGCGCTCTACGTGGGGCTACCTTTGAAGGTGACTCGGAAACTACAACTAATCCAGAATGCGGCAGCTAGACTGGTGACTGGGGGCGGCTGCCGAGACCACATAACACCGGTCTTGAAAGACCTACATTGGCTCCCAGTACGTTTCCGAGCACAATTCAAAGTGCTGGTGTTGACCTTTAAAGCCCTAAACGGCCTCGGCCCAGTATACCTGAAGGAGCGTCTCCACCCCCATCGTTCTGCCCGGACGCTGAGGTCCAGCGCCGAGGGCCTTCTGGCGGTTCCCTCATTGCGAGAAGCAAAGCTACAGGGAACCAGGCAGAGGGCCTTCTCGGTAGTGGCGCCCGCCCTGTGGAACGCCCTCCCATCAGATGTCAAAGCGATAAATAACTACCTGACATTTAGAAGACATCTTAAGGCAGCCCTGTTCAGGGAAGTTTTTAATCTGTGATATTTTACTGTATTTTTGGTTTCTATGGAAGCCGCCCAGAGTGGCTGGGGAACAAATAATAAATTATTATTATTATTATTATTATTATTATTATTATTATTATTAAATGTTTGTATAGACTGAGAATTAATTGTCCTTTCTAGTGTATTAAAGTTGCTGCAGCCATCTGAATTGTGTATAAGCATACTACTCTGCAGGAAGATTTCAACTCTATTGTTAAGGTAACACTTGCTTTCATTATTGCCTTCTTTTAAAAAAATGGTGATGATGCTGCTTTGACAGTGAAACTGTTTTTCTGACCTTCTATATTTCTGTGGGGAACATCCATTGCAGATGTGGACTTAAGTTAACAGCCTGTGAAGCGGTGTGTATCGGTGCAGCTATTTTAACTTTTCAGGAAGATTAGGCTGAGGTCCCGTCTCCCTTTCCCGTGAGACTGCAAGGTCTCTGGAATGTAAACAGAGTCCTGTGACTCCCAGCAGCTGCTCAGTGGGAAACAGAAACTAACACTCTCCTCCTTTTGATAAAATTCTACTTGCACTGAATTGCAACTGAGTGCAGAAAGAGCTAGTGTCTAGTGCCTGTATAAACTGTAATAATGCTCTGATGCAAAGTAAAATGATGGAAACATGGTCCTAATATGAGCAACACATGCCTTCATCATTGGCCAAGCAAGTTCAACCTGCTTGGCCCTCCTTCCTTAACTTAAGAAGTCCTCAGTGGGAATTGTTGGTCATGATGTTGTACAGGATGGTCAAAGGCTGACACTAGTAAAGACAAAGCAAGGATGAGGGCAAAACACGCTACTTGAATTATCTTAGCATCATTTGCTGAATCCAGACTTACCTGGGAGTAAGGCCAATTGACAACATTTCGATGTTTGAACACATAATTTATAATCATCTTCCCCCCACCCCTATTTGTTGTATCACTTTAAAAAACAAACCAGCCTGAATAGGCATGTATAAGATTATTCAGACTTACTCATTACTAAATTAAGCTAACTAACACTAATCTTACACTTGTTTATTCAGAGTCCCACTGGATTTATATAGGATTGCAGAATTAGTCCAGATTCAATTCCATGGTATTTGTTTCTGATACTATACTTGAATTGTATTGTGAGAAGCTTTTGTAAGTTGCTCTGAGAGTCTATTGCCCTATTTAGAAAGGCCAGTGTATTGTTATTTTAGCCACAATCTGGATGTTTTAAGAACCATAAGCAGAGCATGAATGTGGTAGGTTGCCCCAGGGACCCAGCGTTCAGAGATACTGTTTCTGTTACCAGGAAGAATAGTCATTGATAGATCTCTCATCTTTGGTATTTTTGCACTGATCCTATTAATTTCAATGGGGTGTCTGCAGAGGAAATTCCTGCTGAATTATTCCTCTTGTCAGTAACTCTGTAAGTACATTTAACTCAGTTTTTTTCCATAGGGACCATTTCACAGACCTTGAGAGAAACACGGTAGATAAATCTTTCACAGTAGCCTGATCCTGATTCAAGCTTGAGCCAAGGGGTGTGTGTAATATATTAGGAATGTTTTGTCTATTGCAATAAATTACATCCCTAGATCAACTCATTTTAGAGACAAAAATGTATTTTGTGGTCAATGAATGAGAAACTAATAAAGTATCTAAGCACTGTGATTGTTGTGTGATGGAAGTATTTACAAGGTGTATACAGTACATAAACACTACTCTTCTGTGTAGCATCATTGGGAGGAAGGAAATGGCTCATATGAATATATACATTATTCACTGCATGCTTTCTTCCATGCTGCAACTCACAGTGGTGGATATGAAGTTTCCTGTCTGACCTGAGATTACTCTGTTGACATATTCATCCAATTAATCATAGTTGTATTTGAATAAAATCCAGCATCTATTCCTACCGCACAAACCCCTTTAAATGAACAACTGCTACTCAAGAGGACATTATGCTCTTGTCTATGGCCCTATTCATCTTCTGTTGCACTCAAGCTGCTTATGTCAGATGGTTTGCTTAGGTCCAATGGAGCTCCTGTTAAACTGGCACAAGATACATAGCTGGCTTATTTTGCCCTGGCACTATTATTGCTGCCGAGAAGATATGTAGCACTTCTTTCTGGCTAAAGTCATCAACATGGGGTGGAGTAACAGTAACCCCACCATTAACTAAACATGACTGGTAATTCAGTCTCCCTGCTGTAGTTTCTTGAGAGCCAAACCACATGGGGAGCTCTCACTACAAATAGATACCTAGCTAGACACTCATTGCCTTTATAGCAGTAGGATCATGTACTGACCAGTCCCTGTATCAGGCATCTTTTTTGTGCTCTGGCAGAGTAGAAACCTTTTTCCCTTTGTATTTTCTGTATCCTAGCTACCTTGAGTCTAGTTGCTAAGAGACAGCCTATACCTAGGAAAGCGTTGGCTATTTGTGATTTTCTTTTTCTTAGGAAGACAACTTTCTTTGAAACACTGTTTCAGTAAAGAAAGAATACTATTCAAATGTTGCTCAAAGCAATAATGAAAAAAAGAACTTGATTCCCTGAACTAAATAGAAAAAGGGGAGAGATGCAGTTTTCAAAATTATCCATTTTGCGTATTTAAAAAAAAAACCCTGAGTGAGACGTAACAATGCAGTCCTTTATGGAAATTGGTATGTTAAATGAAGCTTGTTCATAGGTTGGTGAATATCTTTTCCAGGAATGCCAATAACTACTACGGGGTTAGAGCATTCTGGGTTTGGTTCCAAGAGATCAAAATGCTTTAGCAAACTGAGTGATGTCACTGATTTGTAAAACAAGAATATGGTTGCTGGGCAATTGAGATATTTGGGGTGCGGGTGCAGATTAACATATCAAATTATTAAGTGTGTTTATGGGAGAAACAGATTGGCTTGTGCCCCAGTTAAAAATATTTCTGTAGGCTTTTGATTGTTTCCTAAACATCCTGTGGTTATTAGTAAGCTCTATGTGGGAGATTAGCATCTGCTCAGGGCTGGCCTAATTAAGACAAGCTCTTTGGCACAGCTTGGTCTTACACTTCCTCTTTAGCAACAACAACAAAAAAGCTAAGAAGGAAAAATCAGCTTAAGATTACTGTTCCAGCAGTATGCCCAATTCTCCAAGAATAGCTGACACTATGGATCAGAACTAACAGCAATTGGGGAAAGTCATAAATCCTGCAAAATCATCCTTGGCCGTGTGAAATCGAAGCTCTGTCTCAAGCAATTAGACATTTTGCATCTCAAGCTGACTAGTTCTCATCTCGTTTTCAAAAAAGCAGTCACTTTTCTTTTTAGAAGCGGTTATTACACATTAAGTACTTGGGAATTTGGTGCCTATTAAGTAACAGGTTAACAGGGTAATTTTTTATCCACTACAATTAATGTCCTTTTGGTAATAAAGAGAATGAAGATAAAAGGAGCACCTTTGCACTGAAATTGAGGGGATTTTTTTTCTTCAGTCGAAGCACCTGAACCATGTCTCTATAGCACTGCAACCTTGATTTAATCATCTTAGAGTAAGCCGCATTGAACTCTGTCGTCTGAGTAAACACAGGATTTCACTATACATCTGCAGTTGCCCAGTGTTTTTTGCAGAGAAGCAGGACAATTTCTATGATTGTTTAAACACTAACATGAGGCTGCTTCAGGCTTCTTGCATGAATCATAGTGCCCGTCCACAGCTAATTTCGTGTGTTGTGAATGTAGCAGCAAACATCCATACATCAGTAGGGGTAGAGGGGAAGCTGTGGCAAACATGGTCCTTAGCTGTATTTGGCACTAAGAACTATGGATATCTGGCACCACACACCTGCTCCTCCTAGCTGATGTTACCTTCCATTTCTTATCAGCGGTACACATAAAAGATTTATATGTAGAACACTGTGGCTCTTATAAGAAGATCCCTATTGTGAACAAAATACAGTCGTATCTTGGATCCCAAACGCCTTGTGAGTCGAACATTTTGGCTCCTGAATGCCGCAAACCTGGAAGTGAGTGTTCCGGTTTGCGAACGTTCTTTGGAACCCGAACATCCAACGCTGGTTCCGTGGCTTCCGATTGGCTGTAGGAGCTTCCTGCAGCCAACCAGAAGCTGTGCCTTGCTTTCCAAACGTTTTGGAAGTCAAACGGACTTCTGGAACGGATTCTGTTCCAACTTCCGGGGTACCATTGTATTCTGTTAACACCTTTTCTAAGAGTTATATAGAAGGAAGTACAGGTTATTAATACAGTTGGTTGCAGATGGTTTACAAATTCAACAGTACTCTGCTAAGGGCCTCTTTATATTATGCTGTTCATATTGAAGTAGATATTCTGATTATAAGCAACAGTGTCAGTAGCATAATTTAAAACCTTTTTTCCATGTACAGTCATACCTCGGGTTGCAGACGCTTCAGGTTCCGTTTTTTCGGGTTACAGACCCACCAAAACCCGGAAGTACCAGAACAAGTTACTTCTGGGTTTTGGCGGTCGCGCATGCGCAGAAGTGCCAAATTGCAACCCGCGTGTGTGCAGACGCAGCGCTGCAGGTTGCAAATGTGCCTCCAGCATGGATCACACTCGCAACCTGAGCGTCCACTGTACAGCAAGACATGATACACAAACAACAGATAACACAACTTCCGTCAAGTGTCTGTTGTCCACAATCTCTTCCGAAACATGTGTGTTTTTTGAGAATTAATCTGGTTGAAAAGCAGGCTCATTAAAAACTAGTTCATTACAGGTCCATTTAAGAAATAGTATATTTCTCTCTAACAGAATGACATTGTTACATTTAATTTCAACTCTAGAGAGTGGGATCTTCAGACCAGGCATTTAGGATTTACTTGTTGATTCTTCTACTTGAGGCAGTGTGTCCCAGACAGGTCTCTGGATATGTTCAGGAAGTCTTTCTAGTCTTGTCTAAAAAGAAAGTATCAAAAATGAGGTTAAAAATCATGCATGTGCAACAGCCATTTTTATGCTAGAACAATCCTAGCACGTTTCTGTGATACTTATATGATTTCTGTGTTTCTATAAGTTTCTGTGATACTTATATTCCTAAAATTCAACACATGTATGACATGCAGTTAGGCTACCAAGTGGCAAAAATCCCATTTTGTCCGATAAATGATAAAACGAAGAGTTTATACTACAGAAGCAAGAACAAAGTTAACTAATACCTTTTTTACTTCCATAGCAACCCCTTCAGGTAGGTTTCGTTGAATGTATTCCAAGTAAACATTGGCTGTGCTGCCGGTTAAATGCTTTAACTGAAACAAAAACAGTATTTTAGTTTCCACATAGCAATTAATAAGACATGTGCTAAAGGAAACCAATCTGTAGGCTGTATCTGGCTTACTTTTCCCCAGCTTTTGCAGCCCTACTTGGACCAATATAGATACCACTGTTAGGACCATTCTAGGTCAAAACATTAGAGGCTTGAATATGGCTCTCAAGCTATTCACCACATATTATGTTTAATGTTTTACACACGAGTATGTATGTGCATGTGTATGATGAAAGAGGGGGTAGACAGCTGTTATTTCCTGAATAATAATAAAAATGTTAATCTGTTTGCTAAGCACGTCTCTTATTTAAACATACAGCTCTTCACTCACCTGCACGTGGCGGTAATGCGTTCTCGTTTCATACTGAACTCTGTGCTTCTTGAATATGTGCACTGATTTTAGAAGTGTGAATCGTTCTATCTTCTTTGGAGGTTCTTCTCTAAGAGATACAGCAGTTTTCATAGAATCATTGGTCATTTTAGTATATTCATTTGTTTCTGAAATTACAGTCACTCCACTGACAGCTTTCAATAATGAAGCTGCCTGGCAAGCAGTGGGGAGCAGGGAGAGAAACAACTGAGCCTCCAACTCAACTGATTGGCCTTTATGGCTGTATGCAAAGAGATGCATGTAACCTAAGGTTGGGGGGGGGGGGGAAACATAGAAATGGGCAAGGGAAAACCTCATTAAACTAAAGCCAGTAGCAAAACCCTTGCTGACTTCAATAACTTTTGTCAACAATATAAATATGAGAAACTTTTTTTATAAAAAAAATCTTAACAGTAATACTGCTAGTTAAAATCATACTTTTGAGTAAATATGCATTGCCTAAAACACAAGGTTACTTCTACCTTCAGAAACATTGAACTGTTGTTCAATATGATAGATTTCTTAGCAACAGCAGCCACAAGATGTTGTACTTCTGGACTGTAAATTTGCAAGAAATTGTCTTGCATAATTTACTAGTCCTTAAGCAGATTGTCTAATAGTCCATATTCCAAAGTTAGAATCAATGAGCTCAACTGTCTGTTTATGACTACAGTTATATCCCATCTTAACTCCAATGAGTTCAAACTGTCATATGTGGTTCAGCCCTCCATATTTTATCCTTACAACAACCCTGTGATGTGGTTGGCTGAAGGTCAACCAGTGAACTTTGCAGCTGAATGAGGATTTTGAACTTTAATCTCACAGACCCTTGTCTCTAACCACTGCACCACACTTGCCCTCAAAATTATATAAGGGTAGTAATTTGATATCCTGGATTCTTTCCAATCAATAAAACAGTTTTAGTGTGCTTTATGCATTCTTTCTTGTTTTTCAAATGTCAATGAAACCATTAGATTTGAAAGCATTAAGCTAAGATGCAATTTTGCTAAGTCTTTTATCTACAATTATCCAGCTATAGTTGGATAATTGGTTGGACCAATTAGAAAATGAGATTTTAGAATTACTGAGTAACTACAATGGATAATTGTACTTACACTTTTTCTATGGAGAGACCAAGTTCTTTAGCTGCAAGCACCATGAAATACTCATAACTGTCCAACACCATTCTGTCATGACCTTTCACCAAAACAGCCAGTTTCTTATATAACACGTCTGGTTCATCTGAAACAGATACCTGGATGTAAAAACAATGAGAAATAAGCAAAGAAGCACTCATATTTTAAGGCTTGGCAGCCTTAATGCATGGTTCATTAAAGTCTTGTTTTAAATAATTGAGTTCAAATTAAGTTGTTATATGCATTTTTTGTGCCCCAACATTGTTTAAACCTTATCAATATACAGTGGTACCTTGGTTCTTCCAGGAGTCCATTCGACTCATGAAACCATTCGAAAACCAAGGTGTGGCTTCCGATTGGCTGCCGGAGCTTCCTGCATTCAAGCGGAAGCCGCGTCTGATGTTCAGCTTCCAAAAAATGTTTGCAAACCGGAACACTTCCAGGTTTGCGGCGTTCAGGAGCCAATTTGTTTGGAAGCCCAGCTGTTCAAGTACCAAGGTATAAAAATGTATAAAAATGACTTTGAACTTACATGGGGGTTACATTCTGGGGATAGTGCATAAAGCCAAAATTGCACATAGCCAAAACACAGGAATAAATGGCAGGTGGGAAAACCAATGTATTTTGTTTTCAGGATGCCCGCCCCCTTTCCATCCCCTTTTATTTATTTATTTTTAATTTGCCAAGTACGTAAAGCTGAATGTGCACAAGTTCAATATGCATAAGTGGTAAAGTACCTGTACTCCCAATCTCAAAGTTAATATTTTTCAGAACATTTTATTAGTTACTGGCAAGTTATAAGAAGTTCAAAACTCAAGACTTACCAGGGATTTTTCCTTGGGCTGCTGAATATTGGTGTGCACGCCTGAAAACTGAAACCACATCAAGTGATTGTTGCTGAAATAGGAAAAAGGGATGTGTGTGATAATATCACGACAGGAGCAATATAAGAAAATGAGTGTTTTAAGAATTTAGCTGGAAGTGATAAACTTACTGAAGAAAGCTACATTGCTTTAGTGGAACTCTTCTTGTTAAAAGGCAAGCCTCTGGTCCCTAAGAACATAATATAGGATTGGTATGTTAAGATAGCAATGTTGCTACATTGTTGGCCAGCTACTTCAGCTTTCCAGATTTATTTAGTCAAATAAGAAAATAAATACCTAGATGCCCACCCCCATCTAAAATACATTAGAAAAAGTGGGCAGTTGATGAGAAAGGAGACTTTATTTAGAACATTATTCATACAAAAGGCAGTCCACAATTACAAACTATCGCATCAGTTCTTTCTAGATTCCTCACGTATTCTGTAACTGTCATAACTGGATCTTCTACACACAATCCCCTTCAAGGCCTTCATGTTTAAATGGGCTGCTGCTCATCCATTGAGGCCAAACCTGCCCCCTCATAAGCACAGCATTTCCCACTCATTGCCCCCTGGCTGCTTTTGGGGTTTCTTAGCAGTAGATTCCGAACCTGATGTAGTAAAAGCTGTAAAGGGCAGCAGTGCAACAGGAGGGGGAAAGGGCAATAGCATAGCTACTTCCCTTACCAGGCTGCAATGACATGGAAGCATCTATGTCCCATGCTTCTCTATGAGATACGCACATCAGTTCATAAGCAGCCACCAATAAAGTTTGCCACTGGGATTCTGGGAGTGCTATGCATTCTAAAACATATGAGAAAAGCCAGGCAAAACCACAGCAAATAGGTATTTTTCCAGTGTGAAGGTGGTCACCGGGGAAACTTCTTTGAATGTTGCCTGATAAAAGACAGATAAAGGCACTGGAGACTTACTAAGAGGAAAGGGACAATGACTATTTTTCTCTTTTGTTGACTATGTCAACTGAGATGAATGGCAAAGCTACTCAAAGGGTTTTAGAGATCACCATTTAAGCAACAGACCGTTGCTTTAGTGTTTAATAATTCCAATAACATAGAGCCATCGCCAGTAAAAGCTTTTAACAATTTTCCATTGCAAAGACTCGAACGCAACCCTGCAAAGTAGGCTAGGTTGGCAGTGTCAGGCCCAAGGTCACTGTGTGAATTTTGTGGCTCAGTAGGCATTTGAACCCGGGTCTCCTAGTTTGCACATACGTATTTACAGCATGCATTGCCATTTATTACAGCTGCAGTAACCTCGGAATGCTAATCTTTCCAATGCAGCTTACAGAAAAACCATCACACCACAGCAAACGATATCAACGTATGACGCTTTCTCACGGGGCCCTGTGGTGGGGAAGGGATAAAATCCTGCGGGAGCAGACCCGTCGCTGAGGTGGTCCTTCCCACAGGAAAGGTGGCGGCGAGATATAAAAGCCCAGCTCTGAGGTGACCATCTTCGCCAGCCTCCCTCTCCTGACACATCCCTCCCGCTCAGATATATATTATCCAAAGGCAGCTCCGACGTCGGCTTTTTAAGATTATTACCCTATATTTAGCGGCCTAGACATTAACTTATACCGCCCCGGGGAGCCTCCTCGCTGCTCAGCCGAACCCTGCCCCTAGAGACGCCACAATCACCTTCCACAGCCGGCACAAGAAGCTCATTCCCCTCCGCGCCGCCATCTTGCCCTTCCTCAAGCAACTTCCTGCGGCCATGACATCATAGAGCTCAACTTCCTGTAGGGGCTGAGCGGCGGCGTCGATCTCTATAGCCCTGGGATACAGCTAATCATAGAGTTCTCTAGCCGAAGAAACCATAGAGGCGTAAACAAAAAAAGTTCCTCCTCTGGCCGTGCGACTTTCTCGCTAGAGAGGCAAAAGCCATTGCTGCAGTGCCTTTGGCAACAATGTAACAAAAAACTACCAGGGCTAGGAAAGGGAAGTACAAGCAGATCTTCCAGTGTGGGGAAAATTTGATTATTACTATTTTATTTTAAGAACTGCGGCATTTTAGTAATCATCATCATCATCATCATTATCTTAATGACCTGCAAATTCTCCCTGCTCCAGGAAGGAAAAAAACAAAACCATCTAAAATTTCCCTTAATATTGCGAAAGAATGGTTAAGGCCCATATTCCAGAGTCTTGAGGAGGAATTGCGTTTTGGAACTACAATTCCCATCAACCTCAGCATCAAGGATGATGGGAGTTGTAGTCCAACAGCAGATGAAAAAGACGCAGCTTGCCTTCCAAAAACCCTACCGGCATAGTCAGTGGTTCATAAATGAAGTGTAAGTGGCATTCGGAGAGCAACCTTGTTCTGCAGCTCTGGGTTGTTCTAGCTACAATGCTGAGCTGGGAGGGGAAGATGGGGATGCTGAAGAATTTGTTACTATTCATTAAATTTCTATACCACCTTTCATCCGCGGATCACAGGACTGCTTACTGTATAAACACACAACACCACATAACACAATAAACAAAACAATAACTCCCCCTCTTGCCCGTTTAAAAGGTCACAGATTTTTAACATTTAGCCAAAGATCTGCGAGAAGAGGAAAGTTCTTGCCTGACGCCTAAGAATATGTACAGCTATGTAACGTACTCCAGGATTTAACTTCTGCCTGGTTGGAGATTGGGGTGGAGTTAAGTTTATTACGGCTCATTATGATCTCCATCTTTCAGAACAGTTGCTACTTAACCCCGCTTTGATAAAGGCTTTAATAAAGAAACATTTTCTTTACCAGACAAAACCACCCCCACCCCACCCTTTTGTACACACAAGCAGGATTGTTAAATAGTACTTTAAAATGCTGCTATAGACATGAGTTTTGTAGCATTGATTAATGTTGTATGCTTTAGTCACACCCAGTGAAATTAAAGGACATGACGGTGGCCAGTTAATTTCAGCAGGTCTAATCTGCACAGAACCACACTATGGTTTGAAGCTCTTTGCATTTGCGTTGTCAACACGATATTACCCTCAAATAACACAATATTATTATTATTATACCTCAGGTTACATATGCTTCAGGTTACATACGCTTCAGGTTACAGACTCCGCTAACCCAGAAATAGTACCTCGGGTTAAGAACTTTGCTTCAGGATGAGAACAGAAATCGTGCTCCGGCAGCACGGCAGCAGCAGGAGGCCCCATTAGCTAAAGTGGTGCTTCAGGTTAAGAACAGTTTCAGGTTAAGAACGGACCTCCAGAACAAATTAAGTACGTAACCAGAGGTACCACTGTATTATTTTTAAAGCAGCAACAACACTGATCTTGATCCTTCCCCCAAGGTCAAAGACAAAAAGCAACACCTACTTGGATGACCAGTAAAGACTGAAGTTGCTCCACCAATACCTATGGGTGTGGACTACTCTGCTCTAATTCAAATGTGTGCTGGGGTGGGGGGGGGGAGGGAGACGAACAACTAAATAATGCTCAAATGTGGTCACAGCGTTAGCTGGATGCAACCGTCAACAAATTTAATATGAACTTCAGGCATCTGATGAAGTGGGCTACAGCCCACAAAACTTCATGCCACAATAAATGTGTCAAATCCTTACAGCGTCACAAGTCTCTTGTTTTTGGGACATGAGACAAACACAGATACTCCTGTGGAAATGATTGAAATGTTAGTGTGGCAGTTATGCACACGTCTAATCTTTCTCACATATGTAGCGGAGCACTACCTCTAAGTTTGGGGGCCCATTTTGGTACAGGAAACTCAGATAAACATCCCAACTTTTAAAAAATGCTACATATTTCAAATGAAGATTAATTTATTTAAAAGAATTCTTTTGTCACGTGAACAAGGAAAAAAAAATCAGCAAAGTACATTTTATCAAAAGTATAAAATACTGTTCTGTGGCAGCGTTATGTTGGATCCCTTTGATTTTACAAATACAATATTCTGTCAATTTAAGAAAAAGCTGAAATATTTCTATATAGTACATAGTGCTCTCATGAACTAACTGGGATTCATGCCCCCTCCAAAGAAACAAAAAGGAAAGGGGGGAAAGAAAGAAAGAAAAAAGACAATGGCACATCATCGTATGAAATTAAACATTTTAGTGCAAACCTGAATAAAATTACACCCTGAAGTTAAACCACATGCAGTTCAGGTGCAATTAAGCCGTAACAGGCAAAGTTTTCTTTACAAAAATAAAAAGAACTACATTAAAATGTTTATTATTTTATCCCCAAAGAACATTCTTTACACTACACTATAACTCTGAAATTATTTACAGCTTTTCTGTAACAATATAACAGCAGTTAAATATGTCTGAAAATAAGATTTCCTCCCCCATAAAATAGATTTTTTTCTTTTGTTATGTACAATTTTTCTCTAATTCTCTACTGGAATTATACCACAATAAACATGAAACATTAACAAAAAGGGAAATAAAAAATCAGATTTTCCAGCAAAATGTTGACCATATTTAGATGTTATTTATCACTGCAATTGTCTTAGAAATACAGAACCTATGTATAGAAGTTAAACGAGGATCAATATTTCTTCCAGGAATTATTCTGAGATTCTCTTTGGTTATTTTAAGCCACATCATTTGCTCCACAATACTTTGCAAGATGGCAATTTTCCCTGTAACACCTTCCAGTGTGATGTAAGACTACTGCTAAAGGACAACTTTGTGCTTATAAATCTGAAGGAAAGGCCTATACACTGCAATTTCACATTGGAGAAATCATTGCTCGCTGACAAGAATATGTATCACCCCAAACCTTCCATGTTTTAACAAGTCCTGACCTAGAACAGACATTTGTTACATGGGCTTGCTGGTGTAATGCTGCATCATATAGTCAAATATAAACTCAATGAATCTGTTTGGAAGGAGCTATTGTTATATACGCATTAGCCTCCTCTCTTTATTTATTGGTTACAGATCATGCATATGTCACAATAGGCTTCCAAACACTTGCAACCTGATTGCCTAGGACTGTCCAATTGGTTTCAAAGAATAGCTCAGCTGGTCTTTCCTGCGTATTACATTTAGATTCTGTGTCACCCTGTTAAACTGGAAATGCAAGAAATCATCCACGTCCATGTAATCGTACTTTAATGGCAAATGGCAAAAGAATTAGTTAAACTGATTGGTCTAGATTTGCACTACAGGAAAGAATATACATTGGTAAGATTTCAGCTGATGCCCTCTGCTGTGTTAGCCAGGCAATACCACAGCATTATTGCGTTTGTGATGAGGAAGCAATGGAAGACAGTCTGTGGCACCTATTTAGTTTGTTCTTGTTTTATCCTAAAGGTACAATGATTCCTTTGCCTACTGAAGGAGTATGTCAACTGGTAAAATCAGCAGAAATAGTATTTTTTCCATTGCAAACAGGATAGAGATCTCTGGAACTGTGGCTATGTTTGCCTTGGCTGCTACAAAACTTTTGACAAAAAAATCTGGATGCTTGTGTAATTAGTAGCCTATAGGCTGGATATATTTTGTTTTATGATGCTCTATTTTTTGTTTTTGATGCATTTTTTTTACTGCAACCACATGTAACTGTTATGGCCAATAGCTAAAACAAATAATCAGCGAGCTGATCAGATACTGACCTACACAACACCACCATTATGCCAGTCCCCTGCCAAGCTGCTAACAACAGAATCCGATTAGATTACAGATAGAAAAATACACAATCCCTGACTATTGAGAATTCCTAAGGGTCTGTCTCAGTAGATGCCAGTCAATGAAAACTGGGAGGGACATTCCTTTTGAAAATAATACCGAGAGAGAAAATATTCTGCTCAGACATGCAGGTACCAGCATCTCACTAAGAACACTGCAAATGTCACTTGCCAGCAAACATTTCATATGAGAGCAGGCATGCTTATAGGTGTCACGTAACTCCCTACATTAGCTAACCCCTGGAAAAGGGTCAACCATGCAAGGCTGTCAGTGATCAGCTGGACATATGAGAAACATCTCACACAGCATCCAAGTTGCCAGTTCTCTCCATCAGCTATGTCAGGCAACAGCGACAGGTGAAGGCAAATCACACCCCTTGACTGAGATGGTCAAACACACTGAAGAATCATATCCAATTCTCCAAAGACAACCTGGGTGACGCTAGCTATTCCCTGATGAGAACAGATTCTCAGGGAGAAAGCTTGGGGAAAAGAGAGGAGTAGCTTTGGGAACACCCAAATAGTTCCTCTGCATTTATCAAAATGCTTTCAATGATTATTAAATCGGTCCGCTCATATTGAAAGCCAGTTCATCTTCTCCGAGATTGTGCAGATCCTCAGGGGAACGGCCACACAGAGGATGTGAGTCCAACCAGAGATGCAATTGCCTGGAAAACTAGTATCTGACCACGGTTTTCTGGCAGCAGTTTAAGTGAACAAAGCAACGCATTTCTTTTCAACCCTGAATCACCACTGAGAAGTATTGGATGTAAACTGGGAACGCCCTGGGACAGGTGCTACTTTTTTCTGAAATGCTTGGGGGATGTGCCAAGTGGAGACAATTTCAGTTGTCTAAAGTGGCCCTGGCTTAAGAGGGTCAATCTTCATCTGATTTGGGGGTATCCAAGAGCAACGTCTCACCAGTGTCACCCATGACTGGCGCAGCTTTTGAACCAAGTGGGAGCATAGCCATGAACAGTTTGGCTTTGAATGAGAGAAATAAAGACGTTTCTGACTATTAACTTTTTCTAGGGCTCTGGTCTCGACTCTTAGGTGCAAACGTAAGATATGGTAACTGTTGATTTTCCCATCATACTTTGCAACTTTTATAAGCAACAGAGGTGATGCACAAGAAGACCGTGCCTGGGGAATGATCCCACTCCTAGCTCTGGGAAGGAAAAAGGTGCAAGCTCCCTAGCCAAGTCATTCCAAAGTTGAACATGCTGACTTCCCTGAACAGGAATGAGGAAGCTGTGGCCTGATAAAAATTTCATATAGAAGAGGTGTGTTTATTTATTGTGTTTCCATACCCGCCACCCCCTGACCCAAACTGCTGAATGTTTGCTGGCTTTATCGCTTCCAAGAGCAAACCTATGGCTCCATAAGAGAGTCCTGGCAGGCATAAAACCCCCACTGTGTATATTTATGCTAACATTATCAGCCAAGCTATGTAATTTTTATTTATTTCTTACATACATACGTAAATGGCCTCTGCCCATGATGAAAATCTTAACACACTTAGAAAAAAGGACCGATTTACCTCAAAGTGGAAATTTCCCCCCTCTTCTTTAGGTGAGGAAAGGTCTTGATAAGTACCACTGCCTCTAGGCAGCAAATAATAATAATAATAATAATTAAAAATAATAATAAATCCCTGCATACTCTCAAGGATAACCTTTTTAAAACAAAAAAGTGATAAAACTTTTGCAAATGGAGGTATATTTCAGTGCATTCCTATCACTAATGCACATCCAAGTCCAAGTATCCAAGCCAGTAGTCTCCAGTCAAAAGACTTTTGAGATGTGCCTCAGCAGCATCTCCCATGGTGAAGCCTAAAGACTTCTGATTTCACTGTATCCCTCCCTCAATCCTGTTTAACCAGGAGCTCTGAAGTGCACAACGCAAGTGGAGCCCTTCTCAAAGAAACAGATTGCCTCATAAAAGGGAAAGAAGGAATTGAATGCAGATTCGCAGAGGGCTAATCTAGCTGTTCTCGCTCGTTTCAGGGCCGCTCGAATTTCTTCTGGGTAAAGCGGAATAGGCCGCCGAGCCCATCCATTTCTACAGAGCCAAGTACAAAGCCAGTCTTCTTGTTAAGAAGGAAATCTGAAGGCATCTTGGAAGCTTCCATCCACCACAGAACATTCTGTGTAATGGGAAAGAACTTGCCACAGCTACTTGTCCTATCAGCAGAGAGGCCCTCTAACAGGCCCGGCGACATGTTAGAGCAAAACTTTCAGATGCCAACAATCCAAGTCTCAGCTTCTGTTTATTGCAGAGACAGCATTCTTCGTTGTGGCAGATGTTTTGAGGCCAGAGCTGAAGGCACAAAATGAAACACGTTTTGAAAAGAAAAAGAAACCAAAATCTACTCGTATAGGGGGTGTGGTGGGAGGGAAAACAAAAACCCTGAGGTGTTGCAAATGAATTTGGGGACTTGTCACGTAAATGCCTGAAAGGAAACAGTAAGGAAATAAGACTTCTCAGAACCAACTAGTTTCAAGGTATTTGACAAAAAATACCTTTCGAATGAGGGGAAAAATGAATCTTTTTGCAATCATAGTTGCAAAAAGTAAAAGGACCAACAGCAATAACCAGATTTATCCCACCCTCATCCACCCCCGAGTTACAAACAAAACAAAACAAAAACAAAACATTCAAACTATTCAGATAGTTTAAAATAAAAGGGAAGTAAACACTTAACCCTCCCAGCTGAAGGAAAACAATTCCAACAGGCATCCATAATTTTACAGAATGGCTTTTTCTCTCTCTACAGCTCCACATCATCCTGAAGCAAATCTGAGTCTTCTTCATCCAGTAAGAGGTCAGGGTCTATCACTTCAGTACCGTCCATGACCTCTCCCAATTCCTGAACAACATCGCTGCTGAGGTCGTCGGCTTCCTCAACCTGCTTTATCAAGTCCAAATGATCCAAAGGTATCAAGCTATGCCCAGAGGGCCCCGTGGTCCTTGCAATCGTAGCCGCCATTTCAGCTGCAACAGCCGCCTTCTGGGCTTTCTGCCGCTGCTGCTCTTCCTGTTGCCGGTGAGTTTTCATGTGAGCATTTCGGCTTTTGATTTTGAAAAACATCCTAGCGTGGGGGGGGGGGGGAGAGGAAGAGAAAGGAATGCGGAGAGAGCAGATTTCAGAAACAATTATTTTGAGTATATGGGGACCTGTGTGCTACTGTGAACATCCAAAAAGTGTAGGTGTTAGTTGAATATACAGTTAAATGCATTTTCAAGCAGGCAGACTTTGGCAATATAATAACATTATTATTATTATTATTATTATTATTATTATTATTATTATTATATTTATATCCTGCCTATCTGGCTAGTAGTGGTAGCAGCAGCAGTAGTAGTAGTGCTAGTACAGTCATACCTCATGTTACGTCTGCTTCATGTTACGTTCTTTCAGGTTACGTCCTGCAGTGACCCAGAAGTACCGGAAAGGGTTACTTCCAGGTCTCGCCGCTCGCGCAGAAGCACAAAATGACATCACGCGCATGCGCAGAAGCGGCAAATCACAACCCGCGCATGAGCAAACGCGCTGCTGTGGGTTGCATTCTTTTCATGTTGTGAACGGGCCTCCGGAATGGATCCCGTTCGCAACCAGAGGTACCACTGTATTACTATTATTATTATTACTACTATTACTACTATTATTTTGGACCCTGTCAGCTCAGCTGCCTGTTTGAGGTAACTGCCCGCACTGCCCTAAATCCAGCACTGTTTCCAAGCATTCACAAGAAGAGAACCAGAATAAATTTAAGGTGTTAGTTAAGCCCTTGAATGATCATTTCAAGGGGGGAAGGAGGCTGCCTTGTTACCAATGGAAGGATACTGGAAGGCGAGGGGAGAACTGGGCTCCAAGGATGGGTGCCCTCTGCTCATCCCTCCGGTCATCAAGGGATGGAGGCAGACCAGGCCCTTTTGCTGCTAAAAGTTCCTTTGTAGAAAAGAACTCTGGGTTTAAATAATGAGCCACAGAGGGTATGCATCCTCACACACCAATTCCTTCATTCTCCAGGATCCTTTGGGCCAAGCATGTCTCACTGTTGAAAGGGTGGTTGTTACAAGAAGGCCCGGTGGGCACTGACAGTAAAGCCTCGAAGGGATCAGCAGCAAGGAACCATCTGGCCTTCTTCAGACCTGCCAGGCCTCCAGATTTGGACTGTGAGGCTCTTTTGGCCACACCACACACTCACCTGTCCAACCCTTGTCATTATATACGATGCCAGGTGTGGGACAGGTAAAAGATGCAGCTGGGTCAAAGGCATAACTTACCAGCTGATCAGCAGTACCTGCAAAACACAGCTGCTCTATACTGATTCAGACTACTGGTCCATCTAGCTCAGGACTGTCTACACTAGCTGGAAGCAGCTCTCCGGGAATTCAGGCAGGGAATGTTTCCAGCCCTCCCTGGAGATGCTGGGGTTTGAACCTGGGACGTCCTGCAAGCACAGCAATTTTTCTGCCGCTATGATGCAGACCACCCGAAGATTCATAGTCCAGTGGTACACCATACAGAGTACTTCACAAACAACATCACCTGCTTGTCAGTTCCTGCAAAAAGGCCTACATGCCATGCATTACTTTGAAATAGCTGGTCGATTGATGAAGTTTGCATAGGTTTGTGCACATTTCAAGCCCCAGGTGGCTCCATCCACCTCTCAAACTTGGTCTAAGGCAAGTGGGGGAGATGGGGATCCAGTCCAGTGGCCGGATCTAGTTCCCCACCCTGCGCTGAAGACATAGAACTCCCTGGTGCAGCCAAGGGGTCTTGCTGTCAGTGCCTATCAGCTGATTGGTGCTGGCAGCGAACTACCCTGGGATTGGCTACATCAAGAAGTTTCCCATCCTCTGTTTAGGTGGTCAGAACACTGCAGGTAACCCAAGGACCAGCCAGGGGTGTGGTCTGGGAAGGGTGTGTGGCCTCAGGCACATCCCAAAGGCCAGACAGGGAGGCCGGATGGGGCACATTTTGAACCTGGGCCAAAGGTTCCCTACCCCTGGTTTATACAGTGGTACCTCAGGTTACATACGCTTCAGGTTACAGACTCTGCTAACCCAGAAATAGTACCTCGGGTTAAGAACTTTGCTTCAGGATGAGAACAGAAATTGTGCTCCGGCGGTGAGGGAGCAGCACGAGGCCCCATTAGCTAGAGTGGTGCTTCAGGTTAAGAACAGTTTCAGGTTAAGTACGGACCTCAGGAACGAATTAAGCTGAGGTACCACTGTACAGTGGTTTATACCTTTCTAGGGAGCCCCACTCCTAACATCTCAGTTTATTTTCCCCCGATGAAACAAGTAAGTTCTCTCTGTGTTTCCCACGTCTACTCACTTGCCACATTCTTTACAAGGGAAAAGTGTAGTTGGGTCTGTCTCGCCACTTGTCGTACTGTGAGCTGGGGAGTTTTTGGCAGGGCCGTAATCATTCTGGGAGCTGGATTTCTGCTTCGCACCGTGGCTCCCACCGCGGGTTTTCGTCACAGGGTTTGTACCGCCATGAATGCGAACGTGGCCATTCAGAGCTGGTCTGGAGTTGAACATCTAGGGGGCAAAAGGATAGCTCAGTTGGTAGAGCCCGAGACTCTTAATCTCAGGGTCGTGGGTTCAAGGCCCATGTTGGGCAAAAGAACCGTGCATTGCGGGGGGTTGGGCAAGACAGCCCTCGTGGTCCCTTGCAACGCTACAGTTCTAAGTCACCAAAGAGAAGTGCGATCAAGAGTTTCCCACAGGCCACTGTGACAACTGGATGTTGCACTACGACGGGTCTCTGGCCTGATCCAGCAGGCTCTTCATATGTAATATCAAAGCATTTCTAAACAGGGACTTGTTTTGCTCTCATTTTGGTTGCTTGCTTAAAAACATAAGGAGAATCCTGCTGGACCAGTTAAAAACTTCCATCTAGCCCAACTTTGTTTTTCTTGAGCACCGTCTTAAACAGAAAGGGGAAGGAAGAAAAAGGGAAGAGACCTCTAGGCACCTAGGAAGAGACTTCTCAGGCCTCATGTGTTTTGGAATAAATCCTTCTTCAGGGGGACTCTTGAGTAACAGTTTGTGACCCAGTCTGTAAAGCACAGCAGCAGCTTGGTTCCCGGAGCGCTCAACGAGGAGGATTTTCTCCAAAATGTGTTGGGCTTAATAAACCTTTTCTTGTGTACTTGGGAGATCTCCAACCTTTTTCTTCGTATGATGGCGGTCAGCCAATTCAACAAGCCCTCCCCAAATGTTTTACCCTTTCATCATAGGCGAGTTGATCCACCTCCCTGATGGTTTTGAGTTGCCTTCTTCTGACCTTTTTCCAGCTCTACAATATCCCTTTCTGAGGTGGGGCATCCCGAACCGGACGTAACATTCCAAGGTCAGCTGTACCATAGAATTAAAATGTTTCCAAGTCCACTTACCGCTCCGCAGTCCGGCATTTCACATGTAAATGAGGTCGCTGGAAGTGTGGGGCTTTGCAAGGAAGGCAGGTTAATAGGTTCAGCAGCAATAACTGAAGGCGGCTCAGGAGAATTCTGAATTTCAGCTTCCTCTTTGACTGACTTCTTGTCCTCCTCTGCCTGCTCCTCTTCCTCTAATTCATCATCTTCGCCGCTAGTCTGAAATTCGAAAGGGATTTTAGGGGAGGTGGGGTGGAGAGCAAGCATGCCTTTAATAAATGGGAGACAGGAAAGTTCTTCTCTCAGCTCTGAAGGTGGGAGGAGTCTTTCCCCAAGCTGGCTGACATCCTCCCAGCTTGAAAAATCAAGTTGAACAGCTGGTAAAAGCTGCTTTCACCAACTTGGAGCACTCTGGCTAGCAGTGGCTCTCCAGTTAAGAGGTCTTTCCTATTCCTTGCTATCCGATCCTTTAAACTGGAGATGCCAGGGAATTTCTGAACCTTGGAACAATGTCAGAAATAAATATCTGGAGAGCACAAGTTCACAAACTAGAAAAATAAAAAGGAGGGTGGCTCTTACCAGGCATTCATTTTTCACTTCTGCTAAGCGTGTTCTGTGCTTTCTTCCTAAATGCATGATTTTCTTCCAGGTATAATAGTATTCCACACACTGGGCCACCGTCTTCGACTTCACCTACAGTCAAACAGTAATTCAGATGTTGCAACGCTGATCTACGATTGTGTAGCGTTCAGCACAACACCAAAAACACCACTCACTCGTGTCTTGATCATGAAGAGCGGAAGAAGGCTTGGAAGCATGAATTGGGCTACAGATCTTATGGAAGTATTTTTACCTATGCTCCCAGTCACATGCTCATTTTTATCCTGCCAGGCCATTATGGAGCACTGGGTGACAGTCCTGTTTAGACTGGGAGCATAGTTGTCAACTTTCAGATTTTAAAATAAGGGATCAGCAGCCTCAAATATAAGGGATCAGCAGCCTCACCTGTCCCGGGGACAGTCTACAGGATATCTAACAATCCGGGAAAGCAGCGGGAAGCAGTGGGAAACTGGAATAAGGGAATTTCCCGCAAAAAAAGGGAAGGTTGACAGCTATGACTGGGAGAGGGGCTGGGCTCTATGTCACCAATGAGATTTATTTACCGAGTAGGGAATATGAACTTGGGTCTCCCCACTTCAACGCAGATGCTCTCTGCCCCAGCCACCCACCCTTTAACATTCCCTCTCCCCCACTCTAATTTCAGCAACCAATTCTTACTCAGTATCACAGACACAGTAAAATAAACCGAATGCTTAGAGGAGTCTCTCATAAGCTAAAATGTATGAATGCCCCCCAACCTGGATGAATGAGCAGTGCTTGGTGGGAGAGTGTGGAAGGAAAGTTAATGTCTACCATGTGGGTAAGAGCACATGATAATGGTGAACATAAGGCCCCTCTGGGTGAGAGCCAGGGAGATGGGGTCTGCGTGGGAAATGGGGTTAGGGTCCTTGGGACGGAGACTGAGTTTCGGAACCAAACAATTAGATACAGGTGCACTGCGTGGAACAGGGCGATGTTTTGCATCCTACTATTCTATTTGTGCGTTGACGTTATTGCTTAAATTGAAATACTAAATCTGTTTCACTTTTTTGTATTGTTTTATACGATGCTGTGTGGATCTCTCTTTTTCTTTTTAAACTCATTGATACTCGTATATTCCAGTCGTTATATTTATTGTTCATTTGCTATGTTGTGAATCACTTTGGGCCTGGTTTTTGTGGGAAAGTGGCAAAGAAAAGCAACAGGGGATGATGTTGATAATGTTCTACTTTCATATGATGAAACTAACTTAGTGGCCGAAAACCACAAGATCAGGAATGCCAACAAAGCATGAACAAGGACAACAAGCCTTACCATTTTCTGTACCAAAATAAAATCTTTGCCGTATGTGTATAATGCTTTGCTGAACAGCTTTCTTTCAACGGGTGTCCACTGGTCTGAACCTGAAAGAAACAAACAGATAATAATCGAGGGTGGGGGTGTGCCTGCACCATGGTACAAAAACAAAACTGCTGTCACATTTGCGAAGCTAAGCAGGTTCCGGTATGGTTTCAAATTGGATGGGGAACCGCATGCTGAGATTCCTGCATTGCAGGGGTCCCTTCCAACTCTACAGTTCGAAGATTCTATGATTTCTGCAAGTAGGTGTGTATGTATACTGTCAATGGAATAACTATTTTCTCTGAACTTCATCAGTGACACTAGGCAGCTGCATTCCTTCCACGAGCAAAGGACTCACACACAGAACTAGCCTTTATTAGGTAATCCTTTTAACTTATCCCTTCAGGAACTTACCAGCATAGTGATAACTTGCCAGAGGATGCGATTTTGCTCTTGCTGGCTTCAACAAAAGAAGCATCTCCAGAGCGACCTGCAGGACAAAGAGAGGCAAGCGGAATTGTATACAACTTGTTCTTAATTATTATGACTCTATCTTCTTTTAAGACTATGTGACACTTAATTGCTATGACTCTTTTGCTTCTTTTAATAATGTAATAAAATAAAAATATTTACATACCATTTGTTCTATATGCACTAAGAGCTCCTTATACATTTTCTCAGCAATCCTTTTTCTTAAAATTTATTTATGCTTTTCAGATTAATACATTTCACTATAATTTTACAATATACAATTTTAACATTTCAAAATTTGACTTCCTTCCCCCTCTTTCTGGTGTTCCTTAAATGTATTTTTGATACCTTCTGAATATCCAAATTAACTTAATTTGCTCATTTATTCATCTGCTTTAAATATATACTCTTATAAAGCTGCAGGTTATTGCAATAATCCTGCCAATGTTCTTATCTGTTTACAATTTATCTGTAAATATTCAATAAACCATCTCTATTCTTTTATAATGGGCCTTAGAAAGCACTGCTAATAACAAGGCCAGTGGAAGTGATGATATTCCAGCTGAACTATTTAAAATTTTAAACGATGATGCTGTTAAGGTGCTACACTCAATATGCCAGCAAATTTGGAAAACTCAGCAGTGGCCAGAAGATTGGAGAAGATCAGTCTACATCCCAATCCCAAAGAAGGGCAGTGCCAAAGAATGCTCCAACTACCGCACAATTGCACTCATTTCACACGCTAGCAAGGTTATGCTTAAAATTCTACAAGGCAGGCTTAAGCGGTATGTGGACCGAAAACTCCCAGAAGTGCAAGCTAGATTTCAAAGGGGCAGAGGAACCAGGGACCAAATTGCAAACATGCGCTGGATTATGGAGAAAGCTAGAGAGTTCCAGAAAGACATCTACTTCTGCTTCATTGACTATGCAAAAGCCTTTGACTGTGTCGACCACAGCAAACTATGGCAAGTTCTTAAAGAAATGGGAGTGCCTGATCACCTCATCTGTCTCCTGAGAAATCTCTATGTGGGACAAGAAGCTACAGTTAGAACTGGATATGGAACAACTGACTGGTTCAAAATTGGGAAAGGAGTATGGCAAGGCTGTATATTGTCTCCCTGCTTATTTAATTTATATGCAGAATTCATCATGCGAAAGGCTGGGCTGGATGAATCCCAAGCCGGAATTAAGACCGCTGGAAGAAATATCAACAACCTCAGATATGCAGATGACACAACCTTGATGGCAGAAAGTGAGGAGGAATTAAAGAACCCTTTAATGAGGGTAAAAGAGGAAAGCGCAAAATATGGTCTGAAGCTCAACATCAAAAAAACGAAGATCATGGCCACTGGGCCCATCACCTCCTGGCAAATAGAAGGGGAAGAAATGGAGGCAGTGAGAGATTTTACTTTCTTGGGCTCCATGATCACTGCAGATGGTGACAGCAGTCACGAAATTAAAAGACGCCTGCTCCTTGGGAGAAAGGCGATGGCAAACCTAGACAGCATCTTAAAAAGCAGAGACATCACCTTGCCAACAACAGTCCGTATAGTTTAAGCCATGGTTTTCCCGGTAGTAATGTATGGAAGCGAGAGCTGGACCATAAAGAAGGCTGATCGCCAAAGAATTGATGCTTTTGAATTATGGTGCTGGAGGAGACTCTTGAGAGTCCCATGGACTGCAAGAAGATCAAACACATCCATTCTTAAGGAAATTAGCCCTGAGTGCTCACTGGAAGGACAGATCGTGAAGCTGAGGCTCCAATACTTTGGCCACCTCATGAGAAGAGAAGACCCCCTGGAAAAAACCCTGATGCTGGGAAAGATGGAGGGCACAAGGAGAAGGGGACGACAGAGGACGAGATGGTTGGACAGTGAAGCTACAAACATGAGTCTGACCAAACTGTGGGAGGCAGTGGAAGACAGGAGTGCCTGGCGTGCTCTGGTCCATGGGGTCACGAAGAGTCGGACACGACTAAACGACTAAACAACAACAACAACATTCTTTTATAAAATGTTTTTTGCCTGGTTTCTTATTTTTCCAGTAAGTTCCACCATTTCTGCATATTCCATAAGTTTCTGTATCCATTCTTCCTTTGCTGGGACCTCAGCAATCCTTAAAACAGCCCTGTGAGCAGGCCAGTCTTATTATCCCCATGTTACGGATGCAAGAGCCCATCCAATGGAACAACCTTTTGCACGAGATACACCTGTCTCATTCTCTGACCATTTTAAATGGGCCTTAGACCCAGGATGTTCTGTGTGATTTTAGTTGATGCTGGTTTTGCATTTTGTATTCCACGAGTATGATTTTAACTACTGTTGATTTGGAGTATTACTGTAATTCTGCCATTTTAGTTAACTGTATTTTAAACGAGCATCATCCAGGGTTTCGTTTCTGGGTTTTTTTAACAAACAGTGTATAAACATTACGAAATAAACAAGTCAACTGGCAGTGTTGAATGTTTTTCTAAAGAAAGGCAAGGTATGTGTTTTTAATGAACAAATAAAAACTAGGAATAATAAAATAAAAGATTTCTTTTGAGAAAGAAAAGTGGTGGGTGCCAGAGTGAGGCTAAATTCTCCCAATTAGTCACTGGAAAAAGCTTTCTTGTGCCCGGTTTCCTCATGAAGCCTGTTACACATATTTTAACACATATTTGGGAGAGGATAAACAAGCTGCTCTTACCATAACGTCTCCTTTAGCCTCAAAGAGAGAATGCAAGCCATATTCAAGGTTGGTTCCCCCACCAGTCAATACACTTGAACAACACAGATTTAAAAGGCTGGTCACTGTAAGAAAACAATTCAAAACAGTATTGTCAAACCTGTCCAATATTCAGCCTGTAAGCAAAAACATAAATCTGAAAGGGTCATAAAGTCAGCACAAATCTTCTAATTCTTACAAGCTCAGATTCTCATTTTGAGAAAGTTGAAACAGAAAACCAGTGGTACCTTGATTCTCGAACTTAATCTGTTCCGGGAGTCTGTTCAACTCCCGAAACAGTTCGAAAACCAAGGTGCGGCTTCCAATTGGCTGCAGGGGCTTCCTGCACTCAAGCGGAAGCTGCGTCGGATGTTCGGCTTCCGAAAAATGTTCACAAACAGGAACACTTACTTCTGGGTTTGTGGCGTTTGGGAGCCAAAATGAGCGAGTACCAAGGCGTTTGAGTACCACGATATGAGTGTACCAGACAAGTCCTTCTGAGGGGGTGGCCGAACAGATACAGTGGTGCCTCGCAAGACGAAAAGAATCCGTTCCGCGAGTCTCTTCGTCTTGCGGGTTTTTTCGTCTTGCGAAGCAAGCCCATTAGCGGTTTAGCGGATTAGTGCTACAGTATTAGCGGCTTAGCGGGCTTAGTGGATCAGCTGATAAGCGGCTTAACAATCAGCTGATAAGCGGCTTAACGATCAGCTGATAAGCGGCTTAGCATCAGCTGTTAAGCGGCTTAGCCATCAGCTGATAAGCGGTTTAGCGGCTTGGGAAAAAGGGGGGGGAGGAAAAAACCCCGCAGGAACTCGCAAGACATTTTCGTCTTGCGAAGCAAGCACATAGGAAATTCGCTTTATGAGCACCTCAAAACGGAAAACCCTTTCGTCTAGCGGGTTTTCCGTCTTGCGAGGCATTCGTCTTGCGGGGCACCACTGTATATATGTTGAAATGCACCTACCAGCATTATTTTAAACACTGAGGAAAATAATATTGCTTTTATCTGTTTTACGGGTTTTTATATTGTATTTTGTACAGCACTTAGACACTCTTAAATATTAATTAAGCTATTTAGAACAGATAATAAAATAAAAACAGGTGGCAACCGTTTTGCGTGGGGGTTCCGTTCTGAGTCCCCCCCCCCCCCATGTTGGCAGTCACGTGTTGCTTGGATGAATGTAAAATGGTCTCGCTGCCTGTAACAGTCATAATTTTTATCAGATTTATAGGTTGTCCTTAAACTCGCAAGGTTCTCAGGGTCATACGCGACAAAATAAATGTTCAAATAAATATGAAAACTATATAAACCAGGCATAAGGAAAACAGAAGCATTAAAATAATACCCAACAAAAATTATGAACAGTCCAGCAGCCAGGCGAAAAACTCCCATGGCTTGAGGAAAAAGGCACATTTTGAGCTGTGTCAAAGTGGTGATCAGGCTAAAGGACAGCAAGAGATGTTATTCTGCACAGATACACGACAAGTCAGGTGAAGGTCAGTACCCATTTAATGAAGCGATGACTTTTACACCATAAGACACAGAGGTGGAACGATAAACCGGGACAGGACACCTGGCAGAGATGCTTAGATCAGTTGCAAAGGGGGTTAGAAAACACAGTACCTCTTTGCTGGATATCTTCATCTTCCAGTTCTGGCCCTGGTTTCCAAACTAAAGTTGCCATGTGGTCCTCTTCCCCCACCAACGCTCTGTCTTCAAGTTTAGGAATATCGGCTTGGAATCTCGATCCAATATTGATATGCCTGAAAGCATATAAAGAAACTTCATCTCCTCCCCATTTCACTCACTCACCAAAATTTGGCGTTGAGGTTTGGTGGGCAAACTACTGTGGTTAAAGCGTTGGACCAGGGCCTGGAAGACTAGGGTTCAAATCCTCACTCAGCCAGGAAACTCACTGGGTGACCTTGGTCCAGTCACTAACTCTAAACCAAACCTACCTCACAAGGTTGTTGTGAGGATAAAGAGGAGGAGGGAGAACCACGTATTCCACTGTGAGCTCCTTGGAGGAAAGATGGAATATACCCATGCCATAGGTAAAGGTAAAGGGACCCCTGACCATTAGGTCCAGTCGTGGCCAACTCTGGGGTTGCGGAGCTCGTCTCGCTTTATTGGCTGAGGGAGCCGGTGTATAGCTTCCGGGTCATGTGGCCAGCATGACTAAGCCGCTTCTGGCGAACCAGAGCAGCGCACGGAAACGCTGTTTACCTTCCCGCCGGAGCGATACCTATTTATCTACTTGCACTTTGACGTGCTTTCGAACTGCTAGGTTGGCAGGAGCAGGGACCGAGCAACAGGAGCTCACCTCGTCGCGGGGATTCAAACTGCTGACCTTCTGATCAGCAAGTCCTAGGCTCTGTGGTTTAACCCACAGCACCACCTGCGTCCCATGCCATACCGGTCTGAAAACAGGATACACTCCACCCTGCTCAACCTGACTTGTATAAAACCTGAGTGGAGTCTATTGTTGCACTCTTAAAAGTACCATCATTTAAGAAATCTGCTTTTAGCGGTGTGGACTATATTTGGGGGCGGCTTACATTCAGACCAATACAGTAATAAACAAACAAACAAACAAACAGGCCCAGACGTAGCGTAAAATGCACAATCTGTGAGGAAAAGCAAGGGACCTCTCAAAATGAAACTTCATAATAACCTAAGTCTTTAAAACTGTGCCCTTGCCCCAACAGAACTGGGTGATTGAATAGTCATGGAATTCAACGGCAAAACTCTGTCTTGAGAGAAGAGTTAAGGAACAGAGTTAGGACAATTAAAATGCTAGCAAACAAGGAAGCTTTAAAAACTGAGCTGTTCCAGTTCTTCACTCTCCAGTCTCCCATGTGGACTTCTTAAACAGATATAATTGTAACGAAAAACAATATGAATAAAATGCAATTGTGATGTGAGGCGGAAAGGAATTCCCATCTTGGCTATTATCTGCCAAGCAACCAGTTGAAAATGGTTATGTATGCTTAGTTTAGCTGAACGTCGTTCCATTAATAGTTAAGCTGGGTGAGACAGGGATTTTATTAATGGTTTGAAAAGCTTAAACATGGTCCCCAATGAGTGCGAGGTTTTAGGAGCCCCCAAGGAGAAATCTGGGTCTTTGACTACATCAGTTGGCCACACAGAGGGATGGGAAGTGTAAGGGTCACTAAACATAGGAAAGAATACATTCCTCCAGGGTATTTAAAGTGTCAATTCCATATGCTTCATTTTGCGCTTAAAGATACCTCCTCCCCCATCACCTCTGATTGAGCTATTTACAGCGGTACCTCGGGTTACAAACACTTCGGGTTACAAACTCTGCTAACCCAGAAGTAGTACCTTGGGTTAAGAACTTTACCTCAGGATGAGAACAGAAATGGCACGGCGGCAGCAGGAGACCCCATTAGCGAAAGCGCGCCTCAGGTTAAGAATGGTTTCGGGTTAAGAACGGACCACCGGAACAAATTAAGTTCATAACTCGAGGTACCACTGTATATTGGTTGAAGAATGCAAAACATTGCACAGGGGTTCTTTTATGCGAAAAGTACCACTTCAGAGATCACCCTCTGTGCATGACCAGGGCACCACACCAGATATTATTGTTCTTGAAACTCAGGGGTCCTTCCAGAAGTAGTTTCTGAAGCAACATAAGAAGCTGCAGTTGTTGTTTTAAAAAAATAAATTTTCAAGGCAAACCACTGGCAGCGTTCACATGTCACACTAAGCCATGCTTAGCGGTTTTTACTGAGAACAGGCCGATGGCTTCTGTTTTCCACCTCGCCCAGCAACAAACCCCAATCCCTGGCTTAGTGTTACATTTGGGTTAGTTTCACTCCCAAACACAGCACAATGTTAAGCGTTAAATCCAAACCAGAAACCAGGGGTCATGGTTTGTTCCTTCCACTAGGGGAAGAAGTGAGGCAGAAGCAACCTCTGCATTCATGGCAAACCATTAACTATGGCTTAATGTGAACATGTAAACTACAGTTGTACCTTGGTTCTCGAACGCCGAAAACCCAGAACTAAGTGTTCTAGTTTTCGAATGTTCTTTGGAACCTGCACATCCGGCGTGGCTTCTGATCGAGTGCAGAAAACTCCTGCAGCCAATCAGAAGCCGCGTCTCGGTTTTTGAACATTTTTGGAAGTCGAACGGACTTCTGGAACGGATTACGTTTGAGAACCAAGGTACGACTGTACTAGACCCAAGATGCAAACGCAGTCCTGTTTTGGATTGCATTCAGTTTATAAAACTACAGTGGATACCGAGTGATGTCTGAATACATGAGACTAGTTCTTACGGTTCTACGTCAATGGTCTGTTCTCCAGGTCCTGGGGTGATCGGGACACTGACTCCATCAACGCTATCTGTAAGAAAAACAAGAATATGTCATTCTGTGTGCAGGCAGGCACTCCCTTCACTAGTACAGATTTGTATCTTTCTGGGAAAACCTAACAGAAAATAAAACTTAATCAGGGCAAAGGGTTGTATCCAACTAAGCAGTACTCAGAGTAGAAACACTGAAATTAATTGACCTGAGTTAGTCAGAGCCATTAATTTCAATTGGTCTACTCTGAGTAGGACTAGCACTGGATACAACCCACTGACTGCTAAACCATAGCTCAAGGATAAGAATACGCATTTTCATACAGTTATTCCTAGGTTCAATCTCTGGCCTTTCCAATTAAATGGATAAAGATAGCAGGGGATGGGAAAAATCCCTGAGATCCATCAAAGTAGACAGGGATGGCAAATCTGTGACCTTCAAGAAGTTACTGGACTAAAACTCCCATCATCCCTGGTTATTGGCCATGCTGGCTGCGGCCGATGGGAGTTGGAGTCCAACAAAATCTGGATGGCCACAGGTTCTTAAGAAAGATTCGTATGTTCGGCGGCATCTGTATATATGACTAGCATGAACTTCACACTTGAGACTATTTTGTAAAAAAAAATGCGAGTTAAAACTGCTAAAGAGATTATTCAAGGCCACAGGCAAGTAAAATTCTGCACTGATGAAATCGGGGGGGGGGTGTTGTTAAACCATTGTGTAACCATGGTGAAAACTGTCCCACTGCAAACTAGTGGCAGTTCTACAAATGGAACAATGTATGTCCGCCCCCTTTGAACGTTATCTGCTATCTTCATCTCTTCATGGTTCTCCAGAACCCAAGGTTTGAGAACATACACCTTTTTTTTGCACACACCTTTCATCCAGACAGTTCTCATGACAAGAACCTAAGTGGAAATGACATCATGGCCCCCATGCTCAAGAAGCCCCACCTGGTCCACAGGGCTGATAAGACACCAGTGCAAAAACCAGACCAGGATGGGGAGTTTTAAGAGGCCAAACGCAAACATCAACAATTGTACACAATGCATCTTTGTTGCTGGACTATACCACATGAGGTTGCAAGTGAAGGGGTTGGGCTTCAAAAGTTTGAAGGCTCCTTTGTGTAAAAACCTCCCTAGCAGGTCAGAGAGAAGACAAGGCTAGAACCCTTTTTTCTAGAGAAGTAGGTGCCAGTACTCATCATGAAGTTGTTACAGGAAGTGTCACACCTTTTAACAACAACAAAAAGAGGTGCTGGTGCTGGGTACCCCTGAGTACCCCCTGGGGGAAAGCACTGGCTTTGACTAGAAATTCTAGTTTTGTACATGCAAGCTATTTGCTGTTGTTGTTTTTTAACATGAGTGACCATTTATATATTCTACCTCCCACCTGCCCTGAGTGCTCACTGGAAGGACAGATCCTGAAGCTGAGACTCCAATACTTTGGCCACCACATGAGAAGAGAAGACTCCCTGGAAAAGACCCTGATGTTGGGAAAGATGGAGGGCACAAGGAGAAGGGGACGACAGAGGATGAGATGGTTGGATAGTGTTCTCGAAGCTACGAACATGAGCCTGACCAAACTGCGGGAGGCAGTGGAAGACAGAAGTGCCTGGAATGCTCTGGTCCATGGGGTCATGAAGAGTCGGACACGACTAAACGACTAAACAACAACAAACCTCCCACCTGCAGCCTCAAGTGGTACAGTTCATCAACAGATATATTATGTGGGGCAAGTGATCATGTAGCCCGATCCTAAGATGGATTGGATGGATTCCAGGGGCAAATGGAGGAGTCTTTCAGGGTGGCATGTCCCTGGGGATATTCTACAATCCCTCCTCTTCGGACACGTGTGAGCAAGAGAGAAACTGCTATCCGAGTGACCGCAAAATAAAATGCTGTGTGATGTAAAAACCAGCAGTGTGCTATACAGAAGTGAGGCAAGTCATCAGCATGGAAACTGGATAAGTTTACAGCAGTGGTTCCTAAACTTTCTCCCCCGTGGACCACTTGAATATTGCTGGACCACTTGAAAAAATGGCCTTGGCAGAACACTTAATTTCTGCCTGTTGTGGCAACTGTAATGCAGTGGGGCTAGATACCGTATGATTTTTAATTGTCCTTTAATGACTTGGGTTGCATTTAATTGCATTCCACAGAATCTGCATCATGATACAGTAAAATGAAATGCAAGAAATAAAACGTACGACAAAACACAACTAAAAATCAATATGTGTATTCCATGTGGACATGTCATGAACCACCTGTACGAAGCTCACATACCACAGGTGGTCCATGGGCCACAGTTTGGGACCCCCTGGTTTACAGCGCATCATCATACTTACTAGCTCGACAGAGAAGCATCCGGGGAGTGGGTGTCAAAGGTGTGAGCGGCAGCTGGGGGTGAGACGCACCATGAGCGGATGTGATAACACTGCTGAAGAGGCCAGATCCATGACGTACCGGGCTGAGCATGGGAGGTGGCGTGTAAGGAGGGGGGTCATGAATGCTGTCAAACAGGTGGTCTCCCAGGATGCGGGGAGAGCGAAGCTGGCTTTGGTACAGCGTCGCGCCCAGGTGGGATGCAGCGAGGTTGTAAGAAGGTGGCGGTATGAACAGAGGCTCAGGTCTGTGGCGGTATTTTTTCTTGTCTTGAAACGGTTTGAAGCTTTCTTCAGAGTTGGCCGTGCTTTGGTGCTGTTTTCTGTTGAGGTCCTGAAAGGAAGGTTTTCAGCATTCAGATAACTTAAGACGTAACTTGGGCAAATTGCATGGGAGTCTCAGGCGGACACAAAAACCTGAACCAACTCATGAGCCTCTATGAACCAGCCTATATTTTGACATCAATGAGGTGACACCCCAAAACAACCTCAACCATTTTTTTCTTTGGTTGATAGCTAAGAAGTGGGCTTCCACCCACCTTCCCTCAGTTCTTCAATGGTCTGGCAGAGTGTGGGATTTTCCCAGTGGTGAAATGATTAGCAAATTTAAGTTAAAATGGGCCAAGCTAAACCAGAGACCTCCCTATGTACATTGGCAGCCTGACAGGGATCTTGACAGATCCACAGAACAGCCCCAAAATATAGAGCTATGTATGTATACTCAAAGTCTTGCAATTTCAGCCGCCAACTTATCTTTACTTCCACTATCATCTGTGTTCATGAAACCATGCTTCCGATCATCATTAGTCTTTAACTTGCTTTATTGGCATGAATGACGCTGATTTTATGACCTGTGCTGCAGACCTTGTTTGCTGCTTGTTTTACATATAGGCTCCAGTTAATTGATACCATCCTCATTTATTTGCACATATTTCATTATTTAGAGAGAAAAATATGATGAACTACTAAATCAAAGAGCTCTCTAAGCAGCGTAGAAATAAAACAATTGACCAAAGCATATCTAAAATCCATAAAAACTGAAAGACAAATATACACACAATAATCATCTTTAAAACATGGATAAAAAGAATCAATTTTAAAATAAATCAATACAGGAAACTAAACTGCGTTTGGCTGGCTTGTTGATATGAAAAAGCCTTCAGCAAGCACCAAAGTGGTACACTGCTTATGCTGTAAGTTTGCTTTCCTAAAGACACATGCGGGTGGTTTTTTTGTTGTTGTTAAAACTTCCCATTTTCAGGAAAAAAAAGTAAGAGTGGAATCCTAACCTCTGCCTGCCCCTAAAACCAATGGAGTTAGGATGGCGTCCTGGTGCATCTCTGCTGACCTCCACATGTGGAGAGAAGAATTAGCAGCTGATAAACCCCCAGCTATGCAGAGACCCCAACCATAGCCAGGCAGGCAGAAAATCTATTGCCAGTGGTTTTCTTGCTGGTTTCTGCAGGCAGAAAGCTTCACAGGATTGTTCTGATGGTAAAATATAGAGGGCAGGAGAACCATGTACAGTGGTACCTCTGGTTACGTACTTAATTCGTTCTGGAGGTCCGTTCTTAACCTGAAACTGTTCTTAACCTGAAGCACCACTTTAACTAATGGGGCCTCCCGCTACTGCTGCGCCGCTGCTGCATGATTTCTGTTCTTGTCCTGAAGCAAAGTTCTTAACCCGAGGTATTATTTCTGGGTTAGCGAAGTCTGTAACCTGAAGCGTATGTAACCTGAAGCTTATGTAACCCGAGGTATCCCTGTATGTCACTTCGAGCTCTCTTGGAGGAAAGGAGGGATAAAAATCAAACAAATGAATCCCTCCCACAAGAAGCATTACGCAGGGCAAAATGGGGACGAGAACACGAAGCTCCCTACCCCTCAACTGCTACCCACCTCCACGAGTTGGAGGTCAAACATCTGAAGCAGCGAGCTTCCAGGACTCAGGGGGGCTCCCTCTGCGATTCAGACAATGCCACGAACTCACAGAGGTGGACAGGCATGGCAACTGAGGGGGACTGAGCTTAGCGCACTCATCCCTGCTCCCCCCACCCACATTCGCGCCCAGCGACTCCCCGAAGGTGATTTATTCTTACAATAATAATTAGGCGATAAAGGCTATTTATCTGCAGGAGACAATATTAGGCAAAATCCCACTCAGCCCTGCTCCCACATTATTAAAAAAGAAAAGGGTTTCGAGCAACATTAAAAACAAACAAGCACAAATAACACTGATAGGCAATAAATCCCTCTGCCTTTTTTCGGAGGAGGGAAGTAAAGCTTCCCCTTTAGGAATATTGGGACAATCCAGAAAGAAAAGGCTGCTTCTGCCTGAACTGGAAGAGACCAGGGTACCCGTTAGGGCTGGGCGATTTAACAATATATCATCCAAAACTGAAGTCCATATTGTGATATTGGTTTCATAATTTTTGACCTGGCAATATATCGCGAATCATGAAGTGTGTGTGTGTGTGTGTGTGTGTGTGTGTGTGTGTGGATGAGTAATTATATCAGGCATAGGCAAACTCGGCCTTCCAGATGTTTTGGGACTACAACTCGGCCTTCATTCCTGACCACTGGTCCTGTTAGCTAGGGATGATGGGAGTTGTAGTCCCAAAACTTCTGGAGGGCTGGGTTTGCCTATGCCTGAAATATATATATATTAGGAGACCTCTGAAGGCAGCCCCTTAGAAGGAAGCTTTTTACGGTTTGATGTTTTTCTATATTTTAATATATGCTGGAAGCTGCCCAGAGTGGCTGGGGCAACCCAGTTGGATGGGCAGGGTACAAATAATTATATTATTATTCTTGATGATGATGATCATCATCATGAACATCATCATAAATCACAATGTGGAAAAAATTGAGAAGCCAGCCAATACCTCTACATAACTCCATACTTCAGACATGGCAATATATCGGTATATCGTGACATTTAGCTGGTGATAAACCACAATGTTGAAATCCAGGAATCACCCAGTCCTAGTACCCAGTATTGGGACGCGGGTGGCGCTGTGGGTTAAACCACAGAGCCTAGGACTTGCCGATCAGAAGGTCGGCGGTTCGAATCCCCGCGACGGGGTGAGCTCCCTGCTCCTGCCAACTTAGCAGTTCGAAAGCACGTCAAAAGTGCAAGTAGATAAATAGGTACCACTCCAGCGGGAAGGTAAGCGGCATTTCCATGCGCTGCTCTGGTTCGCCAGAAGTGGCTTAGTCCTGCTGGCCACATGACCCAGAAGCTGTATGCCGGCTCCCTCGGCCAATAAAGCGAGATGAGTGCCGCAGCCCCAGAGTCGGCCACGACTGGACCTAATGGTCAGGGGTCCCTTTACCTTTACCTAGTACCCAGTATTGCATATGTCCAAACGGGGATGATGTTTAACAGGAAGCACTTTTAAAAAAATGCAGAGGGATTCACAAGGCACCCCTAGCACAGTTAGTAGGAAGAGAACACTCACAGAGGACAGGCAGGGGCTGGCCACGTTAGGGGAGCATGGCGGAGAGCAAGTCATCCTCACAAGAACGGGCATCTCATCATCTGAGACAGGCTTATCTTTAAGCACGGCGCTGCTGTCAGCGGCCTGCTTGCCGGGATCCGGTGACAGCAGCTTAACGGGCACCGACACAGGCATGACGATGGGGACGAAGCTCTCCGCCTCGGAGGGCAGCTGCTCCCGCTGGTGTTGGTGCTGGGGCTGCGGCAGGCTCTCCCCTTCGTCCTGTGCAGACAACCAAAGGCATTCAGCCTCAACCGTGGACTGCTCCCAACTAGAACACTAAAAGGCAGCACAGACAACAAATAAAAGAGTCTTCTGGTACTCTCAAGGTTAGCCAGCTGATGGAGGCATTGGCCACTGTGGGCTGGAGCCCACTATGTAGTGGATCTGTCAAGTCTCAGTATGCGGTAGGGGGTCAACACCGCTACTTCTCTAGAAAACACAGCATGAAATGTGGCACGCGCATATCCCAGGCAGAAGAAACGCCTCAGGACAGATCAGAAAGTAGACTCAGGCGAGGTGAGTGGAGAAAATCCCTGTTTTGGGGGCAGGGATTATTGGTTTGTCGTTGTTCTTATTTTTGTTATGTATTTTGTGGGTTTTACATTGTAATTTTATGTTGTGAGCTCTACAAATGAAGGGTGGTATACAAATTTAATAAATAATAATAATGATGGTGTCATAAGGCGGCGTTGAGGTGTGTTCACAGCGAGGAGCCCCTTTCACATGGAGGCTAGCCAAACCTTGCTCCTCAGAATAGCTCTCAGGTCGACATCAGACATTGACAGATCTCCATCGATGGAGAATGCACATACTAGAAAACGAAACTGGAGAAAGACACATTTCCTTGACAATAGCAGGATCAGATTGAGAATCACTGTATTTTTTAAAAAAAGGAAAATTGCAAAGCAAAGCAAGCAGCGAACTTTAGTAAGAAAGGGTGAAGGCCATACAGCAAAACTCCACAGTGTTACCTGTCTGAAGGCAGGAGATGCCCGTATCCCTCCATGAGACCTCATGTGGCCATTTAGGGCTGGCAAACTCTTAAATTCCTTCAAGCATACAGTGCATGTGAGTTTGCTCTTTGTTTCAGATCTCTCACTATGAGTTTCTTTATCGTGAATGCTGCTGAAGAAAGGAAGGAGAGACATGTTTTGATGAGAATGTTTCCAAATACATTTTAATCCAGCCACATACATGTACTCTTAAAAAATTATAATCACAGATTCTCTCTCTGGCAAGGCCAGCTCGAGACATTTTGCTGCCTGAAGTGAAGGACCAGGTCTACTCTAGAACAGGGGCAGGCAGAAAGCAGATGGGGATCTGCTGACAGATCTTCAGTAGACTGGCATGGGGTTCTGACTCCCAAATGTCTAACAGAAACCTTCCCTGCTGAGTCCTGACCATAAGTTAGGCTGCTGAGAAAAAGAGAGATTGGTGGGGAAACAGGTGTACATTTATTAACCTGGCTGAGGGTTTGCTTGTGTTTAATTCTTACTGTGCATCCACCCTTCAGAACCATTATTTTGCACCTAGCTTTGAATAGTTCTAGTAAACAAAAAAAAAGGCAGATCCTGCGAGTCTGCCCACCCCTGATCTAAGGAGATCGTGAGCCATTTTTTCCTCAGAAAAACATCCACTGTCAGAATCAATTCTGTGAGCAAGTGCTTTTCTTCTTTTTTTAAGCCATCTTCTCACAACTAAACTATTTTTGAGTGAGGATTAATGAAATTTCTCCTTCAAATGCTGAAAGTGCTTGCCGTTTACTACTGTTGTGAGGTTTTAACAGGTTGGCCCTGATCCAATTCACTGCTAGTGAAAAGGTGGAGAGCAGACAAGCGTTAACTCAAGGGTCACTTTTATGCTTTTATGCAAAAGGTTCCATCCAGTGCTATTTTCCTAGAAAAAGAGGTGCCAGAATTTACAATGAACACCTCCATTGTTCTCTCAGAATGGCAATGGCGCCCACCTGAGAGGTGCCAGAAATGAGTTCCGGAGAGTTCTGACTGGTTCCATCACTAAATTAGTCCCATGGGCAACAGACTGAGGACACAACAGGAACCAAAACCATTAAGTCAAAGATTGGTAGAATGAGTACCTGATGCTTCAAAGCTCTAGAAGATTCCACTACATGGCCAATAAACATACAGAGGCTACTATTTGAGGACTTTTGAAAAAACGAAAGTTAAGAATACATATGTAGCTATAGCACAAATATACCTTTGCTCGGGGGAAACTGACTGGAGTCCTCCATCAGGCAGATGGACCTGCTGCTAAAGGAAAAGATGAAAATACTGGCATATATCAGCATGCTGAAGAATCACCTATCTAGACTCACACACATGTAATGACTCATTCAAATAATCATTTAAAGAGTTTCACGCAACCTCCCCTGCCCATTCACAGATGTGTGAAGGTGAATGATGCAGTTATGCTAACTGGTCTTGTCTAGGGAGATCAGAAGGTTCCAACAGCTATGGAAGTGGAAGTTGCCACTGTGTTTCCTTATTTGCCCCATGCCCAATAGAAATCAGTCTAGCAAATATGATCAGTATTCACTGTTGCTGTTGCTTTCAGCCCACAAATTACACATAAATGATCACACTTGCATTGTGTTTCCTTTGCATTGAAATATTTGGGCTGGAATAACTTAGTGACATCCTAATTAATGATGTGAACTGTGTAAGCTATGCTTAATTCCACCGCATCAGACAGCAAGACAAGCTGCAGCAGAACGGAAACAGCGCTGCATGCAGTAAGTATAGGGCAGAACAGGGGGGGGAAATGCCATCTTACATCCCTAGTTATGTCCCATCCGCAATGATGTGTATGTTTGTGAAGCCCCTGACCAGCTGCACATTTGGTGCTAGTGTGAAGGAGCTGTATGCACACACAAATGTACATGAATATAAAGAACATGCAGGGGGAATCATGTGAAGCATACAGCCGTTTGCCTTGGCTTGGCTTGCAGAGACAGACTGTAGCTGGTGCATGTATTGATGGCGGACTGACCCTGTTCCCCCTCCAACACGTGAGGGGTGCTCATTTGAATATGTATACATGAAGGAGCGTCTCCATCCCCATCATCCAGCCCAGACACTGAGGTCCAGCGCTGAGGGCCTTCTGGCGGTTCCCTTGCTGCGAGAAGTGAGGTTACAGGGAACCAGGCAGAGGGTCTTTTTGGTAGTGGCACTTGCCCTGTGGAATGCCCTCCCAGCAGATGTCAAGGCAACAAACAACTATTTTACTTTTAAAAGACAACTGAAGGCGTCCCTGTTTAGGGAAGTTTTAAATGTCTGACGCTGTATTGTTTTTAATAGCCTGCCTCGCACCCCAGACGCTGGGTTTACAGGGGCTGCATGGGGAATATTACTGTGGGAGCAAAATGCTCCCCCTTCCACCTGTGGTCGGCTTGGCTTCCACTAACAGAGACCCCATGGTGATAATTAATCTTTGAATGCAGAATGCTGCTGAATTCTCTACTTGGGGATCTCTGTAATATAATATATAGACCCTCCACTAATTCAGCCATCAGAACTATGGGCATTTTTTCTAGTTTAGCAACATGTCGCCTATTTGGGAGAGGGGTAGGTATACAGTGCTAATGAATGCTAAGTAGTTACCTGACTGACCACTTCTCCTGAAAAGAACATGCAGGGACCTTGCAAGTGTAATCAGAAGCCCTTCCCTACATGCTACCGCCAAGAGAAGCTCAGAGGGTGGAAACGATGGACAGAGCCTTTTCAGTTGTAGCCCCTCTGCCTGTGGGAATGTCCTCCCAAGTGAGGCCTGCTAGCACTGACACCAGGTAAAGACTATCCTCTCTTCACCAGGGCATTTAATGGAATTTGACACAGCCAGGTCAAGGTTTTTCTGTCAGTGCCTCTGGCATGGAAGCTGGCATTTTATGCTATGTATTGGGTTTTTCTTTTGAAGAAAAACAACCGCCACCATTAGAATTTAAACAAGCACAAACTTTTATGTTTTTAAACTATGCCACCTTCAAGACTGCCCTGTATTAGGAGGCCAACAAATTACCCCCTTTTTCCGTGTATAAGACTACACTTTTTCCTAATTTTTTAAAGTTTAAAATAAGGGGTCATCTTATACACGGATAGTGCATAGTGCATTTTCTTAATTTTGAGTTTAAAAAAATAGGGGTCGTCTTATACATGGAGGTGTCTTATACACAGAAAAATACGGTAATTAATTAATAATAATAATTTAATTTTTATTATTTGCTGCCCATCTGACTGGATTGCCCCAGTTTTTCTGGGCAGCTCCCAACAAAAAACAACAACCCAATAAAACATCAAGCATTAAAAACCTTCCTAAACAAGGCTGCCTTCAGGTGTCTTCTAAAAGTCAAATACACAGTACCTTGGTTTTCAAACAGCTTAGTTCCCGAATGTTTTTGCTCCCGAACGTCGCAAACCCAGAAGCGACTGTTCTGGTTTGAGAACTATTTTTGGAAGCCGAACATCCGACGGGGCTTCTGCGGCTTCTGATTGGCTGCAGGAGCTTCCTGCAGCCAATCAGAAGCTGCGATTTGGTTTTTGAACGTTTTGGAAGTCGAATGGACTTCTGGAACGGATTCCGTTTGACTTCCAAGGTACGACTGTAGTTGTTTATTTCCTTGACATCTGATGGGATGTTCTACAGGGTGCACATCACTACCGAAAAGGCCCTCTGCCTGGTTCCCTGTAGCTTCACTTCTCGCAGTAAGGAAACCGCCAGAGGGCCCTTGTAGCCGGACCTCAGTGACCAGGCTAATAAGTTGTGGATTCAGCAAACTGTTGTGCCAATGGGAGCCTAAAATTTCTGAGGGAATTCCATTTCACACGGCAGAGGCGAATTTGGTTTCTGATTCTTCCCAAACTCAGATACAGGAAAGAAAGTATTACATACCTGAGGCCACATTGGACCAGGGGACAATGGCTGTGGTCCATGTGGTCCTTTGCTATCCACATGGATACCTTCTGGGGGCATCAGAGGTTGCTGAGGGACGCCACCAGCGACAGAATTCATGTCCTGCTGAACTGGGCCCTCCGACCCTTCTGCCAAGGGGAATCCAAGGTGCGAATCCATCAGTGCCTGAGCCTTGTTGTTGCTCTGGTAATGGTTTGGCTGACTGGCATCTCCTGGTGGTGGTTGCTGCTGCTGCTGCTGCTGCTGCAATAAGCTTTGCGAATACAAATGCCTGAAGGGTTGCTGCTGATCTTGATAGAAGTACTGAGGCACTGCTCCCAGCTGAACGAGCTGCACAGAATGACCCCGATCCTGAGAGTACTGATGAGTCTCGTGCAGAGGCTTCTGGTCAGGATCTCTGTGAAAGGCAGGAAGTTGCATTTGCATCTGCTGCTGCTGCTGCTGCAACTGTTGCATCATAGGCTGTATTGAATAATACTGAGCTGTTTGCACTGGGCATTGCCTCTGCTGCTGCTGTTGCTGTTGCTGCTGCAACTCGTGTATTAAAAGCCTATGTTGTCCTTGGTGGGATTGCTGCTGCTGCTGCTGCTGCTGCTGCAGATAGTATTGATCCTGCTGTAGCTGCTGCGGCAGCAGGTGCTGAGAGTGCATTTGCTGGAAGTGGGCCTGCCCTTGATGCATCACAGGGTGCATCTGCAGATGGGCTAAATGCTGCTGTTCGTCATAATAGAGGGGTTGTTGGTGCGCCATCATGTGCATGTGCTGCTTCTGCAGCGCGCCGACAAAACCCTGGTGGACTTGCTGCGGCACCTGTTGGTATCTCTGCACGGCGGGCTGCTGCTCCACCGCAGGCTTCTGAGACAGCAGCTGCCGAAGAGCGCTATCCCCAGTGCCGCCCATCGCTGAAGGCTGGATGACCTGAGATACGTTGTTGACTTGGATCCTTAAGTTCTGGTTTGCAAACACTTGGGCGAAGGAGTCCAGCTTATGCAAAACACCACTCGTCATTTTCTGCGGCCTGACCTCATTGGCTTGGGAACACAGATGCTCGTATCCGTCAGTTACTTCGCCTTGCCCCACTGAGCCCCACATGACGTTTTGGTTGTTCCTCACTGGGGCGTGGCTCCCAGAACCCAAATGGGCCCAACTGGATTGCCTAGGAGAATCCATCAACCCAAGGGTTTTGGACCCAGCATTCAAAGCTATGTTTTCCCTGGTGTCTTGGGGGAACGATGGGGAGAGCGGAGATTCCTGAGTTGCATCCATGGCTGATGTTCCATAGCTGTGGTTTAACGGTGCAAGGGAATTTAGGTGTTGCTGTTGCTGCTGCTGCTGCTGCTGGTAATACAAGCTTTCGTTGTTGTTGACAACATGGCTCGTTTTGTACATTTGCTGATCTCCCATTTTCTCTCAACAAAAACCATTTAATTTTTTAGTTTTTAATTTTTTTAAGAAACCACACACCAAGATCTGTAATCCCTGAGAAATCGTCTGTGAAGTTATTTATTTTTTTGGCTCTTCCATCTGCACTACGGAACTAAATTCTTTCTGGACGGCTGTTCCCCTTTCAAGCAGAGAATGTTTCATTCCTTCATTAAACGGGCCGAAAAAGCATCAGTCTTCATTCTAAGAATATACTCGGCATACTCTGGACACCTGGGAAGGGAAAGGAAAAAGGTGTGATTGTTTTTATTCTGTTCTGCATAGCCTTATCAACTTTCCTTGGGACAAGAGTGCAGCTAGCATAGTTAAAACAGAAAAAGGAAGGAAAGAAAGAACACTTGACCCTACGCAAAAGTGCAGGGTTTTTTTTAAGAAAAGGTAATTAAATCTGTTATCATTGAGAAAAACATTTTTCTGCTCTTCATTTCTATGCTCTAAATACAACTCCAATGCCACACCCCTAGGATTTCAAATACAATGAATTAGTGGGGTGAGTAGCTGGAATGCAGATGAAGAATTCCACTCTCCAAAAGGAAATGTCAGGTAATAATCATTGCTCCATCCACTAGCCTTCCCCGCCAAAGAATCCCCTTACCTCCCTATGGAATCCCCGGAGAAGCAAGCTGTCTGGCTAACAGAATGGAGAGTGCTTCTCCACCTCTTTTCCACTGGGTGTGTCTCAACCCAGAGTTAAGAAAAGCAAACTGCACCCAGCCATCACACTCTCTCCTGCTCCCTCCAGTCTGCCCCAGATTCTGGTTTCCTTCTTCCACCCCCCCCCCCCAATTGTATATGAAGGTCAGAGTAGAGAAGTCCAACATTGCGAAGGCAGTAAGAATGCAAAGGCAGAGTGAGTTAGTGGGGGTGATGTAGCATAAAACCTAGAGGTGGCTACCAACATCAGAAGCTGTCTCATACGGGGTCCACCTAGTTGGTTATCATCTACACTGATTTGCAGCGGCTCTCCTGGGTTTCAGACTGGGGTCTCTCCCAGTCCTACCTGGAGATGACAATGATTCACATTCTGCATGGCAGAGAAGAAACACATTGAAGGTCTACTGGTTAGCTACAGTGTGCAATCTCCAAGAAACCCTTCTGAAGGTTTATTTTTCAAAGAACATTTGGTCTACCATTTGGTCTACCAACTGGCAGACCTTCTTCTGTTGCCCCTGGAAGGTATCCAGAGCAGACGCTAGGTCTATCAGCTGGCCACATGGATAAACTTGGTGTCCAAGAAGACCTTACTAAAGTCTGAGTCCAGCTTAGAAACCACACCTATCAATGTGCCCAAAGTTGGCTTTTGGGAAAATCTCTTGCCACCGTGTAGAGCAGACAACAGGTCTCTCAAATTGTACTGGACTTACCCTTCTCTCCTTTGAGAAGCTCTCCATTGCTGTTGAAGACCAGAGCTGACACCAACCTATTCACTAGTGGGTAAAGAATGGCCTACAAGAAGCTCTCTGGAAATTTTCCAGATGGGAGACCCACTGAGCCTTATTCTGCAAGCATCAAAGAGTGATGTGCTGAGCCTTGTTCCCTTGTGCCCCAACACCACCACATTTTAACAGGTGCATGTGTGCTAGGCCTCAGCCTGGGATGATCTACTGAAGTCTCCATCACTACCCAGGCCACAGCCTTCTTCTGAAGATACACCCCTCACACAGTGAGGTGGAGAGCAGGAATGAGGCCTTTGGTCCTAACTCTCTCTTGCCACACCCACCAAGGGGGTTCAACTCCTGCAGTTCTCTACTTGTGAAGATTCCTTGCTGCGGATGTTCAGCTCTCACTTTGCAGAGGATGATGGGGACTGGTGAGGAGAGACTAACAGAGTGGGAGGGGTCAATGGGCTTCTTCTGCTAATGCATGTCTAATCCTGTGTGTGTGGAAGACTGCAGAGGGCTTGAATGATTCACCAGCACAAACACATTTATTTATTTATCCTGCTTATATCCCACCTTCCCTCCAGGAAAGTAGCACACATTGTTCTCCCTCTCCCCATTTTACCCTCAAAATAACCCTGAGAGGTAGGTTAGGCTAAAAGGGTGTGACTGGCCCATGGCCACCCAGTGAGCTTCATGGTTAAGGTAGGATTTGAACCCTGGCCTCCCAGTTCCCAGCCTATAACAGAACCACTATACCACACTGGCTTGCTTAGCAAATCTTAATGTCAAATTTCAGTCCTGAAGTTGGTTTTTTTTGGGGGGGGGAGAGATTAAATTTAATGTCAGAAGTATTTTCTCTCTTTTAAAGGACCATAGACTACTTCTGACCTCTTCCTTGAAATCAGGCAGTGAGGAAGACTGAAAAGCACAGAGGCTCAGATATTTTCTTGTCTAAGGAATGCTCACTGCAAGAATCTTGAAAACATTTGATTTAGAACAGTTACAGCACTGCAAATGCGATTAAGCTGACGGTCTGAGAAAGAAGAGGAGGAAAAAAATGCAGTTCTTAATATCTTCTTTATTAAAATTTGGGGGGGAAATATTGCTCATCTTCTTTAAAGAACTATTGTGGAAACCACAATAAAAGCCCCTCCCTCTACATAAAGGGATAACAGTGTCAAGATATATTTTTTAAAAAACAAAAACCAATGCCATCATTACTCTGAAATGGGAGGACTATATTAACTTCTCATTAATTGCATTTATTCAATTTAATGCAAAAGAGATAATTTCTTATGGACACAATTATTCCCAAAGCAGCCAAGCAATTCTCTTCCATAAATGTCAGCTATTATCTTTTGGCTAAATTACTTTATTAATTTTTTTTCAAGGTACTTCAAATATTTCTCACTGCTGGGAGTCATGCATTAGAGGGGAGAGAAAACTCGGTGCCTGCTTCAAAATGCAAAATGGATTTTGAAAAACGAGGCAAGGTTCAAATTTTAATAGATGCGCAAGATATCAAACATATCGAAAAGGGTATCACAGAGCTGGGAAAGGTGCAGCAATGGGTGACCAAAAGTTATTAAGGAGTTGTAATACCTTCCCTACTGTCAGGGAACTGACATCGGAGCTAGAGGCGGAGGGGAGGCTCTCAAATGATGCTGGAGAAGGGCCCAGCAGGGAGAGAGGCAGCTCAGCAGATGGGGAAGCAAATCAGCGCAACACCAGGGATAAAGGGGGGCAGATGGGGGAATTGGCAAGAGGGCTCCAGGACTCTTCACCGGACACCAGCGGGGAGAGCACGGGTCCTCCGCTACCCACACCCTCCCTGCGCAGAAGTAGGAGGAGACTTGGCGTCAAACAACTTTTATGTTGGAAAAGGTTTAAGAAACGCCCACTGACAGATTCTGCTAGCGACTGAGGCAGTCACGAACTGAAGGGCTGCCCAGACAGAAAGGTTTAAACAGGGCAACATAGCCAGGAGAGGCGGCAACTTACGCACGAGCAACCCATACTCATTACACCTACTAATACTAATAGAGAATACTAATGGGAAGGTTAATACTACTAGCAGTAGCAGTAATATTTGAATTTATATAGCCACCCACCAAACAAATATTCCCTGGCAGCCTATGAACACTACAATGCTCTGTGTGTGTGTGTGATAAGAGTGAAAGAGCGCTTGTCAGACAAAAGTTTCCCTTGTCTTTCCCCTGCACGCTATTTAGGGGTTCCCCCAACCCCCTGCCCAAGCCAATTTTGGGGGCTTGCAGGGGGAAGAGAAGTGGGGGAAGCCCTGCTAGGCAAGCAGAAGTCCTTAACACAAGCTTCTGCTAATAAGACTCATTAGCTGAATCCTGCTCAATAAAAGACAGCCAGGGGTTGGTTTGTTTTTTAATGCTGTTTCTCTTGTAATAAAAAACAGGCTAGATTTCAAAGAAAGGAAAAGAAAAGAAGAACAAATTAAAAGGCCCGAGTGATCAAAAAAGTCTTCATCTGGTGCTGAAAGGACACTGGAGAAAGTACTAGGTAACCCTCCCCCTGGGAGATCATTCCATAGCCATGGTACCACTACTGAAACCATCCTCTCCTTGGCTGGCCTCAGGAGCAGGGATTTTGCAGAGGAGCCTAAGATGTACACGGGAGGAGGCAATGTTCCAAGTAACCTGGTCCCAACCTACTTAGGGATTTATGGGTTAAAACCAGGAAAACCACGGCTTCAAGTCTTGTTATGGCAAAACAAACCACCCGGTTCAGGCATAATGGAAAGCCAGTGTTTCTTGGTTTGCTTTATCCCGCACGTGCCATGGAAGGAGCAAACTGGACAGCGTGCACAAGCGTCCTGCTCATTCTTGACAACCACAATAAGCCAGAAAGTGTGGCTCATCGTTACGTGTGAGCAGAAGAGGTATGCCACTTAAATACCAGTTTTTGAAGGAAACAGTGGGACAGGCCACCGCCTTTGTGCCTGTGGCTTGTGGGCTTCCTGAACGCATCTGGTTAGCCCACATGGGAAGCAGGAGGCTAGCCAAGATGGGCCTTCAGCAAGGCTATTCCTATGGTTGAAAAAGGAAGTTCGGCATGTTTGATAAAGTGCTTAAAGGATGGGTAGGGAGAGCCTGGCTGGTTTTTTATTTTTATGTACTCTGTTAGCTGATTTTCATTTAATGAATACAGATGAGTTCAGATTGTCTTTTGGCTTATGTGCCACCTTCCCCTCCATAATATCTAGGCCAATCTCATTACATAGTGTGTTTCCCCACCACTACCATCAACATTAGTGATATGGAGCAAAATCCCCACCACTGTGTGTTCTGGACGCTGAGGATTGGCTAAATACTGTCTTTGAATTAAGCACGGTTGTTTTTAAAATGTAAAACAGCAGGTGCCGCGAGGAACTGCTAGTTATTAGAACTGCAGCAGATGAGAATGGTGTTGTTGTTTTTAACAAAATCAAAAATCTCCCCCTGCCCCATGTCCTGACAAAAACTGCTCATCAAAAGTTGCCATTTGCCACTGACAATGGTGATGGATTTCCTTCCAATGCAAATAGCTGCTTCAGATGAGAGATTTTCGTCGGGACCATAGCCGGGGTCAAAAGGCTTAAACTCCACCATCATTGTCAGGTGAGATCCCAATAATCACCAGCCCCATCCCTTACAAGTGGCTGGTTGTGAGCTTCCGGGGGGAACTGACTGACCATAGCTGGAAAGTAAGGTCATTGTTGTTTCTTTGTCCATGTAGCCCTGGGTGCATCTTGCAATCTCTCTTAGAGCTGGTGAGGCTAATCTAATTGTGTCTACATAACTCTTTCTGCATTCTGTAGATTGTTGTATAAACTGTCGGTTTTGAGCTAACACCATCACACCTAGTTTCTTCTGCCCTGATGGATGAGTTCTGGTCAAATCAAAAGCTTGTGATTTTGAGACATTTTGGCTGGTCCTAATAAAGCCATGTGGTTTTTGGATTCTACGTCCACTTCCTGTGGACCAACAATGCCACCTCCATTTTTTGTAGACTAAGGCTGCAATCATAATCACACTTATTAGGGAATAAGCCTCACTGAATACTGCAGAACTTACTTCTAAGTGAACTAGTACTTGTCCTTTTGCTCTGATCCATCAAGTCCGTTTTGATGTTCTTATATTCCATTGTTATTTCTAACCATAAGGTGAGAGAACATACCATCTTGTCAAACGAACATTTGCTTAATAGACTCCTTAAACATGCCATGCTTCATAGTCCAATTATAAATCTGATAAACAACACATAAATCTGTGAAGCAACTCCTGTTTTCAGAAATCTCAATTACTCTGAGGCAATTTGTTCTTTGTAGCATTTTATGTTGTATTCATATGCCCCAAAATGATTCATCTAAGACACACACAAAAAGCAATTAAATTAAGGTCGTGAGCCTAAGTACATATCGTAAGGAAATAAGGACACCAAATAGGATTTATTGGAAAGGATGACATCAATTGGCCTTATACACAAGTAGATGCCTTAAGGAACGGTATATAAAATAAATAAAGTAATAAACAATGATAGTTTCAAACATTAAAAGGGTAATGCAACCACTATCCAGACTTACCAGTTCCAAAGAATCTTAATAATATATGTTCCTTTACTGTGATGGAAATACATTAACACCGAGGCAAAGCACGGTTATATTTCATTGTACTAGGCCAGGTTCACACATCACTTTAAAGTACGGTAAACCATGGGTAGACAAACTAAGGCCCAGGGGCTGGATCCGGCCCAATCGCCTTTTAAATCCGGCCCGCAGATGGGCCGGGAATCAGCGTGTTTTTACATGAGTAGAATGTGTGCTTTTATTTAAAATGCATCTCTGGGTTATTTGTGGAGAATAGGAATTCGTTCATTTTTTAATTTTTTTTCCAAAATATAGTCCGGCTCCCCACAAGGTCTGAGGGATAGTGGACCGGCCCCCTGCTGAAAAAGTTTGCTGACCCCTGCTTTATACCATACTTAAACTAATGTCTGAAGGTGAATGCACAATGTGCCGGTTCACACAGCTGAAATCACATGCACTGCCCCTCCCTTGTTCCCACTGCCCTGCTACATCCCCATTATCCCCAGCTGTAACCAAAAAAATGGGCTACAGTTTCCAAAAGCTTATGCTATAATAAATTTGTTAGCCTTTAAAGTGCCACAAGGGCTCGGTATTGTTTCTGCTGCAAGACACTAAACCAGCCATCCCTCTGGAAAGTTTTGTAACCAGATTCCAATATCCAAAAACCACACACACACACACACACACACACACACACACACACACTTCCATCAGCTATCACAGATGCAATATGTAAGCATCTGCAACAGTCCTGGAACATGCCTCTGGAAAACATGCCTCTGGAAAAGAACTGGATCTCTGTTTATGCATACAGTGGTACCTCAGGTTAAGTACTTAATTCGTTCCGGAGGTTCGTACTTAACCTGAAACTGTTCTTAACCTGAAGCACTATTTCTGGGTTAGCGGAGTCTGTAACCTGAAGCGTATGTAACCCGAGGTACCACTGTACTTTATAAAGAAAATGCCCAAATAAAACCAGGTTTCCTATAGGAAAAGGGGCTTTATTAGCCTTCTCAAATTGTGACATAGTGGTTAAACTAACTGTCACACTTCCTACAGGCAAGACCCAGGTTTAAATCTCTATTATGAAGCTCACTGGGTGACTTTGGGACAAACTCTCAGCATATTCTACCTTGCAGGTTTGCTGTGAGAAGGGGAAAACAATGCACACTAACTACCTTGAGTTCTATGGAAGGAAGGAGTTCTTATAAATTGTAACAAATAATGAAAAGAAATTAATTAATAAAAGTAATAAAACTGCTGCCACATAATTTCTCTCATCCAGTCCAATGGGCCCTTTGTCATCCAGGGCAGAATGTAAATATTGCTTAAATTAGTATTCTACCATCACTAAGAATTTATAGAGAGCTTTTTCTATATAGTTAAAGACCTGGGAGTATTAAAAGAAATAACTTATTCTGGCCACAAGTGATTCAAATACATACCATATCTGGTTCAGACTAGGTCCCCTGAAAACCCAACTGTACGCTTTCGTACACAGAGTTCATTGCTATGTTTTGTTCTGTTTTGAAAGGCAGGAGGAGTTAGTGGGCAGACAAAGGGCATTTCTGCCTATGTCCCAGTTTTCAGAGTTTGAAATTGCATCTGTCATAAAAAAAAAAAATAGCTTCATTATCAGATCTGCAGGCATCCTGGCACAGAAGCAGAGAAGGCCGTTTAAAAATAACAATCCTGATGCACAATTCTTAAGGTCTAAAGCCAAGCAATTTCTGTAACGTTTTCCTGGAAAGAAGGCACGCTAAAAGGGCACACACATTTCCCCCACCATCAGTTTAATGCTGCAGTTACAAAATGTCTATACTGCTGATATCTGGAAGACTGCCTTCTTCATTACAAACCTGCCTAGGTTTTAAGATCTTCACAAGATGCCCTTCTCTATATCCTGCCAACATGTGAGGCACGTTGTGGACAGACAAGAGGAAGCGCCTTCCTAGTAGATGAAAACCGCAGGAGGGGGACAGTGCTTTTCTGCTCAGATCCTGCTGGCTGGCTGACCATAGTCAACTTGTTCAGCCACTGTGAGTAGAGAATGCTGGACTAGATGGGCCACCGGTCTGATCCAGCACGCTCTTGTTATGCTCTTACATTCCCTAGGCTCTAAAACAGGGATGAGGAACCTCTCCATTCTGAAGTGAATTCCCTTGGGAGTCTTGTTCCTTGGGGCACAGCGAAGAAGCCATGCTGAGGAAAGGGAGCCCATTTCTTGGCACACAGATCCGGCACTGCCAGCTCCTCTTTCTCAGTGAGAAAGCCAAGAGAGCCAGCAGTGCAGGAAGGGAGCAACTGCTTCCTGCTCAGCCCCACATCTTCCACTGCCCTGGGTCTCTCAGTATTTTCAGTGCCATGTAAATGACCATTGATGCTGGGATGATCACAAAGGGAGCTCAACACAGCCAGTGTGTCAGAAAGGAGCAAAGGGCTGTGGCCTGCTGATTCTGCCTACAGGCAGAAGGTTCCTAATTCATGCTCCAGAACCTGCTCACTAGGGAAGTCAATCTCGACCAGCCTTTCTCAATCTGTGGGTCCCCAGATGTTGTTGAACTACAACTCCCATAACCCCAGCTAGCAAGGCCAGAGCTCAGGGATGATGGGAGTTGTAGTCCAACAACATCTGGGGACCCACAGGTTGAGAACCGCTGATTGAGACTGTCTAACATTGTCAGGCTTCCTGTTCCAAACTTCCTGTATGGAAAGGCTTTTTGGCTATTAAGCGATTTGTTTCCTCTGTTGCTCATTTTCAGTTGACTGCTTTTTTTTTTTAATGCTCTGTCTATTTTCATCTGTTCTTGTTTTCCAAATCTGATTTTATTCTGCAACTATTTAGCTTTGTCGTTTGCCATCTTGGATGTTTAATATGAAAAGGCGAGGCTCAAAGCTAACACAACAAACAAACAAACAAACATTTATAGGGTTGATATAACCAGTTGTTCATGTAAAGCAAGTTGTTCTGCTCGCACCACGGGACAAATGAGGGTAGTATAACAAATTTGCCATCACTTTCCAGCCCATGCTCAGCTTGCACCAACCCTGACACTCTCACCAGTCGGTCTTGCCTTGATAACCAAATTGCTATTTCACCCTTCCAGCCACAGAGAAGCAACAAGTGGCTTATATCCACTCCACAAGTCTGTGAGGTAGGTGGATCAAGCGTGTTGTCAAAGGTCACCAGGAAAGTTCATCCCAAGTAGGAATTTGATATTTGATCTCACTATGCAACCTACCAAGCTGCTACTGCAAAAAAAAAAAAAGGATGATTGTTGAGCATTGCTAAATCATAATATAGAGATCGGGAACCTGTTGCCCTTCAGAAGTTGCTGGACTCCCAACTCCCAGCAGCCCCAGTCAGCATGGCCAGCGGTCAGGAATGGTGGGAGCTGCTACTCAACCAGAAAAAATATTACAGTGGTACCTCAGGTTAGATGCTTCAGGTTACACACACTTCAGGTTACAGACTCCGCTAACCCAGAAATAATACCTCAGGTTAAGAACTTTGCTTCAGGATGAGAACACAAATCGCGCAGCGGCAGCTGGGGGCCCCATTAGCTAAAGTGGTACCTCAGGTTAAGAACAGTTTCAGGTTAAGAATGGACCTCCAGAACGAATTAAGTTCTTAACCCGAGGTACCACTGTATTCACAGAGTTCTTAATGGGCTTTTCTGGCAATAGTCAAATTAGGTCGGCTGCTGTTATCCCCATTTTGCAAATGAGGAACTGAGGCTGATAAAATTATGACCCCTTGAAGAGCGAGTGCCAGGGCCATGTCCACATACAACATTATATCCCACCTGCATCACCTTGTCCAGGTGCTGAATTGCTGGCAGGCATAGGTTGTATGGAGGTGTGTCTCCCCACGGGGGGTTCATATTTGACCACTGCAATTTATGCAACCATGGAAGGCCTTTTAAAGATGCCCCAATGAGACAAATCCCAAGAGGCATGATGAGAGGCTGCTACATGCAACTCCGAAAGATCCCAGCCAGATTTGAAGCCCAATTTTGGGACGGCGGGGTGGGGAGAAGCATCTGAACCACTATAACAGCTTTTCTTCATGGAACAACACACACACACAGAAGCCACTCCAAATTGCTCCTTCCAACGGATGCCTTCACACATCAGACGGTTCACGTGCAGCTGTTCATCACACTAATTGGGCTATTTTCTCCATGTCGTGAGATTGGAGGCGCGGGAATGTGGTGTGGAGAAAATAATCAGATCCACATGGCGCTTCAACTGCAATTAGTTATGAACAGGCTTAAAGTCTTAATTAATGAATTAATCAGATTGAAAATGTGTATTTTTAGTTGAGGCTGTACCCTGCCAAATGCTCCATGATTAGAGTACAGGCATAAACAATCTGTGTGCATCCTGTGATCTTGGCAACATCTTTTTAAATGCTGTTCCAAGTGATAAATTATTTGTCTGAATTGTTTAGCAAAAGAACTGATGTTGCCATCATTACATATCCTCAAAATGGCCCCTGCCATAATTTGTCTGTGTTGTTTTAGCTAGGAGGCTGTTGCTGTCATTAAATATGCTCAAAATGGCCCACATCAGAAAGGGATCATAGTATCTCTTCTACATTTTTATTATTATTCAAACATAGTGGTCAGACCCTTAGGTTATGATCCAGCAGAGAGTTCTGGAGTGTTTACTCACCAATGATTTCACTGGGATATACTGGATTCTGGCACATGGATTAATTCAGGCTTGTGAAGTGTCTATTTACCTGGTCACTAGTAAGGGAAGCTTTACAAAAACTGCTTCCAGGCCACAATTGACTAACGAGTAATTTGTTTGCAGAGTTGAGTTAAAAACCAGAGCTTCTTGCTTGCTTACTCAAAGATGTTCATAAATAAAAAAAAAAAGAATTCCCTTGCAAGGATTCTTCAACAGATCTTTTTATGATTTATATGTAAATTGTTCAGTTTTGTTGTGCATTTTTTATGTTTTAGTTATTCTTTATGACTATTTTTGTTATGCTGTAATTATGTATTTTTTCATGTTGCGAACCTCCTTGAGCATGGTGTTAAACTGTGGAAAAGTGGCACACAGATAAAACAATGTGTATGCATTGCATGTGTGTAGGTATGTGGACGGCCCACTCGAGTAACATTGGCCTTGGCTTCAATTACTGCACCTAAGGTAGTTCACAACTGTTCTGATGCAACAACGTGAAACATAAGCTCATGACTAAAAATGAGCAATGCAATTCTAGATGCATCTACTCAAAACCATGTCCACTAGTTTCAGTGGAACTTAGACCCAGCAAAATAATTATAGGGGTTGTACCTCCAAACACCAAAACATACACCAGCGTGTTTCTTCTCCTGCAAGCCTTGTGCACCGATTTCTAGCCTTCGACGATGCCACCTAGGTTGTAGTACATGTGTGCCTTTGCATCAAGGCATTCTGAGCTCACAATACAAGCTGTTGCTTTCTGCTTAGGACTAGTGAAACAGTTTCCCAGCAAGCCATCAAACATGGCTGGTGGCCTCTGTGTGGTTAGCAGGTCACAAATTTCACAGGCACGGTCTACTTCAATCCTACAAGTTTTGTCACATATCCGATAAGGACCCACTTTGTGCAGTGATCTGACATGGCTCCTCAGCGTAGCAACAAATAAATACTCTTAAATTAAATAAATAAAATTACCAAGGCACAAATGCCAATTAATACAAGAGGAAACTGGTTCTCTGGTGCCATGGCAACCATAACAACATTGTGAATGTGCGCGTACACACACACACACAAACACACACACACAGTCCTTGCGTATGGATTATAAACTCACTATGAGTTGTTAATGCATTACGGACTTTATCAAGCCCTGAAAAAGAACATCTTCAGTAGCATGAACAAAACCACTGCAGCTGATGTGAGGAGCTTCCACACACAAAATGTCACATCCCGTGGAGGTATATTCATATGAATGTATGAGAAGCAGCTACCATCATACATAAGTAGCTGAAGATTACCCATTGCTGCTAGTTAAGTACCAAAGGGATGAGGAAGGTATGGCCCTGCAGATGTTGGGAGTACAATTCACATCATCCCTGACCCCTGGTCATGGTGGTTGAAGCTGATGGGAGTTACAGTCCACAACATCTGGAGGACCACAGGTTCCCCATCCCTAACTTAAGATCTTTACTGGAGACCCGACTCTGCATGCTCCCAACTTCATAGACATTTGGGTTAGAGTCTCTTCTGGGGCAGTGCCACACAGGGCCCAGCCCAATGGAGGCAGCAAATCCACACAAACACCCAAGTCATGGGTCAAATGAAAGAAAAACCAAATTTGCTAAACCCTTATGGGTCACTGAAAGTCTCTGCAGCTGACAGATTCTACAGTGGTACCTTGGTTCTTAAACTTAATCCATTCCAGAAGTCCGTTCCAAAACCAAAGTGTTCCAAAACTAAGGCGTGCTTTCCCATAGAAAGTAAAACGCAAAATGGATTGATCCATTCCAGACTTTTAAAAACAACCACCAAAACAGCAATTTAACATGAATTTTACTATCTATCGAGACCATTGATCCATAAAATGAAAGCAATAAACAATGCACTGCAGTCACACAATCAATCAATCAATCAATCAGTAGCTGAACTGGGTTCCACACAGTCACAAAAACAAAACAAAAATAGCCGCAAAAATGAAAACACAAAATAATTAGTAAAAACAGACAGACCTCAGCGTAACACTCAAATGGAAGTGTGGCACTCAAAACGGAAGTGTGGCACTCAAATTGTCAGCATCACATTCAGAACAGAAGCGTAACACTCAAATCGGAGCACATTCGGCTTCCAAAAAAAGTTTGCAAACCGGAACACTTACTTCCGGGTTTTCAGTGTTTGGGTTCCAAGTTGTTTGCGTTCCAAGGCATTTGAGAACCAAGGTACCACTGTATTCCTCTACGGCTGGTTTCATCCTTTGCCATCAAGCACTCAAGAAAAAAAAAAGGGGGAAATAGCCACTATGATCATGAGTCCAGTATTTTAAGAAGGTAACTTAGGGAAGATGTTTCTTCAGATCACTTTAAGTTCTGTCTTTATTTCACTTTATTTGACAAAGTGCTAGGTGCACCGCCCACAAAATAGCTGCTATGGTGGGGATCATGACATAACACAAGAACGACTGACATGGGAAGCACAGCATAACATAGAATTAGAGAGACAGCCACCTCTGACACCCTTATTCTTACCATAGAAAGTCAGCAATGTCCTGCTGGTCCTGATTGTGGAAATCACACAATCATGTTTCACACACACACACACACACACACACACACACACTGATGTTCCTGCTTTCTAACTTGAAGCTTTCCTCAGTACCAGGAAAAATATACAAAGTGCAAAATACCTTACTGTGAAATGACAGAAAACATTTATAAAGTACCTATGTGTGTTACCCCATAACTTTCTCACTAGGAAGTCTAGGGATCTACTTTTTAAAAAGGAAGGAATTCCCGAGTCTGTTTTTCAACCCCTGGCTTAAGTGACTGCAGAGTGATTGTGATCATGAAAAATCCACCCTCAGTTGGGGAAAAGTCTTGAGTAAGCAGACTTTGGGGGGCTCTTGCAGATGAGACTTCTGAGACCTTGCCTGAATTTTTAGAGGGTCCTATTCTTAAATTTCTCCTGTCCTTATAACAAGCTGTTATTCTGTAAATGGAGGCTGCCATAGGCTGTCATGCCACAAATTAAGACAACTTTCCGAAATTTCTGGAGAGACAGGTGGATGAAGCACAAATCTAGGGGGGTTGTGAACCCATTTGCCCTACCCTGGTTACAGAGCTGGTGCCTTATGTTTCTGTCTCTTAGATAAAAGGCCATCTCATTCTGCCACCTTTCCACCTAGCTGGAATCTTTTTCTGCTGTCACTGCTTTCTGGTGTGAATTGGTTTGTTTTTCCTTGTTTGAATTTAATCATGGTTTGAATTATTCTTTTTGTTGGTTTTTAACAACGTTGTTATGACCAGGTGCATGAAAAGCACGAATGCTTTTAAAAGACATAAATAATTAACACACACATATCTGAACACAAACACAACTAAAAAATGTTTTGGTACACATCTAACTCCCTTAAATGTGAACCTGAGCAACAAACCTACTGAGGCCATCTGCAAGTCTTTAATTAAAAAAATGCAGTTCTGTAATCTCTGGAAAGCTGCAGCAAACATCTTGTAAATCAGAAACTGTAAATCAGAAAGTGAAATCTAGTATTTTTTTTTTGTAAGCATAAAGAACATTCAGATGTTACACCTACAGAAAATCACCTCCAGTAAATCACTAGCAATATACTTAGAATCCTGGTTCTAAAAGTTGTAATAAGCATGCATTGTAAGTAGTAAAAGAGTAAAGAACATAATAACAACACAGCTACCCCACTGGAAACTGGTGCAGTTCAGAACTTTTCCTCGGTAAGAAAATATTGGATGGTCAAAGAGCAGAGTTTTATGACTTGATGTGTCACCTTAAATCTCATTAATGATTAAATGGACATAAATAATGGTTGTGGTTCCTGACAGTAAGCAATTTACAGCAGGCTACTTATAGTCCACAGAAGGTCATCTATTGTATAAAAACATTTCCACCAATCCACCTAGATCCTGATTATGGTATTTTACAGTACTATGGGGAGGGGACTTACACAACTTTGCCCAACAGCAGCCATACAATCAGGTACTTGGAAACCCCGTTTTTGTCGACCCTGGAAGACAGTAAAACAGCCTCCCCCAGTCCAGATGTGGTTGTAATCCAATCCCCATTATCTCTAGCCAGCATGATCATTGGTCAGGGATGATGGGAGTAGCAGTCCCACAAGATTTGAGAGATCACCATACATGGCTGGTGAATTGCATTCTGCTCAGAAGCTCACAAACTTAGCAGGCTTTATTTTATAAACCAACGTTTTTAGGGAAAAAAGCTGTTTCTGCTTGTACAGCAATCACATAATTTTCTTACCTCCTCTTTTATCTCCAATTATCCTCCTGGGCAACTCAGCAACACACAATAGGCCAGGACCTGATCCTTGCTTCATATTCTAGTTTGGAGGGAACTCTTAAACCAGTTTCCCGATTCAGACATCTCGGGAAACTGATTTCAAAAACCAAGACAGCCATTGCTAAAGGTGGGTGCATGAGGAGAGGATGGAGTAAAAGACACAAGGAAGAAGTATGTGGGCGCCAGCTCACTGCTGGTCCAGTAAACCATGGTTTATCAGGCTGGGATTATTACATCTGGAAACAATGATTTGCTCATAGCTGACCATGAAATTTCATTGCTATGGAGAGATCTAAATAGCCCGGGGGGGGGGGTTGGGTTTTCTTTGCAGGGAATTGGGGGGTGGAAGGAAACAACTCACTGGCGGAGGAAGAGGAGTGTGGGGGAAGCACACCGGCTCCGGCAGCACGATCCCGGTGGGGTGCCATTGCGGCTGCCCCTTCCCCACGCACTGGGTGCTATGCCTCCGCAGGTGGTGTGCCACGCCCCCAGGACACACGCCAGCCCCTGCCTGCCCTCCGCCCCCCGGTGCTGGAGCATGAAGCTCCGCCACTGAAACAACTGCCCTGAGACCTGAGGGCAAAGGGCAGTACAGTGGTACCTCTAGTTACGAACTTAATTCATTCCAGAGGTCTGTTCTTAACCTGCAACTGTTCTTAACTAGAGGCGTGCTTTCGCTATTGGGGCCTCCTGCTGCTGCTGCCGCCGGCCCACAATTTCCGTTCTCATCCTGGGTCAAAGTTCTCAACGTGAGGTAACTCTTCCAGGTTAGCTGTTATGTACTAAGCTTGGGTCCTAGAACAACAGGCAAGTAGGATCGTAGAATGCAACAACTGATTGGCTTCCAGGAGAAGACCAATCAGGCTCCAGGAAGAAGTTAATCAGCCTATTAGGCTGGTAGGATTGTAGAATGCAACAACTGTGATCTCAGAACCACTGGCAGTCATCTTTGAGAATTCCTGGAGAACAGGCGAAGTCCCGGCAGACTGGAGGAGGGCAAATGTTGTCCCTATTTTCAAAAAGGGGAAAAGAGAGGACCCAAATAATTACCGCCCAGTCAGTCTGACATCAATACCAGGGAAGATTCTGGAGCAGATCATTAAGCAAACAGTCTGTGAGCACCTAGAAAGGAATGCTGTGATCACCAATAGTCAGCATGGATTTCTGAAAAATAAGTCATGTCAGACTAACCTGATCTCGTTTTTGACAGAATTACAAGCCTGGTAGATGAAGGGAATGCAGTGGATGTAGCCTACCTTGATTTCAGCAAGGCATTTGACAAGGTGCCCCATGATATTCTTGTAAAGAAGCTGGTAAAATGCGGTCTTGACTATGCTACCACTCAGTGGATTTGTAACTGGCTGACTGACCGAACCCAAAGGGTGCTCATCAATGGTTCCTCTTCATCCTGGAGAAGAGTGACTAGTGGGGTGCCACAGGGTTCTGTCTTGGGCCCGGTCTTATTCAACATCTTTATCAACGACTTGGATGATGGACTCAAGGGCATCCTGATCAAATTTGCAGATGACACCAAACTGGGAGGGTGGCTAACACCCCAGAGGACAGGATCACACTTCAAAACGACCTTGACAGATTAGAGAACTGGGCAAAAACAAACAAGATGAATTTTAACAGGGAGAAATGTAAAATATTGCACTTGGGCAAAAAAATGAGAGGCACAAATACAAGATGGGGGACACCTGGCTTGAGAGCAGTACATGTGAAAAGGATCTAGGAGTCTTGATTGACCACAAACTTGACATGAGCCAACAGTGTGACGCAGCAGCTAAAAAAGCCAATGCAATTCTGGGCTGCATCAATAGGAGTATAGCATCTAGATCAAGGGAAGTAATAGTGCCACTGTATTCTGCTCTGGTCAGACCTCACCTGGTGTACTGTGTCCAGTTCTGGGCACCACAGTTCAAGAAGGACACTGACAAACTGGAACGTGTCCAGAGGAGGGCAACCAAAATGGTCAAAGGCCTGGAAACGATGCCTTATGAGGAACGGCTAAGGGAGCTGGGCATGTTTAGCCTGGAGAAGAGGACGTTAAGGGGTGATATGATAGCCATGTTCAAATATATAAAAGGATGTCACATAGAGGAGGGAGAAAGGTTGTTTTCTGCTGCTCCAGAGAAGCGGACACGGAGCAATGGATCCAAACTACAAGAAAGAAGATTCCACCTAAACATTAGGAAGAACTTCCTGACAGTAAGAGCTGTTCGACAGTGGAATTTGCTGCCAAGGAGTGTGGTGGAGTCTCCTTCTTTGGAGGTCTTTAAGCAGAGGCTTGACAACCATATGTCAGGAGTGCTCTGATGGTGTTTCCTGCTTGGCAGGGGGTTGAACTCGATGGCCCTTGTGGTCTCTTCCAACTCTATGATTCTATGATTCTATGAACTGATTGGCCTGCAGGAAAAGACTAATCAGGCTCCAGGAGGGAAGTAGAATCAGCCAATCAGACGGGACTCATTGTATAAATAATGTATATAAAAGCCTGAGGTTTGGGGGGCAATTCAATCACTGTTTTACAAGCTGCAATAAAGAGCATGAAATCACTACAAACTCCGAGTATATTTCATTAGCAGAGTCTGTAACCTGAGGCGTTTGTAACCTGAGGCATTTGTAACTCGAGGTACCACTGTATACAAATTTAATAAATAATAAGAAATAGAGTGACAGAAAAGAACATGGGGCAGGGCACACTTTTCCACCATTCCCACTCCCCAGGACTTTACATCTCCGAACTGGAAGCAGGGGTGCCCATATCCAATACTGCTCCAAAACTCTGGAAAGAGGTTTTAAAAGGCAAGGAAGAACAGAAAGGTTTTTGCACTGAGATAAGGTTTAAAGGCTGAAAATTATTGGGGGTAAATACCATTAAACTGCCAGCCTATTCTCTAAACCAATGTTTTGCTCTGCTCTGAACATACAAAGAAGAGCAGGAGCATATAAGAGTTCCAGAAAGTCTAGATATATCCCTGACCCAGCCAAGACATATTCATTTTGCTTCAGCTTTCTGGCATCAGTTTACACAGCCAGCCTTCATTTCAATCAGCAGAGCCTGGTCACAATCCAATGATTCCATGGCCTGTCCATCTCCTCCTGTCTATGCTAGGAGCAGGGTGGCATGCATGTTCTGTAGCGCACATGGGACAACGTGTATGCTTTGCTTCCTCAGATGTCCTGGAGGTCCAAGGAGCTCTACACGTCTACTCTGTCACAAAGCAATACAGGTGTAATGCGAGCCCATGAAGGCTTACCAATTATTTTTTAAAGCATTGTCATTGCTGGCTTGCATAATACATTTAAATGTATGCAAATTTTTTAATTGTCTGCTGCCTAGCATTAAAGTCGAGCTAAAGATAGAGGCATTCAATTAAAGGAAGGAAAATAATGTCAGGGCAGTCAAGTTCTAACGATATTTCAATTTTCCGAGTGCCAATAATTTAAGGGTGCTTCCACATTAGATTGTTACTGCAGAACTGCTCCGCTTTTGTGAACATGCTTTTTGCAGGGCCTCTTATACAATGTTGTTGTTGTTGTTGTTGTCCTTATTGTTATCTTATTTGCACTCTGCCCACCTGACTCGGTTGCCCCAGCCACTCTGGGCAGCTTCCAGCGAATATAAAAGCATAATAAACCATCAAATTGTCATTATTAAATTAGGGAGGTTTGGAGCAGAGGCTCTACTTGGCCATTTCCCCTGCACAACAGCTAAGAGGAACGGGAGACACAAGGTGGCAGCTGCAGCAGAAATCAGATCCGTCAGCACCACACAGGTGCATAGCTACTGACTGGCCAGATGCATACCTGCTGGGGAAACCCAGCCAGATGGGCGGGGTACAAATAATAAATTATTATTATTATTATTATTATTATACCTGGATGATACACTGACATCAATGGGCTGTTGTAGGATGCTGCTAGTTAGGGGATGATGGAGACTGGAGTGCAGAAATATTGAAAGGCCACAGGTTCCCTATCACTGCAGTGAGGGAATGAGACCTCTCCTCCCTCAGTGCCCACTCAGGGCTTGTACACACTTCCACTTGTCCTGCCGATTTCCCCTGGGGAAACCCGCTCTTTAACAGTTGAATTGGAGCAAACATCTATCAGGTTTTCAGTGGATTGACATTTGCTCCCACAAAAGGTGGTGGACTCTCTTTCCTTTGAGGTTTTTAAACAGAGGTGGGATGGCCATCTGTCATGGATGCTTTAGCTGGGATTCCTGCATTGCAGGGGGTTGGACTAGATGACCTGTGGGGTCCCTTCCAACTCTAAGATTCTATGTTTCTATGATCAACAAAATAAATAGGGATGAAAATGGGTCTATGAGTTGCCGCATTGGCTATTAGGACTCAAATCCGATCATACTGTGCATTACCTCTGACAATCATTTTGGGATCTCATACTATCGTTCCTTTCACGGGTTAAATATTGACTACCAGAAAGAACATAAAACATGCCAAGGAGTTATTGTAAACAAGTTTGTTTCATTTCAGTAAAAATATGGTTGCAATTTTGAAAAAAACTAATCCCAATTTGTAACCCTCCCTCTCAGAGGACAGTCCTTGAAACACAAATTTAAACATTTCAAAGTCATGCATTTAGACTGTTCACACGCTTTTAGTTCCAGGGAACACCCTCAATTTATAGTCTGATTCAGCAAATTGCACTGAACAAACAAAGCAGCTGGTAGACAAATATTTGGGCAAAACGCTTGAAGGTATAGCTGATTCGTGTTACAGAGTCAATCACTGTAATTTGAGAAAATAAATGAAAACGTAAAAATAAAAGAAACAAAGGAGCACAACCTATATTTGCGTTTAAAAACAAAAAGTTAATGAGACACAGTAAAGTATGGTGACAGAATACATATTAAAGATATGCAGTCCCTCTAAAGCCTTTGGATTTTATTTTATTTTTAAAATTCAGCAAAGGGTTCCATGACAAGTTAACCCAGTCTTCCTTCCATCATGAACCTATCTGTGTACCTTAAGGCACTTTGAAAGTTCAGTGGGATGGGTATTGGACATAGGATGGGTATTGGAGGGGATTTTCTCCTGTGAGAATTGTTAAGTTACCTTAAGTTGGGATTCAAGCCTGATTTTGGAAGAATCCTCCACCCTTTCTATATTCACATACCACCCATTGTTTTGTCAGTCACCAGTACATTATAAAGAATACCAGTCTAGAATATCCAAACCTTTCAGGAGCGAAGGCCAGTTTCCGCAAATAGAACCAGCTCTCTATGCCTGGCCTAACATAAACCATCAAAACACATAGGATTAATATTTCAAGATTCACGTTTTATAAAACAAAAGGCTGCTGAGTCAGCAGGCAAGTTGATCTGAAAATGCAGAAAGAGTCACCGGAGAGGAAGTATTGTTTGGTAACGAATAAAAACAAAGAACGAACAAAAACAAAGCAGCTTCAGTCGAAGGCTCGAAGAACATCACATGAAGCTAGAGAATCAGGACTTGGCTCCATTTGACTAAAGCTCCGGAAAATAGTTCTCATTGAAAGCAATGTGGTTTTCAATATGACAGCCATTTTATGGCAGCTTCTCCTAACTTGACACTACCTAGTTGTTGCTGGACTACAACTCCCATCAGCCCCACCCTTTGTGCAGCCAGTGGTAAGGGAGAATAGGAGGCACAGTGCAACAACAGCTGGACAATACCAGGGTCTCCACCCCGCTGTATATAAAACCACTGCTTCCTGGGTTCCCTCTCATTGTCACAGACTAGCACAGGAGTGAGGAACTCCTCTATGCGGCCCCTGAGAATCTCCCTCATCAGTCACAGGCTTCTCGGGTGCTTTTGCCTAGCTGCAATATGACCTTGAACTCTGGTGATTACTCTTCCTTGCCCAGATGGAGCCAGACAGGAGTGTTTAAGGGCCTTGTCTATAAAACAGCCTACTGTACAAATGTAAAATCTACATTCACTGTTGTTCACAGTGGTGTGTTGCCCTGGCCCACAAGGCCCTGATAAATATCCTTGGGCTGAAAAATGTTCTGCACCCGTGTTCTAGTGTAACTAAGAAAGGGAACCCAGCATATATGGCTACTGATGTCGGTGAGCACTTAGTTCTTAGTGGCTCCCACTGGAGACGCTAAATTCGACGGGAGCTTGCAATGTGGGACATAGTTGAAATACCGTCCCCTTGCTCTCAGACACTGTTGATGTTCAAGCTCTTTCTAATTTTGCTTCTCTTCAAGCCCATCATAGCGACAGGCATTTTGCTAGTATTTACAGGATGAAAAGGATTTGTGGTATTCACATTGACCTGTTTTAACAACTAAATGACTTAATTTGCTTTGCCTCTGTAACTACAGACCTCACATTTTTCATGTTAAAAACATGCATAATTCTATAAATACAGACAGATGGAAAACAGGCTTTAAGCCAGATACCCACTTCTGATTTGTTTTTTTTAACAAGGCCCAGTAAAATTTGTAGCCTATTAAATTATAAGGCAGTTCGAATGATGTGTAAAATGAGATTTATGCCTTGCTGAATAAATATTGCCGCATCCTAATTTAGAACTTGGCAAATCTAGATTCATGGGCTAAAATAAGAAGTGGGCACTTTGTCATTTCAAAGGAATAGTTGGAATTATTATATTCCTTGATTTCCCCGAACCCCTTTTTATTTACTCTGACAGCATTAGTTTATACAAGATTTCATCCTAAAACTCCTTTTTCCAGTAGCTTATGAGCCAAAAGAAACCTGTCAATAATACTAGCTAGAATGGATGATAGTTATATACGGCACTCTGATTCTCCAGCGGTTTGACTTCACCCCCGGAGGCACACTCCATTGTCTTTCGAGACAGATGGATGCCAACAAAATAACACACACGGGCAACAGTGAATACAACCCATAAAGCAGAAAATTAAGACTGATCCAGTGCCCCAGTCTTAAAAGGGGCGGGGGGGGGAGATAAAGGACCCCTGACAGTTAAGTCCAGTCACGGCGCTCATCTTGCTTTACTGGCCGAGGGAGCCCACAGACAGTTTATCCGGGTCATGTGGCCAGCATGACTAAGCCACTTATTTATCTACTTGCACTTTGAAGTGCTTTCGAACTGCTAGGTTGGCAGGAGCTGGGACTGAGCAACAGGAGCTTACCCCATCGCAGGGATTCCATTCGCTGACCTTCTGATCGGGAAGCCCTAGGCTCAGTGGTTTAGACCACAGCGCCACCTGCGCCCCCTTTAAAAGGGTGAAGATTATGCTTGTTTCTCTTCTTTAACTATCTGTCAAAATATTCCATTCACAGTCAATGAACCTACAATTTCTGTCTCTGACACCCCGTTCCCAGGTTAGAGACGGTGGAAACTCATCCTTCTCACTCCCTCTCCTGCAGGGGTTAAACAGAATCCCCCCCCCCTTTTCTCCTGCTTCCAAGGGGGTTTCAGTAGTTCTGAATGAAGGAAATTTAGACTTTTTTGACAGCTTTCCAGGCTTTAGCTTACGAAGTTTTTGCTTTAGTCTATATACAAAAAGCGGAAGGCGGACTTCCTGTTCTGAACCTTCCTGCTTCGATACCAAATTAAGATATTTCTTAATCCAATTTTCCGTTTCTACTCACGGGTACTTGTTTTAAATCCAATTGTCCACAGGAAAAAGTCAGCGCTCTCTGGCAATGGCTGTGCGGCTTCACTCCGTGAAAGTAGCAATCAGTTCGCAGCACCGCGCCGCTCACCCCGCTTCGAACCGGCGCCCCAAAAAGGGGTTCCCGGTGAGTAGGGGGGGCGCTTCTGGTGCCCTGCCAAACCCCACGTTCCCAGGCTTCCTCCGCCTGGGATTTCTAGCGGGTCCCCGCCTTCGCCGTGGCGGGAAGACCCAGTTTTCACGGAGCTAGTTCCTCCGGTCGGAGGAACTCCGCCATTCACCGATGGCGCTGACCCGGAAGTCCTCTTGTATTGGGTGCTTGCCTTATGCAAAACAAGTGCCCTGTTGGAACAGATGCATGAGAAGATGGACTTGATGAATGAAAAAATGGATTTGACTGTTCTGGTTAATAACTGTGGACAAACAGGGAACATTGATACAGAAATTATTCAGGGACCAACTCATGAATCTGTACTGACTGGGCAAGAACAGAAGATAATGGAGGAGGATGCGGTTGCGCCTCAAATAATACAAATGGAGAGACCCGAGGCCCTACAGGAGCATAAGCCGCTGTCATTGAAGATTGAAGTTGGAATGGGCCAGGGGGAGTCTGGTGCTGAGGAGGTTCCTAACTTTGGAGAGACCTTGAAATATGTTTTTAAATACTTTTTGGATTCTATTGAGGACTGTGGGGAGTGGGACTTTGGGGAATGGGTGGGTTTGATGAAGGGAGATGGAGACAATTCTGGGTTGGAACCCCCCAGAGAACTACTCCTCAATGAGAAAGGAAAGGAATTAAGAAAGAGACCAACAAAAGACAAGGAAAAGGGCAAGTATAAACAAGAAGAAGAAGAAATGCAGAAGGGACATGGAAGAGACTTAAGGGCCTCGGACATAAGGCTTCCAGGTTGATGGACTAGATGGATTGGACAGTAAGGACTGACATGATCCGAGACCAGGAAGATGAGACGTTGGATGAAGATTGGAATAAAATTTATAAAGGAAACTTTTTATTTAGGGAATTAGCTAAAAATTAATGAATATTAGGGAAAATGTTGGAATGAAACTATATGACTCTAGCAGAAATGATATCAGGAGTTATGTATATTTGAAAACTAAGATTTAAGCTTTAAGGTATTTTAGGGTAAGATAAGGTTAAATAAATTAAGGTATTTTGAATAATAGAATATGGGGAAAGATGGTAAGGATTTGCTGAGCTAATTATTAAGTTAAACTGACAAGATAATTTTTTTAACAAAAATTGAGAAAGATGGAAAGAATTTGCTGAAATAACTAATTAAACTAGAATACAAAAAGGGAGGTGTGAGGAGGTCAATGAAACAAGCAAATGGAAGTTATAGATATGTAATTTGGGATCTATGTTGTTTTCTTTTTTCTTTTGTTTTCCATTTTTCTTTTTATTTTTTTGTTGTATTGTTTCTTTTTTTTCTATGTATTATAGTGTTGTTTTTAATTTTTCTTTTTTCTTTATAACTTTGAAACTACTAATAAATATATTTTATAAAAAAAAATAAAAGGGTGAAGATTATGTACATGAAGCTCCTTGAATATTTAAAAGGGTGAAGATTACGCCAAATATTCAAGGAGCTTCATGTACATAAACATTGTCAGTACCCCTATAATGAACTGAACTAATATTAGTCCTGTCTTGTGGATGGAAGAATATGTGTTGAGAGAGAGGAGCTTTCCTAAAGTCACCTAGTTAGTTCACTGTAAAATTTTATCTGGTGCCTGCCCAGTGCATGCCCTTAGGATTGCTTTAAATGTGACACTGGTCATGTTAAAAACCAAACACACCTGTCAAGTACATGGAATCAGCACAGAAGGCATGCACGAACCAGGTTGCTAGCACTCACACATACAATATGAGTACACCAACAACATCTTATTAAAAATATTATAACTCGTTTTCCGTTCAGCATAAGGGTAAAGGTAAAGGGACCCCTGATCAGTGCAACAAATAAAATGACCATGCGGGGGGGGGGGGGAATCCAACACAACAAATTAAGGCAGCAAAAGCAATCAATAGCAGAGTGGATTAAACAATCAAGAATACAGCTCATAAAAATGCCTGGGCATTGTGTATTCGTAGGCTAGAGCCCCTTGACGTGCTAAGGTTGTATGTTCATGCCCCACTGCCAGGTTCACGGGTGATGCTATGCACACTCAACCCTAAGTTTTGTTCCTTTCAAACATGCCCAGCATCACCCTGAAACCAGACATCACCCTCTACACTAAACTAGCCATCTTTTTCCACAATATACGAATCATAGAGAAACCAAGTTGGTGAGTAAGCAATTTGGTGTGTTTGCTGGTGTACATTGCTGCAAACGAGAGAGGGAAAGAGAGGAGAGATTATGTAGAACAAAATGGCTCTTTGGGACTGAGAGTAAAACAGAGAGTCTTTCACCTTCAACATGCTGATACGAATCTGGATAGCTGTAGGTGGAGACTAGGCTGCAAGCACATTCTGTTTCATCACTTCTCATTTTCCTCACCGGCCTCAAAATAATCTTTTCGCATTTCCAATGCATGCATGCTAACTCACTCTCACAATTGCAGACTTTGAGGTTTTAAACATTAAACAAGTGTGCAATATTTTACATTGCTTTTAACTCTACATTTAAGAGCATACTTAACGTATTTTATTGTTTTATGTGCTCTGTATTCTTATCATCTTCTCTACTGGTTACCGACAGATTTTATTTATACATACACACACACACAAATTTGTGCCTTCCAAAATCATTTTATGTCATCGAAAAGGGATTGTGCAGGGGTCAGAACAGCAAACAACATGTAAAAGTCACAGGTAACACATGCCTCCACATGTGAACGTCAACGGCAGAAGCTTCAGGCCTGGCGGCCAAACAAGAATACTCCCGGTGTCTCTAACCAGCCCTCAGAAATCTTCCCAGGTCACAACTCTCACTGACTCCTGCCCATCTAACTGGGTGACCCCAGCCACTCTAGGAAGCTTCCCACAAAATACAGGGGGGGGGGGAATAGGGGGGGTCAAATATTAAATGCTCCCCGAAACAGGAAAAACATCTTCAAATATTTGAAGGACGGTTGTAAATTTGGTTTGTGTTGCTCTAGAGGGTACTTACCTGAACCAAAGTGTTGAAACTACAAAGGGGAGAAGGACTCAAGTCTAAACATTAGGAGGAGCTTCCTAGTGGTAATGGACAGAGAAACAGACTGCCTCAGAAGGCAGTGGATTGTCCCTCACTCGAAGTTTTTAAGTGGAGGCTGGATGGCTACCTATCAGCAATGCCGTAGTAGTCCTGAATCACTAGATGAGTTTTGAGACACTTTCCAGCATTTATTCCACCATGCTTCCACTGTGAGCTAGGCCCTACACCCTTTCCTTCAAATAATGAGAGTTGGGGAACTTGAAAGAGAAGGAGATGCTCACATTGAGTGCCAAGTTCATACATGTTTCCCCCTCTCCCCTTCCATGTTTTCCCCTCCCTTTGATTCCCAATAGCCTCTTCGGACATGGAAGGACGCATTAATTTTTGGTGCAGTGCTGTTACACACAGTAGCAGTACTTCCTCTTATTTTCCTTGGGGTGCTGCAAGCTACAAGCCTTACTGAATTCAGCCTTACTTCTCCAATTCCTTTCCACAGAAAGTATATACACACATTTAGAATTACTGTCAAGAACAACAACAACAAAAGCGACAAATCTTTATCATAACAGAAGCCAAATAGGTGCATCACAAAAAGCTTCCTGGAGTACCAGTCTTTTTTCTTTTTCTTTTAATTCATCCAATCACACAAAAAGAACTATCCTGTGTTTGTGTTTTCTTTGTTTAGAGTTTGTATTAAACCAGTCTCTCTTTTTAATATTTGATTAACCATTGTATTTTAATATTCTGCTGGAAGCCGCCCAGAGTGGCTGGGGAGTCCCAGCCAGATGGGTGGGGTATAAATAATAAAATCATTATTATTGGTAGCAGTAGCGGTAGTAGTAGTAGTTTTTATTATATCCTACCCTTACTCATACAGAGCCCAGGGCAGCTAACAACTTACAGTGTTAAGAAACTCAAGATATATAAGCTAGGTGCCAAATGGCTTTGTAAACCAGGTTTATAGTTGCCAAAACAGAAAATCTAGTTGCCATTTCCGCAGGCCAGACGGCTCCAAAGTCGTAAAAGTGCACTTTTAGTTCCATACACAAAAAGTACTTGAAGTGCCCAGGCCACACAACAGATAAATGAAGAGAACCATTTGTAACAGGAGGGGGCCACGTTCAACCCTACCCCCAGACCTAAGGTTTCCCACCTCTACCTTATAAATGACCCGATAAGCAACGGATTTTGATCTGGGATTTTCATATGCTGTTTTCAAAGTGTTACGAAAACCAGACACCTATCCCCTGCCTGTGCTCTCAGCTTACATATGTGTGGCCAAGTCAAAGAACCCAAATAGCACTTTCTATATTGCAGCTATGTAGAGGTTAAACAAACAGTAGCGCTACACGACTGCCGTGACTTTTCTTCTGCTCTCTTTTGTCTTCAAAATCTGTACATATCAAAGTACTTCCAATTTTGAGTCACTGTGGAGACAACACTTACAGTAAATTACTTCCCAGCATGCATCACTGTGTAGCTCAATCAAGCCGTACGCCTGCCAAGCATCGTGAAGATTTACAGTAAGTGATGACCAATATTTACATCATTCGTTGTGAATATGCCAGAAGCTCAGGCAAAAAAAAAAGTGTACTTCATTCACACCAAACTTAAGCGTGTCATCAAAGAAGCCCGGCTCCAAACTTCTGCCTTTTTACATTAAAACCAAAACTGTGCTCATTTCAGTAACTTACATAAAACTTGAAAACAGAAGTCCATCCAAGCTACTAGAAATGTTACTGATTTTTAGCCCTTGTTCCACTGAAAAACAGAAGGTCTTATGGTCCACCAGGACCATATAACACCAGTCCTAAAGGATCTCCACTGGCTCCCAGTATGTTTCCGAGCACAATTCAAAGTGTTGGTGCTGACCTTTAAAGCCATAAATGGCCCTGGCCCAGTATACCTGAAGGAGCATCTCCACCCCCATCGTTCAGCCCGGACACTGAAGTCCTCCTCCGAGGATTTTCTGGCAGTTCCTTCACTGAGAGAAGTGAAGTTACAGGGAACCAAGAAGAGGGCATTCTCGGTAGTGGCAACCGCCCTGCGGAATGCCCTCCCATCAGAGGTCAAGGAGATAAATACCGTATTTTTTGCTCTATAAGACTCACTTTTTCCCTCCTAAAAAGTAAGGGGAATTGTGTGTGCATCTTATGGAGCGAATGCAGCCTGCGCAGCTATCCCAGAAGCCAGAACATAAAAAGGAATTGCTGCTTTCACTGAGCAGCGATCCCTCTTGCTGTTCTGGCTTCTGAGATTCAGAATATTTTTTTTCTTGTTTTCCTCCTCCAAAAACTAGGTGCGTCTTGTGGTCTGGTGCGTCTTATAGAGCGAAAAATACGGTAACTATACAACTTTTAGAAGGCATCTAAAGGGAGCCCTGTATAGGAAAGTTTTCAATAATGTTTTATTATGCTTCTATATTTGTTGGAAGCTGCCCAGAGTGGCTGGGGCAACCCAATGAGATAGGTGGGGTACAGGTAATAAATAAACTGCACCCTCTTGAGCACATGCTCAGTGGAAAACCTAGGACAGGAATATAAGAAACTGCCTTATACTGAGTCAGAGCACTGTACCATTTACAGGCTCTCTCCCAGTCCTAACTGGAGATGCTGGGGGTTGAATTTGAGACCTTTAGCATGGAAGGCTTGTGATCTACCACCGAACTGTGGCCTGCTTGCGTTTCCCTGAGCAGGTTCATTGCTGCGTAATGCATAAACTTGCCTTACGTTTCACGCCTCCTTTGAAAGCTCTGCAAGGCTCACACAGCCCCGCAAGCTCCCATACTGATACCCGTCACATCCACTTCAACTGTTCTATAATATTGGGTGCTCCTAAGCCATGAATCTGCACTCACAGATATTTCTGCTGTTCAAGAAATGTCAGGTCATTTCACATATTTTGTTACACGAGGTTAAGAGTTTAGAGGATTGCTCAACATTTGTCAGGCACAAGAATGCTGCCCAGGACAGAGAAGGTTTGGTTTTCCTCTTCTAAGCGGAGCTTTGCTTTACAGCTAACCCAGGGCTTCTAATAGAAATAGTCTATGGCAAATGAATTAACAACTATTAAAGCATGCAGATACAGATTTGCATTCCACATTGCCTAAAATAAATTGCATGTGTTCTTTTGTTCTGTTTTTCATTTCTCTTGACTTAAAGGATTAGAACTGGAAGGCTCCCCAAAAGAATATAGAAATTTAATTTGACACGCAACAAAAGCTACTATGGTTAAGTGAGGCAAGAGGCTTACCGCTGACAATTGTACTTTTGCAAATTACAATGTGTGCGCATGCATAATTACAAAGTGGGTGATTTTTTCTACAGATAAAGAAACCACAATTGTAATTATTTTCTTACATAACGGCAGATCTACAATATGAGGACCATCCTGAAACATTTTAGCCTGTGTCCGCAGAGCATCTTCTTCCCACATGCTGACTTAGCACTGCGGTACTATACTAAACCGAGAGTGGTAGAAAAGCATACATTAAGGAAGGCACACAAACTATGTTCCTGTTTTGAATCATGCAGGTAGCACCTGCCCTGCTTGTGCTAGTCCCACGTCTACAACTCAATTTAGTAGAAGTTCACATGCGGCTTGTATCCAATACACTGAATTAGAACACCCAGTGTTCAAAAACGCCCTCTGTCTGAAATTAACATCCCTAAGCTGGCGAGAATCATATCCAATGAAGAACATTTTCCAGAAATAAATATAAAAAAGATTTTGCAAAAGGTTTAAATCTTCTGAAGCTAGGAGAAGTAATTTCAAGAATGTAGAACAATATTCACACACACCAGGAAATATCTTCTTTAAACAGCAAACATTTTACAGTCGTTTTTAATACTGCCACATACCCAATAAAAGCAAATTAGAGCACAAAACCATACATTTTTCTACTATGCACCAAGTTAAAATATATAATCCTTATATAAACGAAGCATAGGAACAAACCAAGACACAAAATAAAATTGATAAAACATTTTAACAAACGTTTCACTTGTGCTTTGTCAAATGCAAGTAATAAGTTAAATATGTTCCCTGGACCTATCTTCAATGCACAAGTAGTCCAAAAGCAAAATATCTACTTGACAATCGTAGTTGTTTTTAATAACTCCTCAATAGCTTTTGTTCCTGCTAATTTCCTGTCTAGCCACCAACACAACTCCCACTCCTACCTTCTAGAAAACACAGCTTCTTCACAGCTCCTAATATTAAGGTTCCAAAAGCATAAGGTTTAAAAAAAAAAAAAACATTAGCCACACAAACAGAAAATACTGCTGCTTTTTTATTATTTAAAAAAGTCTGTAAGCAGAATCATAGTTTTGTTTGATTGGGAACTAAGGAACAGAGAATTTGCATCACAATAAACAATAGAGAGTTTTGTCATTTGCAGCACAGCTGAAAATCTTTTTCCAGTGGCAAAATATTGCAATCTGAACAGTAAGAAAATGTGCTATCCTGCAATGGAGCTGGGTGTGGGTGTGGGTGAGGGGGCTAAATCTACAGACATTGCGTTTATCATACAGGGAGGAAATGCCTGGAAAGACTGAAATTAATCCTTCCTTTGCCCATGCAGCCAACCTGCAGATTAAAGAACTTCTCAAATCCAGGTGTCCCCGTTGCCCCAAATTCACAATGCTTATGTGTTTTCACTTCGCGCAACTGAATTTCTGACTCACTGAGCTGGTCTGGATATCCTTATCTCAGCTTAGTAAATTGACATCTTGCTCACAAAGTTTGCTCTTTGTTCTCCCCTTTATGAGAGCCATAACTAAACCAAGAAGCCACTAATTAATTATAGTTTCCTGTTTCATCAACCAGGAAACCATGGTTATCAGGTTCAGAACAAGCCAGGATATCAAACCAACTTTAAACCAACCCTGATAACTATAGCTTAAAATTTCAGATAGAACAAGAAACTATGGTGAATTCAGGGTTCAGCTTCTGGGTTTCCTTGCAGCAAAAGTAAAATCAAAATGGCCATGTGAATGGGCATAGGTTTGCTGCATATATCCACTTAGCAAGTCATTACTTAATATGGTCCCCACACAGAACTTGAAAAGGAACATGAATGAATGCTTTGGTAAACATGAAAGGAAGGAGGTGGAGGAAAGCAAATCATAGCAGAGAGTCACTCAAGTTAAAGGTACTTTAGATAGAGAACCCAAATGAGTAAGGCCTGATTCACACATTATGCAGTTGCAAACCCACATTTGACACCAAATACATACACAAAAGTGAGACACAGCTAATTCTAGCTCCTTGGAATGTGTGCCTGAATGATACACATTTGAAAATGTATAAAGCTAAGTTACAAATTTTTTTAACCCTTATAGAATTCATTTGCATTATACGGTAAATGTATTAAAAGTATTCCCCCTAAGCTACCAGGACAGAAACACAGAAACCAGGTTGATGACTTTGCACAAAAGAAATAAATAACTCTGAAGCGGCTTTAACTCAGACCTTTAAAAACCAACCTGATAGATCTAAAATGAACACAGGTTTAAAAAAGAAAAAGCTATAAAGGAAGAAAGTGTTTTTAAAAAATGAAAAAGAAAAAAGAAAGAGTATTGAGTAATGTTTGTATAAAAGTTTCATTTTGTTCAAAGTTTTCACATAAAGATCCTAAAATGAAAAGGTAAATAAAAGCTTAATAAGAAGTTATGGATAAAATAAGATATAATTTTACACTTGAAAAAAGTTTTTAGATTCTATTTAGATGATAGCCAAGTATAATAAACATATAAAAAGGCTAAGAAATAATAAGAAGAAGTTTTTAAAGGTTATGTTGTTAATAAGCTGAAGAAAAATAGAATGTATATCCTAATAAAAGTTTAAAAGCAACATTTACAATAAAAACACTGCTTTCTTTGGGGGGGAATTAACAGGAAAGAATTAAACAAAAAGCACTTCACACCATAATAAGCCTTGAAATATTTTCACAAGCCTCGCTTGATTTATCTATTTTCAGAGTACGCAACGGAGGGCTTTGATCTAACCCAACACCAAGAAGCCAAATGAAACAACTGAAATCTTAAAATAGGAAGACTACAGAGATAAACTTGAAAGGATAGCACAAGTAGCATGACATGCCGAGATACTAAGCTTCTCCGGAAGAAGAGAAAAGGACAGAAAATAAATTATCACCGTTTCCCGATACCTATTCAATGATGGAGAAAGGTTGGCCTTCTGAGGAAGCAAATCTCAACGATGCTACAGCAGGAGGTGCTATTCTGGCAGAAGATCTATTCTACTCCTTATTTTCCTCATCCCTGTACAGCAATTAGCCTTGCTTAGATTCTAAACCAGGGATAGAGGCCTAACTCCAATGGCTGTCGCGCTACTAAGTCCCATCAACCTCGTCAATTAATCTTGATGGATGAGTCTGATGAAAGCTAGAGTCCAACAACACACGGAGAGCCACAGAATCCCCACTACTGTTCTGCACTGTCTGGTCTGAAGACTCAGTCTTGTTGTTTTTGCTTAGTTGTTTAGTCGTGTCCGACTCTTTGTGTCCGACTCTCGTGTCCGACTCCCATGGACCAGAGCACGCCAGGCACTCCTGTCTTCCACTGCCTCCCACAGCTTGGTCAAAACTCAGTCTTAGACTAATTTAATAAAGGTGGGGTGAGCACTGAAAAGGAAGGAGGGCAAAATAAACGTGGCAATCACAGAATTGTTATGTCTGCTAGCTGGGCTAAATCCCAGACGGGGGAGACAAGGGATGACCTTCAAGTGAAGATTGCAAGCCAGCTTTGGAGCGAAGTTCCTTTCAGCATGAAATCAGCTGCGGTTGCTTTGTGGGCAACTGTCTTTCTACGACAAGAGATGGGGAACCGTTTTCAGGGCAAGGGACCACATGCCGGTGCACAGTGAAGCAAAAGTAGATGGAGCATCAAATGTCAAGGTTACCTTTGTATTGTACGTAGGCCAGTGTCTACACACTCACACGCCCTCCGTTTCCACCATGCAAGAGGCATTAAGAGAGTTCAAGACCACAGAGTGGAAGAGTGCCCTATTTGCTCTCTGTTTTACACACAACACAGGAAACTCACCAAACTAAACCCGCTGCAGCTTGGGATTGTGTGTGTGTGCCATGCAGCAAACAAGGTGCTGAGCAGGGACACAGCTATGGACAACCCGAGAAAGCTCCATCAATCATGGTGCCTGTCCATAAAAGCAAGCTTAGTGTGAGAGACTAGGGTGATGTCAGAAGGTTCCAGGAATTCTCTTCGTTGTGAGATTATTTTGTGTGTGTGAGGGGCATGATTCTGTGAGTTTGTTTGGGTCATGGATGAGAGCCAAGAGGCTGGGTGATTGGGAAATTGTGCCAGAAGGAAAAGGAACAGATATCAGTATACATTTATTAGTAATTTGTATTTATCTTTTTATTGTGTGTGTGTTTTTGGTCAGATTTCTGGTTGCTGTTTTAGATTTCTGTGCACTGCTCTCTCTCTAGCAGTACAGTAGTGGTCTAAATAAATTAATAAACATAGATTCCAGTCAGACGAGAACAACTGGGGCAAGATGCAGTGACAGTACGGGGTTTAGCCTGAGAAGAGTTCAGAGGGGTCCCACCCAGTTCAAATGGCCTTTCTTACTTGACTTACTTTATAATGACTTACTTGTGTGTTAAATGAACAGTAGTTACTGAAGAACTTACTGCTGCTTAAAAGGAAGACACCAACACTCACACTTAAATTATAGCATTTTATCAATGGGAAAATGCAATCTTCCACCAAAAAACATATCCACATACAATCAGAAGGTAGTCAGTTGATGTAATGGCTGGCAGGCTGTACTGGGAGGTCAGGATTCAAATCTGCACTCTGCCATGAAGCTCCCTGGGTGACGTTGGCCCACTCACTGGTCTCTTAGCCTAACCTACCTCACAGGGTTGTTGCTATTGTTTTTGTAAGTATATTACAAAACAATATAGATGCAGAAATTGAAAAGAGAAGTGACTAATTTAACCCTCACCCTTGCCGAGAGATTAAGTCTGCATCCAAATCTGAAGCCCACACGTCCACATCATAAATCCTTATTTTCACAGGTTCCTCAAAGGATAACCCCAAAAAATGATCAAAGCAACCTAGAATGCTGATATGAAGTCCTGTATAGTCATTCTTCACTGTATGCTTAATGAAGCAATTTCATTCTACCGCAAAGAAGTCCTTTTGTTTTAAACCTTGTGCCCTTCTAAGTTTATTGGTGAGTTTCTAAACAAGTGCCAATTCCCAGACTTTATTACAACAATCCATCAGAGGCTCCTTCCATATATCTCCAATACCTAGTTGCAGTAAGTCTTCCTGTTAATAATACCCAACCATTGGTTTAAAGCATACACTTGCATCTTGATCACATCTTCTTTTAAAAAAGCCAATTCCAGGCATTTAACAAACCTTCCTCCAGTAATTTAGTGGATTTTCATCAAACATTTCATTCCAAGGAGGTCAGCTGGGGAAGTAGTTCGAGTGCTGGACTAGGACCTGGGACTAATTCCTTCTGTTTATGCCATGAGGACGATGACATGCTAGTGCCTGTGCTGAATGCTGGTAAATAAGCAATGCAACTCCCCCGCCCCCTTCCAACACCATTTTGTGAATTTGATGGTTTGTTTTTTAACCAAGCTATCACAAAGCTCTTTGGAGAAATCTCAGAAGCCGCTATGGGCAGACTTTAGGTTTCTTGGATCTCCTTTGATATTTTCTGGAACCCCAATATTTACCAACAGGAACCAGGAGCTGAATACTGTACACGCAAAGATTCAAAAACAAGGGTCCTTCTGAGCATATTCTGAGCCTAAATTATGCGTTCAGTACCAGAACTGGTCAGTTCATGGTCCTCTTGCAGCACCTCTGGTTAGCTCTCATCATTTCAGCAGCTGCATTTAGGTGAGGGAAATGTTTTATTCCTATTTGTGAGTCAGAAACCCTTTCTGGTCTACCCAGATTCCCTTACTGGTCTACCCAGATCCCTGTCTACCTTCTGCTTGACACTGCAAGTGTCAGACAAGCATTACGGAGACCAAAGTTCAAATCCTCATTCAGCCACAAGCCCCCCCCCCCCCGTGACCTGAGACCAGCCACACAATCTCACAGCCTATCTCACCTCACAGGGATGTTGTGAGAGGATGGGGGGGGGGATACCTGCAGAAGAACCGTGAACATCACCTCAAGTTCCTTGGAGGAATGGTGAACAATTTGTTGGTTTGCTACATTTCTGCCCCCTTGCATTCTTTGCAACGAATTCTTGGATGTTATGTCTGCTCTGTTTCCACAGCAGACACGTACCCCTTTCAAGGTTAAAAGCTCTTATTCCACAGAAATTTATTCCTCTGCTTTACGCAGTGGGTAAGATATCATCTCACTGGCACTGGTTATTCAACACTAAGAATAATATAGGCTTTAATACCAACACAAGAAATATCAGAGATTGGGTAATGTTTAAAGCTTTGGCCCTAACCACACTTATGTACCTAGGAACAAGCCCCTTGGGATTCAGTAAGTGCTGACTTCTCAGTAAACATGCTTAGGACTTGACTGCACATCATTTCTGTAGTATTTTAGTCTATAATAGAGTCCAGCAGTAGTAAGTTTTAATAAAAACCGATTAAATAGTTTAAGCTGCATAGCTAACACTTTGGGTTGTTTTCAGCTTGTGTGCATGCACTTTGCCTCTGCATTATTTTAACAATGCCAACCGCCAAAACTGCACAAGTCCCAACTTGATTTTCTGCAAGCACATTTCAAGCCCTGAACCATATTTGACTTCAAATTGCTACATTAAAGGTATAAAAAGAAATAACATCGTTTGGATTTGGCTTTTCAATTAGCTCTCATTGCATTGTTTATGTTTTGAACCAACGTGTGAATTTGAAAGGAGCCTAGAAATTTAACCTAACAGACAAATCCTTTTTTTAAAAAAATTATATTTTATTACTTTGCTATAACTGGAAATCTTAGATCCCTTTCTGGAGGGATTTTGCACATTCAGTTAAGTTTGAAGCAAAACCAAGCCAATCCTTTTTTTAAAACCTTCATCACTCAAAAACAACTTTTTAGAGGTAGCGCTGCTTTTGTACTTTTCTCGTATACATTTGGTATTCAGCCAAAACATGGGATGTCAACACTTCAGAGGTGACAAAATAGAACAGTGCTTTCTTTTCTATGTCATTAGCAGCTGACTATGTACCACAATATTTATTTTGCTTCCCTATCTTTTCTGCAGTTTGAAGTAAACTTTCAGACCCAGCTCCAGAAGGGAGAGCTGGGTGGTATGAACTTGGGACTCCAACTCCCATCAGCCCCAGTTAAAATTACCAAAAAATCATATTAAGAGAAACTGCTTGCAGAAATGTGTACATCAGTCAAAACTACATACAGAAATGCATATAATAATTTGTGTGGGTTTTTTAAAAGAAAATGCACAAACTGCATTTTGTGCGGGGGGGGGATTAATATTGGCAGAATGACAGATCCTTCCATTCCTACTCAGTAGAAAGGCAGCTTAAGTTCATCACATTTCATTTTTACCTGCAACACTCAAACTATGCCTCACATCTCTTAAGACAGCATTTCACACCTACTCTAGTGAGTTGTCCTACTTTAGTTCTGTGTTGCCAAGTACAGATGCCCTTACTTTACCAAAATAAAACCCTGGTGCAAGTAAAAGCCTATGAGTTCATGTCTCCTTTCCCGATAACAACCTTTGGAATTCCTTCCCTTCCAAGCTATAATACTGATTATTTTTTATGAGTTGATTTGAATCTAAATAGCAAATCATTAATCAGCTTGGGGAGTCTTAGTCAATAGTAGCTTACGATGCCACAACTGCACAGGGTAACTTCCTAACTTTCATTTTAGTTATTAGCCATTGGACTTACAAACTGAACACTTTGGCTAAACAACCAACCACCAAATTTATTTTATATGCCCACTCACCTGTTCCAAAAAGGGTGTTCAATCTTGCCAGTAATTATTGCAAGGGAAATGTACACTCTATATAGAAAAACATCAGATCAATCAGAAGTAAACCAAAGTGGAATATATGCAGTAAAAGTCAGAGAGTCTAATTGTGTAACTGGCTTTCCTTTTACAGTCAACAGTCAATACACATGTGGAGACTAGCGAAATCCCAGCCGCTGTTCAACTAGAATGGAGCACTCTGCTGTTGTCCACGCACATTTTATGTTTTTGTGTTCCACCACAAAACTCTGCCTCTCATCATACGTAACTTTCAATAAACAGAAACTTCCCTTCATTAAAACACCGCATAATGAAAATTCCCAACAGCACCAGGGTGAAAACCAAGATTGTAGCAGCAGAACTGCACATCAACTGCAGCATAATCTTAAACATTCGAACGGACACTTCAAATGCTCACCAGAACACTGAAGTCTTCACCTCGCTCCTGATATCCAATCAAGAGTAGGGCCTGACAAACTTCCCTCAGGAGGTAGTTTCACAACTTCTCTCAAGATTTGCATTCACTTATGCCAAACAGCCTGACAACACACAGCCCTAGTAATACAAGTTAGTGATGCCTTCAATTCTTAGGTAGAGACTGCACCTGCAACTTTAAAACCTTTTTGTGTGAATGTCAGCTGAGGTGTTTCAAGGTCCCACATCAGACAAAGCAATAAGGAAGCCGGCAGGAATTTTGAAAATAACTACCCTAAGGGGACCATCAATCGCATATGTTATCTCAGTTTGGAGCCTTCTGACAACCTCTTGTGTATCGCTGTGTTTAATACCCTTTGCCTCACAATTCACCACCAACAATGTGTGGTGGAATTTTCCCCCCAGTGATTTATTTTTCCCCATAGAAAATCTTCTGTTTCCTAAGTTCATGACTAACCATGAACGGGTGCCAACTGCAAATACAACACTAGGCAAGCTTAGCAGTTTCAAAGTTTTTAGCTTTGATTACTAAATGCAAGTAAAATCATAGCTGTCAACTTTTCCCTTTTCTTCCGAGGAATCCTATTCAGAATAAGGGAATTTCCCTTTAAAAAAGGGAAACGTTAACAGCTATGAGTAAAATAGAAATGCTAACTTTTTTTGTTACTTGTTGAAGACAAACCAAACCGTCAGTGAACACTCAACATAAACATAAAATATACCTATAACCATCTGTATTACAGAGCAAGTACATCATAAAGATGCTAAATTAAATCCCTCTCTAAGACATCACAACATTTTCTGATGCAAAATGATTTTTTCCCAAGGCAGCTTACCCTAACATACAGTGGGAAATTTTCCAATTCAAAATTCTCCAGAAAAACCCGCAATACTTCAACTCGCCAAGAATTGCTGCCAAGCTCTTGGAGTTTTCGTATCAGTACAAGCTAATTTTGTTCATTTAATTTATAAATTACTTCCTAGAAAACATCCCAAAGTGATTCAAAAATGTGTGTGTTTGTAAAACACACTATTTCTAATCCAATGTAGATGAAAGAGGACAAAAATCTTCACTTAAAAGGTTTGCTGGAAAAGGACAATCTTCAATATGCACCAAAAGACAACAGAGATGGCACCTGTCTGATACACAATTGGAGGGAATTCCAAGACGTAGATGCCACAACACTAAAGGTCCAATTTCTGCATCAAATGGAATGGACCTCCTGATGAAATGGTATCAAAATCAGCACCTTCAACTAAGTCCAGTAGAGGACTGCCAGTACAAGACTCTCAGCACTATGTAACATGGAGGTGATATTTGGCCCTTGCACTGAGCAGTTGAGCCACTCAATTTTGCACTCGGTGCATCTTCCAGACTGACCTCAGGGGTATCCCCACACAAAGCGCATTTCAGTAGACCAAGATGGAAGTTACTAGGTCATGGAACAACAATGCACACATTCTACACGCAGTGTAGAAACAGGGGTAGAAAACGCAAACAGCAGATAAGAACATATGAACTGCCCATGGTACCTTAGACCAGGCATAGGCAAACTCGGCCCTCCAGATGTTTTGGGACTACAATTCCCATCATCCCTAGCTAACAGGACCAGTGGTCAGGGATGATGGGAATTGTAGTCTCAAAACATCTGGAGGGCCGAGTTTGCCTATGCCTGCCTTAGACTAAGGGTCCATGCAGAGAAGGGTTGGCAAACCAAATGTGGCCCTCTGGACTGCTCTATTTGGCCCTCCTCTCCACACCTCCTCTCCCCAGGCCACACCCCTCTCTGGCCTTGATTGTTTTTCCCTGCCTGGATTGTGTCCTTCAACTCTTGGTGTTTGCCTCTTGCTTGCCTGAATGGAGATAGGAGTGCCCACTACATGAAAGCAAAATTTAGAGTCACTGCTCTGCCTGCTTTTGCCTCCGGCTCCACCTACAATTGGCATGTTGCCCTGAGAAGGTTGCTCAGAATAGAATGTCAAAAAAAAAGGTTCCCCAATCCTGACGCAGAGCACTGATCCAGCATGAAAGATCCATATATTTGTGCCTGCCCACATTCTTCTACATTCCACATTGCAGACTTCCTCAAACGCACACACGTAGTCGCATTCTCAAGTGCTTAGCATACTACAACGAAGCAGCAAACTAGGTTTAACTTGTGACGCTACATGACATGCCCCTAGCTTGCATGTTCCCTGACTTCCAGTTTTGTGGCAAATTATAGGTTGCCATTACATCTGAACTAAGCAAAAACTATGGGGTGTTTTTTTAAAAAATTAAAAAAATCATCATCACCATCACATTTAGATTCCACCTTTCCTCCACAAAGTTCAAGGTGAAGCACATGGTTCTTCCTCTCCCCATCCAAGCTGGTGGCCAGGCCATCACTATATCTTACAAGCAGACAAAAATACTGAATTTTTTACAAGACATAAAGTCATAAAATTGTAGCGTTTGAAAGCACCGTGAGGATCATCTAGTATTACAGCTGTCAATGCAGCTGTCAAATATGGGGATCGATCTTGCACATGCCAATGCGAACTCCACAAATACAGTTCTTTAAAGACACTCTCTTGAGAATTATATATAGATAAAATCATTTTTGTTAAGGCTGAAATCCTAACCCCACTTCTTGAATTCAATAGCGCTTGTTTCTGCCTATACATTTTTGGATTCCACTACAAACTTTTTCCTCATCTAATTAGCTGCCTTTCCTATTGATTTTCTTAGTATAATGAGGTCTCTTGGGCAAATGTATGTTAAATATCATTATATGGTGTATATTTCTTACATATTTTTAAAGCACGTAACACTACAATGGTACCTCGGGTTACAAACAGCTCGGGTTACAAACACTTTGGGTTACAGACGCCGCTAACCTGGAAGTAGTACCTCGGGTTAAGAACTTTACCTCAGGATGAGAACAGAAATCGGGCGGCGGCGGCAGGAGGCCCCATTAGCTAAGTGGTACCTCAGGTTAAGAACAGACCTCCGGAACAAAGGTACCACTATATGGCACAATGAAGGAATACTGTAGACCTAGCCTGAGAAGCAACCCCCAATACAGCATCATGCAAGACTTTGTAGGCCAGGGATGGGGAATCTGTAAGCCTCTTGATGTTGCTGGACTACAACGCCCATCATCCTTGACCACTGCCCGTGCGGACTAGAGCTGATGGGAGCTGGGAGTCTAACAACATCAAGAGGGGCAACTGGTTCCCCAATGCAAGCTATCTAGCATAGCCTGCTTCATGCAGGAAATCCAAAGCAACAGCTAGAGGAGCAAGGACAATTGCAGACCTCAGAATATACCAAGGTGGCTGGGGAAGGCACACTGCAGAGAACCCTACCCTGCCACTACCCAGAGAAGGAAGAGACCTTAAGAGATCAGAAACCTAGGCCCAAGCTAACAAAATGAATTTCAATAGGGACAAATGAAAGGTTTTGCACTTAGGCAGGAAGAACCAGATGCAGCAACGTAAGATGGGGGCACCTGGCTTACTGGAAGCACATGTGAAAAGGACATTGGGGTCTTAGTGGACTCCAAGCTGAACCTGAGTCAACAGTGTGATGCAACAACAAAAAAAGCTAATGCTATTCTAGGCTGCATCAACAGGTGTCTATAATCTTTGACAGGCTTCCTCAACCTCGGCCCTCCAGATGTTTTGGGCCTACAATTCCCATGATCCCTAGCTAGCAGGACCAGTGGTCAAGGACGATGGGAATTGTAGTCTCAAAACATCTGAAGGGCTGAGGTTGAGGAAGCCTGATCTTTGAGAATTCTTGGAGACAGGCGAGATCCCTGCAGACTAGAAGTGGGCTAAAAGATGACCCTTGTGGTCCCTTTCCATCACTACAATTCCATAATTCTACCCAGTTGGGAACATAGGAAACTGCCAAACTGAGTCAGTCCATTGGTCCATGTAGCGCCATACTGTCTAATTTGACTGGCAATGGCTCTCCAAGGTTTCAACCCGACCTGGAGATACACAGGATTTAAGATGGCGTACTCTGCACGCAAGGCAGATGCTCTGCTACTGAGCTGCAGGCTTCCATTCCTCTTAGGACATGTATTTCCTACCCCTGACCATCTTTGCTGCCCTCAGTGAACTCATTCCAATTGGTCAACACCAGTGGTTCCTCAAGTGAATGATACCACCCCTAGAAGAGGGAAGTGGGATTACCTAGAGGTGTAAATGACTCTCAGACTTTTGAAAGCTGGTATCACTGGACCAAACTCATCACTTTTGCTGAACTGATTATGCTAATTAGTTTCAATTGGATTTTGAATAAATGTGCAATTAAGTGAATTTTATTTTGTTATTATCTTCCTTAATGGGTCCTACAAACCTGAATAATGCCTTTTTACCGGGTAAGGTGGGGGGCACTGGAGATGCGTTTATGGAACCAAGGGGTGGTGGCCCCCCAAAATTTAGGAATCACTGGTCTACACCTGGATGTGGTGCCCAGAATGGAACACAGGACTCACAATGTCTTCTAATCTTTTCAGCTACAGAACAAGTGAATGTGGAAGCCACCCACAACCTGCCTTATTTCAAAGTGAATTAAAATTGCAGAGATGTGCTGAAAAACTACAGTGAACGATTCATTTTGTCAGACACACGTGGATCTCACAAAATCAAGCGCATCGTTCAGTTTTGCTTTAAATGCAAAATTGAGGGTTTACAAGCAAATGCCTTTGAAATGCACAGTGTCGTTGCTATTATTTTATGTATAAGCTTTTCTTATCATAAACCAGAGACGTATGCTGGGGAAAGACAAAACAACATACAGATAATTCTTCATGAAAACACCACAAACACAGAAAATAAAAAAAGCATTAACTTTTGCACAGGAAAAGCTTTCTCCAAAAAGGGGAAAATCTAGTTCTGCATATATAAGACCTGCACGTGTCATAAGAAGGCAAGGGAATGAAGCAGCCACATCCTTTGCTTACAGTGTGGTTGTGTGCAATGCACAGCAAACACAGTGCCAATGAGACCCCATCTACCATCTTTATCTGCCCAGAGGCATATCTCAGCCATGCTGAGCACACTGAGCATTTTAAGTACCCTGCAGTGCCCCTAACGTCCGATGCTAACACAACACAATGCCTGGGTGTATTACTGAAAAGGTTTTCCCCTGAAAACTCAACAATTAAATGAATTTCAAACCAACCAAGTGGCTGGTAATCCATTCCCACACGAGGAAGTGTGTCAAACTTTCAGGTCCTTCAAAGTCTTGGAAGCTTGAGAGAGGCTACTTGGTGGTACCTCTTACACATTCCACCATGTTTTTCTTAAATCTTTACAGAACCTAGAAAGAAGTACACAACTTGAGGTGGTTTCCAATATGGATACCACCTACAGTCAAATAAACAGTTTGTTTAGTCAGCTAAACAACATTTAATAAACTTAAAAGGTATCACAGATCAATCACGCAAAACATATTCTTTTAGCAAGCATTGATTATTGTTGCTAGAAGTACTTATGCAAAGGAGAAAATGCCACTTTTAATCTATTAAAAACTCAACTGATTTATCGACTTCCTTTGATCAGATAAGCGCCCTAGATTCCAGTGGTTCAATTCCAAAGAAACAGGTGCAGAAACAGATATTTCTAGAAGCAATGCTCTGTCTCCTAAACTCAAGCCTGTGAGACACCGCACATGCTCAGGGACACTCTTACAGTGGTACCTCGGGTTAAGTACTTATTTCGTTCCGGAGGTCCGTACTTAACCTGAAACTGTTCTTAACCTGAAGCACCACTTTAGCTAATGGGGCCTCCCGCTGCCACGCCGCCGGAGCACAATTTCTGTTCTCATCCTGAAGCAAAGTTCTTAACCTGAGGAACTATTTCTGGGTTAGCGGAGTCTGTAACCTGAAGCGTATGTAACCTGAAGCGTATGTAACCCGAGGTACCACTGTAGTAAGAAAGCTTTTAAGGGTTCACAGTGCTTCAAGCTCACATTCTCAATAACTATCTCAATATTATGATTGTTTATGAACAGTGCTTATGAAGTATTATCACTGTACTGCAAACGTGGAGATGGACAGAAAAACAGCAGCTTACCCAACGGGGTGGCTGAGAAATAGGAGCTTAGCTTAGGCCATACAACAAGTTTGTGGGTAAGCTACCATTTGAACCAAAAACTTCCTGCTCATAACTCACTCTTTGCTATCAGTGGTACAGCAGCTCTCATCATTGTTATTTAATTTATTTTTACATTTACAACCGACCATTTCCTCTGAAGACCTCGAGGTGGCATACATGATTCTCCTCATTTTATGTTCGCCTTTCATAGTGGACGGGGGATTTGAACCTTGGTCTCCCAAGTCCTAGTCCAACACTCTAACCACTACACTACACCACCACACTTATTACCTCTCACACTCATACATACACACTCTTTCCAAAGAGGAGTAGTACTCAGGTCAAAGCACGGTGAAGCCTGGCAATTTCTTACATCCACCCATGCACACAAAAGCAGACCCCAAAAAAGGTGTCGTTGGGCTCATGCCTCAACTGTTAACATCAACAACTTACATTTAAAACAACCTTATACCCTCTTTGACACTAAAGGAAAGTTGGGGGCTGTATATCCTTAACAAACTATAGTTACCAGGACACTTTCCCGGGACTCTGATTTATATAGCAACTCTGAACATGTTCAGAACATATACCTTCACCAACTTCCAAATCGCTTCCCAGCCAGATTCAAAATGCTGATTTTGACATAGAAAACCTTAAGGCGGCTTGGGACATATGCACTTGTACCCATGCCCCAAGGTCCTCTACAACGACCTTTCTCCAAGCACCCTCTCAAAGAGGGGCTACAAAGTGGCTGGACCACTGTGTCTGGCAGCGACAGAGAAACATGGAGACCACATTGCATCTGAACTAATGCTTACCATACATTATGTGAACAAACCTTGCAATTCCTCTGCAACAAAACAGTCTGAGCTTGTACTTTATGCATTTATTATTATTATTATTATTATTAATAATTAGTTAAATCTGTATACCACTCTATACCCACAATTCTAAGGGCAGTTACAACATAAAATCACAATCTAAAATCACAAAATACATAATAAAAATAAAAGCAACCCAATAAACAACCTACAGTGGTACCTCAGGTTAAGTACTTAATTCGTTCCGGGGGTCTATTCTTAACCTGAAACTGTTCTTAACCTGAAGCACCACTTTAGCTAATGGGGCCTCCTGCTGCCGCTGTGCCACCAGAGCACAATTTCTGTTCTCATCCTGAAGCAAAGTTCTTAACGTGAGGTACTATTTCTGGGTTAGCGGAGTCTGTAACCTGAAGCGTATGTAACCTGAAGTGTATGTAACCCGAGGTACCACTGTACTTCCCACTACCTTTTAAAAGGGCATTGGATGTCAATCAGCCAAAGGCCTTCTTAACAAGAAATGTTTACATCTGGCACCTAAAGGTGTGTGACGAAAGCGCCAGCAGAACCTCCCTAGGAAGAGCATTCCTTAAACAGGGAGCCACTGCAGAAAAGGCCTCTTCTTGTGTTGCCACCCTCCAGACCACTCATGGAGAAGGCACACGACGAAGGGCCTCAGAAGATGATCTCAGGGTCTGGGTAGGTTCATATGGAAAGCTTTTCATTTCCCTCTAAAACTCGATGCTTAAAATGTCACTCCCCAAAAAGAAAAATGCCCCACCCCAATCACTGGTGCACATGTCTGCTAACTTACCCTGACGATTCATGCAGCTGATGGAAATAGACTAGTTCCACAAAGACTCAGGCCAGGATGAGGAACCTACCAGGGCCACATTCCCTTCCAGGCTTCCTTTCAGTAGTCCAGAAGCAAAAATGGAAGTGGCAACAAACACAAAATCTACCTTTGTACAGTAGGCTACATTCTCTACACCCAAATCTAGCTTCCATTCAGGCCAGTATGAGGCAGGAGTTGAAGGACACCATTTTCTAGCCACACAAAAATACCTTGGTTTCTGACCTCTGGCTCAGGCCATAACAACCCTTAAGGAATTCCTAACCTTTAAGGTTAGTCTTGAAGGTGCCACAAGAGAGTGGGTTGGTCTTGGTCTTCTAAAAGTGGAGATCTAGCTCCACGCTCCAGTCCTAAACACACTAAGCAGTTAAGTCCTATTGATCACAGTGGGACTAACTTCTGAGCAGGGATGCAGGTTTGCTGTTGACCACAATGCTCCACCAGCTTTTCAGTAAACACTGCAGATTATATCACATTAAAAACTACTGGACAGCTGGCAAGAGATTCCAAACCAATTAGGCATATGGTTTTCCCCACATTAATATACTTTAATCTCATAGCCAAGAACCACATTCACACTATGCATCTGGAAACCTACAAACTGACTCTGGAGTATTTTAAAACAGGGTTGACATATGATTAAAGACACCTTAGACGATTAATTGACTAATCAAAAAAAACTGCTTATGAATTAAAACAAAAGAAAAACAGGCATATTTTGCTTTTAAGCTTAATGCTCATAGGCACAATTCAGGGATGAATATGCAAGAAATGGCTCTTCTAACATGGAGCCCAGTTGCCTACAATTTCATACATATTTGTTTTAAAAAATAATTAAACATTCTATTTAAAATAAACTGCTACCAGGTTAACCCGGACAACTTTTGTGGGTGGTCAAAGGGTATTTTTTAAACTGACTAATCAATGAAAAGTTGCAGAGCTCATTTTAACCTCTTGGGTGAAGCATGTGAATCCTGCATTAACTCAAATTACACAAGCAGATATGGATTCTGTTCATGCAACGCTCTCGGAGTCAGACTCTGGAAACAAGGAAAATATATATAGTCTCAGTACCGGCCTTGCATATTCCCCTTCTCCGGTTGCTATATTTTTATATGAAACACAACCGCAACACACAACCGTATTCATTTATGGGTTTTTTCAGGCACTGACTCATCTCTGTTAAAAAAAAAAAATTGCATCCATCTTACTTTAAGTGCCTCTTTCCTTTTGATGAATGCTAAGCGAACGCTACGGGGAAAGAAAGCATGGGTGTACGGGCTTAGGGAGTGGCCAAGATGCAAATCTCTCGCTTTCTAATTTCCCACCGACTGGGAGCAGGTAGGTAAGGCAGCGTGTGCGATCCGCCGTTGCCAGATCCTCGCATATGGTTCTCTTGCCACACCGCGGGCAGCTCCCTGTACACGCACTCGATTTAAAAGATCACGCTGCCCTCTTCCCGCCCCACCCCCCGCAGTGCGAGGACTCGCCTCGATCCGATTTAAAAAAACACTCACGGCCTTGCACCTTACTTAAGGAAGCACGCAGCCAGGGGGACATTTATTTATAATAATAAAATAATAATCATAATAATAGCCAGGCTTAATGATCTCCTTTTTTCCTCTCTTCTCCTGCTGGGATATCTTGCAGGAAGGAGCAGGAGGCAGGGAGGGCCTCGCCCACTCAGTCCTACATACCGAAAGTGAGTGAACTTACAAACTTAAAAAAAAAAAGAAAAAGTTGAGTTTGCAAGCTCCGTGCAAGAATGGAAGTTGTTAAGCGTTTTGCCTACCTGGTGCAAGTCTGCAACAAGTGCATGCAGGGTCCGTGTGGGCGCAGTTTTTAATACATATAATGGATCTATACTGTGCAGCGACGGGGCAATTGCAATTTTAATTTATTACTGAGCTGCTACCGGTATTTACTCGGGTCCTACTTTGCTTACAGTACAAGCTCTTGCTGTAAACAAATATCGCTCCGCCAGGAAATATATACTTGCATATCTACACGCAACCCCGCCGCCTCCGCCCCCTCTTCTCCCCCCCACCCACCCCCTGTGCAATGCACCCTCCTCCCCTCCGCGACTGTACAGGGGGGAGACGAAGAGAGAGAGAGGTGGAAATAACTAATCTTCGCTCTTTCCCAAGCCCACGCCAGGAGGAGAAGCTCAAGGGAGCTGGACTTACCTTGTGCATGAAATTCCTTGCATGCCACTTTAGGGTGGGGGCTGTGCCCCCCCTCTCTCTTAATCTCTGGTGCAAAATCCCCGTGTCAGCAAAACGCTGTCAAATTATTTTCGTGCAAAAGAAGGGGGGGGGAGAGAGAAAGCAGAAGCAAAAAGGGGAGGAGGCTAGGAGAGAAAATCGAATCACTCCGCCGAGATGGGTCTGGTCCTGAGTTTGCAAACCAGGAAGTAAGGTGTCAGTGGCGGCAGTTAGTAGCAGAGCGCGGAGCCCTTGGCCGGGGTCTCCTGTCTTAAGGAGTGACCTGCGGGCTGGGAGCAAACTCCGGCAATTTAGCGGCGTGTCTTCCTGGGGTTTTCAGTAGGGAGGGTGTTTTCTCTCTCTTTTTCGCACTGCCCCACTCGTTTCCCTTTTCTAAGGGCTGCAGTTTCCATGCAGCAGGTACGGAGGACAAACCCACCTCCCCATGCGCTGCTGCCTGTCCGAGCTGTCGGCGGCGCCCCGGGCCAGATTCCTGGGTGGTGAGCAGCAATTGCACTCGGGGGCCAGGAGATCCCCGGTGACGCTCCAGGCTCGGGGGGTGCAAACATACACACACACCCTGCGTGCATGGCGCGCCGTTTCCTCGTTCCCTGCTTCGTAACTCAGATCTTTCTTGAATCCGAGCAGAGTTGGGCGGAGGGCGGGTCCCATTTCTGCAAAGGAGCCGAGGAGGAGGGTGCGTTTGAAACGCATCCTGGAGGAAGCACGCGGCCCGATCCGACGCGTGTTTGCTCGGAAATGAAGCCTGCAGTATTTCTCGGGGCTTATAAGACTGTGCCCCCCCCCCCGCAAAACAAACACACCCGAAGCCCTATATATGGATGTCTTGAGACTGTAATCCTGGCAGCAAGCCCCATTCACACGGGGACTCGCGAGGAAGCGTCCACGGGATCGCGCTGCAAGAAAGCGCCCTGGGGAGTTTGGCTTTGTGCCCGCCCCCTCCCTGGTCGGGGAGACGCAGGAAGACAGTGCCGCTTCGCAGCAGGGTGTGGGCTCCTCGTTACTGTACGCTTCCCCGCCGCCCTCCCACCCCTAACGCCATGACTGCAAAACGTGGGGAGGTGGGGGGGGCTCCTCCTGGGAGCGCCCCCGACCGGCTTGTGATTGGCGCAGCGCTCCGACGTGAGCCCGCGGGCGGTGCTCTCTCCCTGCCTCCCTTCCCCAGCACTTCTCAGAAAAGAAACTTGCAGTATTCGTCGCAGTCAGATGCCTCTCCATTTTCATATTTTTTTTTGGCAAGCCGTCGCGGGTTAAAAAGAGCGCTTGTATGCGCAAGACGTTTATTACTGCCTAAGATTGCCAGCGTCTTCTTTCCCCCCTGTTTAAGGCTCCTGTGCCTTTTGCAGTAGAGTGGCAAGCAGCGTGTGTTTTTTTAAGTGGGGGAGGGGGAGCTTTGCCCATACGTATTGACATCAGCATGCTGGGGAAGGCTTAGTTCTTGGTTGTCAAGCCTGCCGTTAACGGCACAGGAGCCAAGCTGCGAGGGGAAGTTGGCAACCTTGCGGTGTGTTTGCATGACTTAGCCGCCGTTGGATTTGCTTCTGGCTAGTAACTTAGATCTGAGTTCCAGTTATGCGTGTTCATTACTTCATGATCTTCCTGTTTGAATGAACCTTTGCAGGTATAAGCTCAGCTCAGATAGCATCAAATGCAATATGTTACAGGGGATTTGATTTGCTACATCCAGCACATTCATATAAAACGTCCACTATTAAACTGTAAACGTGGCACTAGTAGTATATTTGTGATGAAAGATCCAAGAAAGTGCTTGAATCCTTTCCCTGCTAGCATGCCTGAAGGTGTCAGATCCGGAATGAGTTGTGTGACCAGTTTTGATGCAAGGAAGGAGGAGTTGGGTAGAGTGAGCTAAGCAAATGCAATGTCACTGTTTGGTGGTAGCAGTGGGATCCATCACTAAACATTGCAGGGTGAGGGGTCCTCTCGCCCTAAACAGGCGCACTCATAGCTGTCAACCATCCCTTATTTGGCAGGAAAGTCCCTTATCCCATTAACATGTCCCGCTGCTGTCCCTTATTGATGATGTCCCTTAAATTTCCCGGGTTTCAAAGGAAGCAGCTCCTTTCCCTCCCTCCCTCCCTGCCGGCCAGGGAGGAGGGAGGCTCCAATTGTGTTGCTTGGCTGCATTGCTCGCCCAATAAGGAGCCTAAGAACGACTGGGGGATGGAGCTTGCATGCCTTGTGCCAATCAAATCGGCCGCATTGCCTAGGGACTCGCCTTTGCTCAGCGCTTCCCAGAGGAGAGGTGACGGTGGTTTCCTTTCTGCATCCCCTTTGCCGGGTTGCTGCGCAGTGGGAACCACCGCTTGAGGCTTCGTTTGGCTGCTGGCTGGGCTTTCTGCCTTTGGCTCAGAAGTTGAACATATCTGTGCCTGGAAAATCCCTTATTTTGGCTGCTGATCCCTTATTTTCGAGGCTGTTGGTCCCTTATTTTCAAATATGTAAGTTGACAGCTATGGGCGCACTCATGTTCAGCCAGCCATTTCCTCCAAGTGGAGTAAGGCCATTCCCTGCCCCCCCAACTGATGCTCAGCTTTCCAGGGCTACTTAGCTTGGACAGTTTGGTGGAGGGCTTGTCTCATTAGGCTTCCTTTCTTTTTCATTGTACATTCTTCTGAAAACTTCTGATGCTTTCCTCTTGTGGGCTCATTCTGGCTCCCCTTCAGTCAGCAACCCAGTGAAAGGGAGGGTTGTTTTTTATCCCAAACCTTGCTCTGGATAATCATCTCAAGACTCATCTCAAGAATAGCTGTTACTATTGATCTAAAACATTTTTAACTTCGCTCTTGAGCCAAAAAAAGCTCCTGGAGTGTTTACACAAAAGAAAGAGATATGGAATCAAGTCTTACTGAGTTAATTAGGGCTTTCTTGCAGGTAAGTAGGTAGAAGATTGCAACCTTGGTCTCATAGCAGCCCTGTGAAATAGGTCAGTCTGACATGCTCAGAACCACAACATGATCTCATTTGAAGGCTATTTCACTCATACAAAAACTAAGCAGGGTTTTGTCAGCAAGCAGACTCTGGTAGGTGTACCCGTGTGATCTACACCTTTGCCGCATTCACACTACAGGGGGCCCAAGTGGGAATTCGAACCCGGCTTCCTTCCTTCAAGAAGGACACTGACAAACTGGAACGTTTCCAGAGGAGGGCAACCAAAATGGTCAAAGGCCTGGAAACGATGCCTTATGAGGAATGGCTAAGGGAGCTGGGCATGTTTAGCCTGGAGAAGAGGAGGTTAAGGGGTGATATGATAGCCATGTTCAAATATATAAAAGGATGTCACATAGAGGAGGGAGAAAGGTTGTTTTCTGCTGCTCCAGAGAAGCGGACACGGAGCAATGGATCCAAACTACAAGAAAGAAGATTCCACCTAAACATTAGGAAGAACTTCCTAACAGTAAGAACTGTTCGACAGTGGAATTTGCTGCCAAGGAGTGTGGTGGAGTCTCCTTCTTTGGAGGTCTTTAAGCAGAGGCTTGACAACCATATGTCAGGAGTGCTCTGATGGTGTTTCCTGCTTGGCAGGGGTTTGGACCCGATGGCCCTTGTGGTCTCTTCCAACTCTATGATTCTATGATTCTATGTATCCAGAGCCAACATGGAAGTTAATATAGCCCTATTCTGTTGTTATCCATCCAGCCTGGTCTCACCCCTAGCATCCCTGCTTGCTCAGTCCCAGGCCTTCCCAGGGGGCTTCTGCCTATATTTGCTTGAACACAAGTAGAAGCTTCCATGCAATTGGGAGACCCGCTTCAGAAGGCTCCCTGCCTAACACTGCAACAGAGAGGGCGGGGCCAGCATGCAGCTGCTGAGGCATGGGGCTTGAAACATGTGAGGGGAAATCTTGTTTAGGCGTACCTAACACTGAGGGCTGTGACCTTCATTCCCTACTATCAGGTTCCCAGATGCAGCTGGCTGGTTACTATTGGTAACAGGAAAGTGGATTAAGTAGATCTCGAACTGAAAAGCTAGTATCTCTTGATCAAGTTCTCAGTTTTGTTGAATTAATGAACCTAAGTAGTTTGGGTTGGATCTTGAATGAATGTGCAATTAATTGTTAATGTTTTTAATTTTATTGTGCATTATCTTCTTTAGTGGGCTGTGCAAACAGCTATTCTGGGGCTGGGAAAACCCAGCCAGATGGGCAGGGTATAAATAATAAATTACAGTCGTACCTTGGAGGTCAAACGCCTTGCGAGTCGAATGTTTTGGCTCCCAAACGCCGCAAACCTGGAAGTGAGTGTTCTGGTTTGTGAACGTTCTGTGGAACCCAAACGTCTGACGCGGGTTCCATGGCTTCCAATTGGCTGCAGGAGCTTCCTGCAGCCAATCGGAAGCCGCACTTTGGTTTGCAAACGTTTTGGAAGTCGACCAGACTTCCAGAACGGATTCTGTTTGACTTCCGAGGTATGACTCATTATTATTATTGTTATTATTATTATTATTATTATTATTATTCTGAACAATGCTTTTTATAGAGTAAGGGGCATGGAACCAAGGGGGTGGTGACATGAAAAACATTGGGAACTACTGGAGTAGACACTCAATGTAGGATTTCAATGAAGCTTCAGTTAAACTTCTCTCAGTTGTGTTGCTGTTGTTAATCAAATATGTATACAGTGGTACCTCGGGTTACATACGCTTCAGGTTACAGACTCCGCTAACCTAGAAATAGTACCTCGGGTTAAGAACTTTGCTTCAGGATGAGAACAGAAATCGTGCTCCGGCGGCGCGGCAGCAGCAGGAGGCCCCATTAGCTAAAGTGGTGCTTCAGGTTAAGAACAGTTTCAGGTTAAGTACGGACCTCCGGAACGGAATTAAGTACTTGACCCGAGGTACCACTGTACCACCCTTTATCTGAAGATCCCAGGGTGGTGCATGACAGGAAAAATACAAAATGAGAACATAAAATATGTAATAAAACAGAAACAAACCAATATCCCCCCCCCCCACAAACACATTTGGAACGTTCGTCGGCCGAATGCCTGGTTGAAGAGACATATCACCTGGCGCCAGGCAAGCTTCCCTGAGGAGAGTATTCCACAAGCAGGAAGCCACCTCAGAAAAGACCTATTCTTGTGTTGCCATTCTCTGCACCTCTTGTGGAAGAAGCACACAAATAAGGGCCTCAGGTGATGATTGAAGGATCTGGGTTGATCCATATGGAAAGTAGCGTTCCTTGAGGTATTGCAGTCCTGAGCTGTTTAAGGCTTTATAGGTCAAAAGCAG